TGTGTGGCAGGGTAGGTTCAAGGGCGTTACCGACAGATCCTCAGATGCGATGGCTACGCCAGCCATCGCTGCGGCAGAGATGATCATAGTGGTGAGTGAAGTGAATTTCATGGCTGAAACTTGATAGTGATTTCTCAAACTAATACACTGGCTTTTATCTGCAGGTATTGTATAGGGGACAGCCAAGCAATCTGGATGTGTTTGCATCACGAAGCTGCGCTCCGTGACATAATTGTTTTGAAGGCATCAAATAATGTGTTGGACCCACTCCGCCACGAGTCCTTCTGGTAATACCTGTTAGTGAACTCCAATCTATGGTGATGTATTCACCCAAATTTCAGATTTGCAGGGATGCACAGACGCACTCACCGACCATATGCATATGGAAACTCATTATGCCTGACCCTATGCCTGCATGACCTCGCCACTAGAGCATACTAGAAGCCAGGCCAGTGGTCGCGAGGGTAAACTGTAATGGCGTTGTGGAATAATTGACCTTGATGGTTCCAACTCATGAGTTGGTTACCCATCAGTAGATGTATTCTTTAGCCGCAGATCGGGTATTCGTGTCCGTCCTGGATTGACAGTGGAGTTCATGTACCGTTTATGACTGCGTGCTACAAATGCAGTGTCAATTTATCCGCAACTTATTCCAGTTGTTTGTGATATCTGCATTGCTGATTATGTTGGGACTGGTGCTATACATGGCACGAGCATTTGATTCATCGCGTGCCATTGTGTTCTTGATAGATGAATGCAACAGACTTGGCCTACCAACAAATGTACGTGTGTTCGCTCCAAAGTTACGGCCTATGATACAAAATCATGAAATTCATGCATGTGTTTTGTGGAAAGGAAGTGAGCTGAGCACCAGCTGGCAGCAGTTCCCATCAATTCGGATTTGGTGATCAAAACCTAACTAGTGTCGAGCACGCCAGAAAGCCTAGTTTTCGACAGCCCGGCGCTTGAGCAGCTCAGCTGAGTGCTGAAAAGGAAGGATAGCTGCACGTCACCTCTGCTTTTGAATAGTATATTCCATCTATTGAAACCGTGTCAGCTGCGACAGACAAAAGCATTTAACTCATTCGCGATGACCTGGCAGCATGACTACTGGTTGGAAATGTGTCTGAGTCGTTTCTACCAATGACAAGAAAAACTGAAAGAGACACGCGAAACACAACTGAAACACAGGCTTGAATCTTGATTGTGGAAGATGACAACGGTAGTGTCCAAGCTATGGAGGGAATGGTAGAATATGCAATATGGAACTACACCAACAATCCTCTGTTCGAGCGGCACCTTCTTCACGGTGTCTGCCACGGCTGCCTTCGTACAGTCCATGCCCCCATCCGAGTCCTTCTCGAGATGTGAGTTATGTGGTTAGGAATGGATGTGAACACTGCTGTCGGACACAACCAGATTCGACTGGCACCGTAATCTCAGGTCACGCTGGACAATGGGTAGCACAAAGTGATGGATTGCTGTAGTAGTTGAGCACAAAGGTTTCGGTAACGTGCAGTGTCAACTCGTGACATACAAGTGACATATTATTTATATTAGTGGGACTCAAAGCAAATTTTGATGCCCGGCTAAAGCTTCAGGAAACTCGCTAAACTTTCGCTAAAGCCTCAAACAAACTTGCTAAACCTTTAACAAACTCGGCGAGAGACACGGCAACACAGCAGCATCACAGCGGACTTTGAAATCATGCTTGTGAAATTTTGATGGATGTAGAATACATATACAAAAAATAGCCATTCAAATGACGAGTGAGAGGGGCGGGGGGGATTAAACTAGCTATAACTTATCAAGAGCATGCTCCTGGCACCAGAAAGTGTGCCGCCAGTGCTTTTTGATGGTGGAAGCCCTGGTGTGATGTCAGTGAGTGCCGCTATGAGAGTGGATAGTACATACCAGCCATTTACCTTAGCATAACCCATCATGATGTTGTTAGTAGGGGTCCAAATGATGCACCTGGCAGTGCTGCTAGCAGGATGCAGTCAACAGTTGTCATCAACGAGGTTGCTGGAGGTTGATGACATCAGCAACGCTGATGGCAGCGGAGATTAAAACTCAGATTCAACTTCCGCTGAATCAGTTGGAGATTGGGCAGCTGATAAGAAAATACCCCTTGAATCCTCGTCATTGTGATCATGCCTCGTCCAGCCCTACGTGAAGACCTCCTCAATGCTATTGATAAAGCTACTTTATCACTAGTCAAATTGCAATACCAGAATGCACTCTTGGATGACTGGTCAGACTCTGAGTCTGATACTACTATGGACTGGGACACAGATTCAGACTATGATGAAGATATCAATATGCCTTTTAGCTCACTGTCCCCCCCATCTCCACTGTCCCCATTGTCCCCTCTTTCCAGCATTATGACTTCTTATTCTTCCTCCAGTGATGAATTTGGCACCAATGTTGCTGCACATTATGATAGGCTCTGAGACACCATCACTGCACTTCGTGATGAAGTCAAGAGGGCATGTGTGCTCCACAAGCCAGACAAGCCACCTCCACGAGCACCTCAGCTTCATATGCTGGTTCATCATGAAGAACACTGCCCTCATTTGTTTCGGCAGAAACTTCGCATCAACCCAGAGATCTTTGATGATATACTTGATCAGATCTCTGATCACCCTATCTTCCAGAACCAGTCCAACAATCCTCAGCTTCCTGTCTCCATCTTGTGATTTTTCTCAATCGTGCAGGCCACTATGGGAATGCCATTACTCTCGAGGATGTTGCTCAATGGGCAGGTGTGAGTGTTGGGTTGGTGGTCAATTGCTCTCATTGTGTCATGATCGCAGTACTCGATGCACATGATCAGTTTATCAGGTTCCCAGCAGCTGACTCTGACGATGCTCACTTGGCTCAGGCATTTGCTGAGTCTCGAACCTGTCCAGAGTGGAGTGGTGGCTTTCTAGCCGTTGATGGTTCAACTATGGACCTTTATGCCAAACCTGGCTTTTACAGTGAGGTGTTTTATGACAGGAAATCCAAGTATTCCCTTGGTTGTCAGGTAATGTGTTTTTCTCTATTATCATCAATAAAAAATTTAATTTAATTCTAGGCTGTCATTCTGCCCCACAACCTCCTGATTGTTGACTATTCTCTTGGTCAACCTGGGAGTGTCCATGATGCCTTTGCTTTTCAATCCACTTACCTCTATGCAGAGCACGCTGATCTTCTACCTGATGGTCACTGGGTTTGGGCAGACAGTGCATATCCATTGGAGCCATGGTGTATAGCCCCTTTCAAGAAGCCCCACAATGGACGGTTGACGAAGAACCAGAAAACATTCAACTATCACCTTTCTAAAGTATGATTTTTACTTGGGTGGTTTTTCAGTGAATTTAAATTTATTTAGGTCCGTGTGCATGTTGAACACACATTTGCTGTTTTGAAGGGACGGTTCCAGTCTCTCCGAGAGCTTCGCTTCAATATTCAGTCAGAGAAAGACCTGGAGTTTGCTGTGCAGTGGATTAAGTGTTGTATTATCCTGCACAACGTGATCATCCACTTTGAAACCCATCATCTCCAGTAGGATGGATTATACAAGAGTTCTCTGAAGTGGGCTCATGTAGAGGGTGAAGACTTCATACCTCAAGAGCATGAAGATGCAGATGGTGATGAAACAGTTGGTGATAGGTCATACGAGGGAACTCCAGGCCAGGCTACTCGTGCAAAGCTGATGGATCAACTCTTTGACAGTCCTCATTCAAGGGCACAGCGCAGGCAAGGATGAAGGCCAAGAAAGCTCACATTGATCAAGAATATGTGTACTACCAGTGAAGTACTTGTACAACATATGTAACATATGTACCATCAAACAAATGCAGAACAGCAGTGGAATAAAATGAGATACGACAATGATGGTAAAACAAACAGCAGCAGCGAAAAACAAACAACAGCAGTGAAAAAAAAGCATCAGTGATGACAGTGGGACATGATGACGACAATGACAATGACAACGACAACGACAATGACAATGACAATGACAATGACAATGACAATGACAATGACAATGACAATGATGATGATGATGATGATGACGATGATGACGGCGGTGACAACGACAATGAACAACAGCAACGACTCAGTCCCCATCTGAGGCAGGAGGTTTGCTACCCTGCATCAGATAGTGGAACTGGATCTTGAGGCGTAAGTTTTCTGCTTCCTTGTCGAGGACTAAGGAATGTGCCTCATGTACTCAAATATCCATCTCACGAAGACAGATTTCAGCATCCTTACTCTTCTGCTCGCATTAATAATTGATGGCGGCTTGTGAGGACTCATGTGCACATGTGTCATGAAGCCACTCGTATTTCCTCACATCGTGATGGTGGTTGGACTTTGCATCAAGTTTCACAAGGAAGTGTTGGTGCTTGGAGTCGTGGCATGACACAGCATTGGACTGGATACTCTCGATCTCATCAGTTACCTTGTCAACCCGTTCCTGAATATCCGACTTGGCTTTCTTCTTCTTCGAGCCTCCCACACTGGTCTGCAATGATGTCTGAGGAGTGGGACTGATTAAACAGTCAGATGACGAGGACATGTTGCGAGTTGTTGAAGAAGGGGTTGACATGCTGCAGGATATACCTGATGACGTGATAGATGGTGTTTTTCTGTGCCGCCCCCTGCGACTGGAGGGTCACTGTGCTCCAAATGCTGCACGGCTGTCATAGAAGGACATTGGTGATTTCTCCGGCACCTCAGCAAGAGGGTTAGGAGGGTCGGGAGGAGGAGAAGGTGATGCTTGTTGATGCTTGTTCCCGGCAGCTCTAGCAGGACTGTCAAGGGTCATGGAGTCATCCTCCAAGTGGCGCAGCACATCCCCAAGGGGGGCGGACAAAGGACCACTGAGATATAGGTCATCAGCATCATCATCAGGATCATGCATGTAATGGTCCATGTCTGCGTTGTTATTGATGTTGTTATCAGGGGGGGAGGAGCGGCATGCAGAAGATGCGGATCAATCAGAGGATCGTTCAAGTTGTGGGTATCGCCACCGCCAGGAACAGCATTGGGACAGAGTATAAGGTTGGGGGGCTGAGTGAAGTTGGGGCATTCAGGTTGAGGGGTGAATGCGCTATGGGATGGCTGATGGGGGGCTGCAGTTGGGGGGAGAATGTGCTGTGGGATGGCTGAGCATATGGAGGGAGCTGCAGCGGAGCACCAGCCTGAGCAGCACCATCAAAATTTGTTGAGGGACCAGCCCTGCCAGGGCCGCCATGCAGTTGCACAAGCGCATACAAATCACCTGCATGATCAACCCCCGGCCTGAACGAATGTGATTTAGTTGCAAACGACGGGATTGAGTGCCAGATGCTATTGAGATCAGTATACCATGGCAGTTCGGCGGTGACTTCATCTACAAAGTTAAATCAGCTGAGAAGCATGAAATCAGTATGAACGACTCACCCAGTAAGTTTTTCAAGGTAGTCTCATCAAGCGGCACCACACCAGCACCAGTCACATTGAACCTGCCCTTGCATTTTCTATATTTATTTCTGAGACTTTTCAAATTTTATCAGTGCACATAAGAACAAAAGAAGGAGACTTACGATGTGATGCGGTTTGTGACTGACATGTGGAACTTCTTCAGATCTTGATGGTATGCGGCCTTGTATTTGGTGTGGGTCGCAAAGATGAGCTTGGCAATAAAATCATGTATTTTGTTCTTGTCCTTGCCTGAGGGGGCATCATCAACAGAAGGCATTGCTTTCTTCCCATTGGAATAGAACAGGATGCAACAATCAGGTGGGCGAGTAGTTAGATGATTGACGAGGATTGTAGTGAGAGCATGATCTCTTTCCCACTGGATTGTGAGTTTGGGTATGCCTTGAGAGTTTGAGTCAGATTGTCCTTGTGAGGAGGAGGCCAGAGGATTCATTGCCCTTGAGTACAATCCTCGAGTGTTGGCATTGGCTCTAAGCCGCGCTGAACGGCGAGCACATTGGCGAAGTGCAGGCATGGAGTTTGAAACTCTGAAAGCCTGACTTCCAATTGCGGTGCCATGCAGGCTGTGTTCCTTCAACTTTCCTGATGCTTTAACCGGGAGTAGAATGATTTAGCCAGGCATCAAAATTTGCTTTGAGTCCCACTATTGTTAGGTGTGCTCTGTATATACATCGTAGCGGCGCGAGCGCCAATCCCCAACTCTCACACACCAGTCATATGCTATCCCTCGCAAACTCTGTCATGCATGACGGCCTTGCATTGTATATATGCTTTGCTGTCGCTGTGGGCCCTCGCCAGTCTCTGTCACTTGTCAGGTGCAATCTCTCACTGATGAGTCATACCGACGGTGCAGAGAACGGCTGGCTCCCAAGGCGCATCCCTGACTCCACAAAGTGGGGAGGGTTCTGTCAGATCAAAGTGTCCAGGCACACGGTATTTTTGTGTGTGCATGAAAACATTTCCTTTTTCTATTTGTATGTGCTTCTGGAACATCAAGGGTTCTCTCGGTTTCTGCTTATGAGTTGCTGCTTATGGCTTGTGAAACATTGGCATTTTCAGATACATCTTCGGGCTCATGTCACTTCCATTGCAAGTCCCTCTGTGTTTTCCCACCTTTCCTTCTGACCGATTCTTTGTGGGCGACATAGTATCACAGTCCCTCCTTCTCCAGGGGACCTGTTCCAAGTACGTCTTGGCTCGTCTCTTCATCGTCGTAGGTTCATTACTGAAAAGATTCCTTAGCATGTCCGTTTTCTTGCCGAAGACTGCACCCGCTTTTTGTGTGTGGTTGCAATCAGTGCTTGCGCTTCACATGCTGTCATGTCCCAAATGCGAGCAATTTGACCCTCCTGTGTATGTAACCTTTGATGATTCCAGCATTTTGGTCTGTGTTGGTGATGCTGCAGTTCCCTTTTCCTGTGCTCTGTTTGAGTCGTCATCTTACATGCACTGTCATACCTCTTGCTAATGATGTGACATCTCTTCATCTTGATCTGCTCTGGGCTTCTGATCCTTATATTATCAAGAAGTGCATCTTACAGGGGATGTCTTCTTGTTTTTCCTATGGCAACGAGATACTTGATGGCCTCATGTTGGACAAAGGCGGCCTTGTCTGGACTGAATCTCAAGTGATTTCACTGTTAATATGTCCTCCATGCCACGGGGCATTGACACATCAGATGCTGCCAGCTCTCGCCCTCGCTAATCAATTGTATCGTGGGGAGCTTCCAGATAGGTTCTGTGATTTGACCTGGTTGGAGGAGAAAGTTTGCACCATCTATTCCATTACAGCTCATGTTACCCGCCTCTTCCAATCCTCGGACCCATCACAGCTGAAGGTGTTTCATGGAAATATGTGTGCTCATGACATGAACGTTATGTCCGTCACCGAAGTGCTCCCACGCTCACCAGCCGATATCAATGGGTTCTTGAGCGTTGTCTTTATTGGACCTGGTGCCTTTGACCCCAAATGGATGGGTACACTTTTCCGAGTGTGAAAACACAAGATATGGTCTTTCCTCCTGTGGCTCAAGGCTCACAACATGTATGCCCATATCAAGCTGGATGAACTTGTATCCATTTGATGGCACTCTTCCGGGTCTCCAAGACAGAGTTGTTGAGGATCACAAGTTGAACCCACAGGCAGTATTTGCAATGGAAACAGCCGGCTTTAGTGCACATCTGGCAGCTCTCATGCATGTGGCTGATGATCCAACCTCACAACCTGCGGTCTCTTCTGACATCCCAGTTTTGGTGGAAAAGATGGGCATGTCAGACCATGAGTGCAACAAAATGAGTGGATGTGCTTTTATGGCTTCCGCTCTATGAAATCTCTTACCCCATGTAACCGATCCTTTGACACCCGACCTTGTGCTTCATCATAGTGAACATGTGGTGCCAGAATACAACAACACCCCTCTCTTCCCCGGTATGTATCCTATGTTGTATCCTTATGGCCTAGGAGGCTTTGAAGACCATTGTCATGTTACAGCATTGTCATTCGATCGCCAGGCAAAATACTTACTCAATATCTCAGATCGTTGTTTTCGGTACCTGTCATATACCTGATCTGACCGCTCCAATATTGATATCCGCTCCGCTTTCCGACCCCTCCATCCCATTCATCCTCTGCTCCGTCCTATCACAAATCTGCATTCCACCCTACGCTTCCGCTCGACCACTCAACCGGTCCCCTTCCATAACATCTCCATTCAACTGGACCTCTTTCCCCTTTTAGATATATGCCTTCCCTATTGGTACATAGACCCTTACTTCCGGATGACCAGTAATTCCTATTACCGCTCGACCGCTGATCCGACATGTACATATTGATATCCGCCCCAACTTATGTCTTTGCCTATGTAAAATACTTACAAACTATATCCTTGGTACATAGCCTTACTGCATAGTTATCCTGATCACTGCCTCATACATAGTAGTATATAACATATCATGTACTTAGATATTTTTCCTCAGTCTTAATATTACTTGTCTTCTCGCAGTTATATCCTGTGAGAATTCTCAGTAGAACTTGCCTCCTCTGGACACAAGTCTCAACTTGTTGTCACCTCCAACCCTCCAACCCTCCGCTCCGACTTAGAGCCGTGCTCTAAGTCTTCCCCTTATTACTCCGCCCCTATCAAATATCCTCCTTTGCCCCTCTGCATTATCCTCTGCCTTTCCTGCCCCTACCAACATTCCCCTGCTCCTATCCCCTCTCCGCATCACTCCCCGCCTTCTCCGCTAGTAGCTCTTACTCCCCGACCCTCAGAGTGGACCAAAGCAGTCCAATCATCTTACCGTCGGACCCGCTCTAAATTCAGGGCACATACTCGGCTAAGGGCGCAGCGCAAGAGCTGAAGCCAAGCCCTGACCCCTCTGCTTCCTGAGTCAGCATGGTATCTAACAGTACCACGAAACATTTCTCTTTGTGGTTCTAAATATACTCCAACGTTGGCATGCTCATCTCCAGACCTTGTTTGTTGTGAAGAAATCAAATTTTGATATTGTTGCACGCAACCTCACGAGTGTGTCTGTAGATATCCTACAGCGGTTGGCTCAGCGCCTTGAACAGGAGTGCAAACTGTCTGCGCTCAGTCTGCCCAAACAAAATGCGCTCAAACTTTTATGGCAAGTAAACATGATGTCAGATCGCATTCCTGGCTCACAGGCTGCTAAGATTCACATACATAATGAGATCCGCAACTACTATGGGTATTTTGGCTTACCCCATGTATTCTCCACTTTGAATCCTAGTGCAGCTCACAGTCCGATTTTTCAGGTGATGTGTGGGGACAAGACAGTCGATCTCAGTGAACAATTTCCTTGGATGCCTTCCGGTCGCACCCGCGCAATTTGTCTTGCCCGTGACCCTGTTGCTGCGGCAGAGTTCTATGAGTTTTCATTCAGGTGTTTGTTTCAATACCTCTTTGGCTGGGACTTTGAGCAAGAGCATTCCATCAGTGAGGGTGGCATTCTAGACCATATTCGTGCATTCTACAGCACCACAGAGTTTACTGAGTGAGGATCTTTGCATGGTCACTTCCTGATATGGCTCGAGGGTGGGATGAATCCCTCTGATCTTCACAAGCATCTTCGTGGAGACAGTCACTTTCAAGATCGCTTTTTTAGATTCTTTGAGGACATGATCCATCATCACTTTCCAGACATCGAGGATGTGGTCAAGGATCACTTTGAACCCCATGTCCAATGACCCCCTCCTCCACCTCCAGTCAACGCTTCTTTGGAGGTCATGGAGGAATGGCATGCTGTGTTACATTCTGAAATAAAGAAATGTGGTGAGGTACTCCAACACCACCAATGTCACTCTGTCTGTCACAAGTACGGCAACACTGGGCGGTGTCATTTTTTGTTTCCACATGAGATAGTGGACATGTCCCATTTCGATGCTGAGACGAGCTCTGTGGTGCTCATGTGCAAAGATGGCACTGTCAACTATTTCAACCCTTACATCCTTGTCTTCTGCCATCATAACCATGACATTAAATGTGTTTTGTCTGGTAAAGGTGCCAAGGCCGCTATGTTCTACATTTCTGACTACATCACAAAAATGGACGTGAAAACATACAAAGTATTATCTTTACTTTCATGTGCTATCGCTTGCATTCCAGAAACCGTGATCCTCTCTGGAAATGTTGTGGACCATAGTAAAGCCCTCCTCCACAAATGTTTGTCCCAGTTCAATCGCCAACAGCAGGTCCACGCTCAACAGGCGGCTAGATATATTCAAGGATTCAACAATAGCTGTTGCTCCTATAAGACTGTTCCGATGATGTTGTCTCTGTTAATTGCCTATGTGAAAGAACATTACATACATCACAATGTACTCGCCCCCAAAGAAGATGATGATGATGAGATCTGTTAAGACTGTGCTCAGGGGTAAGGCTGAGTCTGAGGGGCTTGGCTTCAGCTCGTACGCTGCACCCCTTACCCGAGTACATGCTCCTAATTTTGGAATGTAGTCTGACATGAGTTCTATGAGTTCCAACAGGATGTCAGAACGGGGGTCCTCTGAAGGAGGACCAACGGACTACTAGGTGAGCATGGGAAAGTCGGGCGGGGGTTGTTCTGCCCGACAGGAGGGAGGCAGGAGACTACTGTGGTCGGAACCAACAGTAGAAGCGGAGTGGAAGGGACTGCTTGGATGAAGTCCGAAGCAGAGCAGAACGGAGGGGATAGATGCGAGAGTGCAGGGTTTAGTTCCGACGCACAGGAAGTCGGACGAGTGGAGGAACAGGGGAACAGGGGAATGGAGGAGTGGAGGATTGGAGGATTGGAGGATTGGAGGATTGGAGGATTGGAGGATTGGAGGATTGGAGGATTGGAGGATTGGAGGATTGGAGGATTGGAGGATTGGAGGATTGGAGGATTGGAGGATTGGAGGGTGGCAAACCTAGGGAGTCAATCCCCTAGGCCGGCTAACAGGAGTTGACTAGGATCAGGCCCAAGTCAGAGAACAGACGAGCAGGGCTTAGAAAAGGTAATATTCAGACTGAGTATCTACAGACAAATGTACATATGTTTATATACTCTAAGTGATGAGCATAGCATAGCAGAAGGCTATGTGCTGAGTGTACAGGATTACAATAGGATGACTGAGACATACAAGAATAAGGCTCAGGGAACAGTATGTACGTGACAGATCAGAATCGCTAGGGTATAGGGATTACTGGTCATCCGAAAAGCAGAACTATGATACTAAATGGGGATAGGACCAGTTGAGTGGTTCCTAGTCTAGGAGTGGACCGGTGAGGTAGTCGGACGGATTAATAGTTGGGTGGGACAAGATGAGCAGAACCGAGTGGGTTGGAAAAGTGGAGGGAGTAGGAGTAGGATCAGGTGGACCGATAGGGCAGAGGATCAGAACCCCAGATAGGGTCGGATGGAAGGGGTATGGTGTTGGAGGACATAGGGGTAGTGTTGGAAGAGTGGAATGGGGTCGGGCGGAGGTAGTGGGGCTAATCCTGCTGAGATGCACTTCGTGCATTGTTGGGGAAGGAGGAATGGAGTGGACGGAGAAACAGGAGGTCGGACCAGGGGTGGGGATGTTCACAGGTGGTATTGGAGGTGCTCAGATCTGGTATATGACATGGGCCCATGGAACTCTCAATTGTATGGACAGATGGGCTGATGGAAGTGTTGAGTGTATAGACCAATGGGCTACAATATGGTACTTGGTGCTCAGTAGTTAGTACTGAGTGGTTGGTTATGGTTGATCAGGACTTGGGACTCAGGACTCAGGACCCGGGATGGACTCAGGACTGACTCACTGTGTGGTGCTCAGTGCTCAATACTCAATACTCACTACCTGATCCACAGTACTCAATGCTTAAGATTCAGTCCTCGGTTCTTGATACTGAATGTTCACTACCTGATGCTTGGCACTCAATGCTTGATACTGGGTGGTCAATATTCAATATTCAATATTCAACACTCAATATTGGGTGCTCAGTGCTCAATTGCTTCTTTGGAGGGATGGAATTCATGAATATACTAATGACCCAGCCAGTCAGATGTTTCACCAGATGGAATCTGGACTGAATCCATCCTTGCCCATCCACATGAAGGAACACCTGCATAAATATGGACAGAATGCCTCATATACCATGCCCAAGCAACCCAACCCCCTGCTACTTCATAAACCCCATGCCTGACTATCCTTCTGGGACTGCTTTGGTCCACTTTGAGGGTTGGGCAGGTGTCCTTGTAGTATATTAAGTAATACTGTAGTAACTTACTGTAGGTCGATTTATAAATGCCTGCAAGTTCTGGTATAAGGCCCCTTCTACATAAATACTGCTATTTATTCATGGTGTTGCGTCTCTTCCAGAAATATACCATTAGCGTTGTAGCTCACACCATCAATTTCCCACACTCAATAAAACATATCACAGGCATTGTGGCACTTTCTGCACACATTCTGTACCTCCATAAAACATATCATGGGCATTGTGGCTATACCATTACTGTTATCGTTGTAGCACGTATCACAGGCATTGATCTGTACTTTGAAAAGGTGTAAATTCACATGTATTAGGAAGCACAACATAGTATGGAACAGAGTCTGGAATGAAAATAAACTAATTGTCATCCTCATCTTCAGAGAAAACAATTTCTACCTCCACTGGGGAGATGATGGATGACACCTGAGTTGCAGATACATCTAGAAAGACTTGCAAGTGCATGATGGTGGCCTGAGCTCCAACTGCTGCCCATTTTTCTTCTAGCTGGGTGGCATGTTGATGTTTGATGTAGGCTTGTTCAGCTGCATAAGACTTTGCCCCTTCCATAACTTGTCCATCAACCGATCCCTCTCTATCTGGTGTGTGGTTGTCCCACCATCGTGCATGCCATTTGTAGTATTCAATGACATGGCACATTTCCTCCTCCAGGAGCATTAACTCCTTGCACCATTGAGCCGCTCAAGCCTTAGCCTTGGCCCATTCCACTTGTAGAGCTATAGATTTTCATGAACATGGAGTCATTTAAAAAAGAAGAACAGCATACCTTCATGCATTCCTGGAGAATCTTTATCTTCTTCAGCACTAACAGAACACCAGATCCAAGAAAGGACATGACAACCCTCCCCAATCTTCATGACCATTGCCTGTGCTGATTCCATACAGGTTTGCAGGCAATCAATCTCCTCTTGCTCATGTGCCAACACAGCTTTCTCTGGGAGCCCTCTCACATTCTCGTCTCTGAGTTGTCTGAGTGTCTTCTCCCAATCTCCTGGCCCTATCAGTGCAAAAACACACCCATGCAACTTGTGGTATCACATTTTTGCAATATGAATGTGAAGATTGTTGGAATGGAGTATATTCCTTGCCCTGGTATTTGGCCATTGCTCCATAATATTGTTGACTTTCCACTGGTTGAGAGCCGTACACATTCGCAGTTGCCTATGAAGCTCCTCTAAGGCATCTGATGTATCAGCACATTGAAGGCAACATTCCTTACCCACAAGCCCTGTGACACAAGCTTGGGAGTGCATATCTGACTCAAGTTCTGAGGGCATGAACAGGGGAATTGACTCAGGGAGGATATCAGGAGAGATGGCCAAGACCAAAGAATCTTGAAGAGTGCACTGCTGTCATATACCTGATTTGATTGCTGTGACAATATTAATATCTGCTCTGCCCGACCTCATACTTCCCCCACTTTCCTATCACCTCCACTCCATCCGCCCTCCACCCGACCCAGTTGGCTCCTGCATCCGCTCCTACAGTTCCGCTCAACCGCCTCGTTGGTTGTCTTCCGCATCATTTACATTCTACTGTAAACTCCTTCCCCATTTAGGTATATACTTTCCCCATTTGCACATAGTACTTACTTCCTGGATCACTGGTACTTCCCATAACCATTTGACTAACTGATCTGGTGTGTACATATTGATATCCGCTCTGACTTATGTTTTCCACCTGTGTTCACTTACAAATTGTATACTTAGTACATAGCCTCATACTAAGGACTACTAGTCACTGCCTCCTACATAGAAGTATATAAAAACACATCCTATACATAGCTACTCCCCAGTCTTGGTCTTCCCACAGTCTCTACTAGTGGGAATTCTCTGTAGGACTTTGCTCCCTCTCCAGACACAAGTTTACCTTGTCGTCACCTCCGACCCTCTGCTCCGACTTAGAGCTGCACTCTAAGTATTTACTCTTACTTCTCCAACCCAGTCAAACCCAATCCCCTTACTTCCCTCTGTTCCGACACCCTTCTGCCGCTTCCCCTGCTCCACTTCTAGTCAGGTTACCACTAGTAGCATTTACCTCCTGACCCACCAAAGCAGACCAAAGCAGTCTACCTGTCAGACATCATCAGACCCACTCCAAATTTGAGGCACATACTTGGTTAAGGGCGCAGCGCAAGAGCTGAAACCAAGCCCCAACCCCTCTGCTTCTCCATCTGAGCATGGTCTCTAACAACTGCAGGGAAGGCATGTAGATGTCCTGAAGCTGACACCAACCATGAAGCTTCCGACGCAGCACTGCTCTTCACTCTGAAAAACCGGCTGCTTGAAGGGTTGAAATCTTTTTCTTCTCCTTCACATCTACAAAAAGCTCACATCTATTTGTTTGCCATCAGTATGAATGGCTACCATGATAGTAGTAGACTTACTGCAAGTGTTCAATTTCAAGGCCTGACAGGAGGAAGGATTAGGCAGTGGTCTTGTCCACATTAGATGAGCTGGCTGTGGCTCTTGCCTCATCTGCTTGGGCAAGTTGCAGATGAACATCAGTGAGTGTTGGTGCTATGTGTAAAAGAATGAATGAAAGCTCATCAGAGACTTACTTCAGTCAAACAAGGACAACTACTTACCAGCACAGCTGTCTGTGTATGGGCAAGGCTTGCTATGATCCTCATTCCACTCTTCCAACATCTGCTCCCATTCTTGCAGCTGATCTGACCTTTCTCTATATAGGCCATCGTCAAATTTCATGAATGTCATTTGATGGACTGTTGCCTCTGGAATACACTCCAGCATATGCCGCAGAAGAGTATTCCCTACATTGAAGTCAGCTTCTTCATATTACAAGGAATGCGATAACTCTTACCAAATGCCAACACTTTTTTGTAGTTTGAAAAGTTGCAAAATCATCTAATGTGTCACAGTAAGCTCCAGGGCTCATTTTCTTTGTGCTAGGTGCTGCCTCATTCAAACTAGCCCAGTTTCATTTAATTCCTTCCCCATCAGTGCATCCAACACCAGGAGTATAGTGAAGTGAGTAGTTAAGTTGGCAGATCTCCTCATGGGCTATGATATGAAACTTTGGGATGCCACCAATGAGTTTATCCTTGGTTGCATTGGAGTGGAGACTCTTGGGCAGATTGGGTAGGCGATGCCAAAGGTTCTTCTTCCATTGGCACATTATATTGTATGAGAGGACAACAGGAAGTGGTGCTGTGTCAACAATGCTGGATAAAAAGATGCAGTCCATGTTGCAATACCTACACAATGTGCATGAGTGAGCAACAATGACTGATAGCAAAAGCCCTGAACCTTTCTCCCTTCTGCAAGTCACCAATCCCATTCAGACACCAGATCTCATGTCGGCACACCACCCCTCCAACTCCAGTCACCTGAACACCTGTCCTGCACTTCAGATTAGCAAGGAAAAGTGCTGCAAAACCTGTGCATGTGCTAATTTCTTCCTAACCAACATATTTTAAATATGCTCATGATAGTGGTCACCATTGATGAAGTAGCTCCACCCCAGGCCCAATGCAGGATCCTTTTCATCACTAGAGCACATTTGGTTTTGGAGGTGAAAATTAGGTCCATGTAAAGAAAAAGTGAATATAAGAATCTAAATGTTTGTGGGTGAATTGAACTGACAGGGAGCAAGGTAACAGATAGAATCACCTTGTTGATGGAGGAGCTTCTAGTCATTGACATGGAAGATTAACACCAGGTATTGGGTAGGCTCTGCATCAAATAGCAAGCTCTCCATTTGTAGTCCAAGCCATACCACCCAATTGGTGCCCTCTTCTGCTTCATTTCAGGCTCTTGAGGTGATGCCATTCATGAGCCATGATCATGAAGGCAGGTAGCCAATTCTATGGGAGTGTGAGCAATGCCATGACTGAATGATAAGGCAAACATACCAGGATTGCATTTAAGCCTGTCAGATTGGTCATAAAATCCAATGACTTGTAAAAATAATAGCCAGAGAGGTGACCTTGTAAGTTTACCATGTGGAAGAGCTGAAGAACATCAAATGTTGTGCAGGTCTGTGGTCCTAGTGGGGTGGCAGGAAACCAATGGACATGAAGTAACTGTGACCAATGTGTAGCAGAGGGACCACTATGACAGCCACAGAAGTCCACAGAAATGTAGTGAATACCATTGACATGAATCACTATGAAGTTTTTATGGCTAGACATGCAGCAAATGCATCATTGATGAATTGGATGCCCAAGCTGCACATGCAATCCCAACTGTTGTAATGATGTCTTTTGGAAAAAATTGCCACCCCATCTCTAATGGGAAAGGGATGAGTGCTCATCGATGAAGTTACCAGCTAATACAAAAAACTCACCTCAACCCTACAAAGAGGCAGGTCACCATGCTTGGTCACCATGCAACTTACACAAAGCAGAGTTGAATTCCAGCAGTCAATACATCTGAAGGTGGAGCCACCTTGTCAACATTGAAGGCATGTTTCCAAGTCCACTGAATAACTGTGACTGTTAGGTACCGTGCCGGCTCAAGAGGCAGAGGGGTCGGGGCTTGGCTTCAGCTCTTGCACTGTGCCCTTAGCTGAGTACATGCCCTGAATTTGGAGTGGGTCCGACGTTGTCCAACGATAGGATGAGTGAACCACTTAGGTCCGCTTTGAGGGTCGGGAAGTAAGAGCTACTAGTGGCGGGCTGACTAGGAGCGGAGCGGAGAAGGTGGAGAGTGATGCAGAGGGTGGATAGGGGCAGGGGGGATGTTTGGTAGGAGCGGGGAAGGTGGAGGATAATGTGGAGGATGGGAAAAGGGGCAAAGAAGATATTGATAGGGGCGGAGAAATAAGAGGGACACTTAGAGCATGGCTCTAAGTTGGAGTGAAGGGTCGGAGGTGACAACAAGTTGAGACTTGTGTCCAGAGGAGGCAAGGTCCTACTGAGAATTCTCACAAGAGGTAACTGTGAGAAGACAAGTAATATTAAGACTGAGTAAAATATCTAAGTACATGACATGTTATATACTTCTATGTATGAGGCAGTGACCAGGATAACTATGTTGTAAAGCTATGTACCAAGGATATAATTTGTAAGTACTTACACAGGTGAAGACACAAGTCGGAGCGGATATCAATATGTACGCGTTGGATCAGTGATCAAGCGGTAATAGGAATTACCGGTGATCCAGAAGTAAGGGTCTATGTACCGAAGGGGAAAGTATATATCTAAAAGGGGAAAGAGGTCCAGTTGAATGGAGAGGTTATGGAAGGGGACCGGTCGAGCGGAAGCGTAGGGGCAGAATTTGGACTTGTGATTGGACAGAGTGGAGGATGGATGGAGCGGAGGGGGTCGGAAAGTGGAGTGGATATCAATATCGGAGTGGTCGGATCACGTATATGACAGTGACCCTTAACACACAGTAACTCATTGAGATATTCATTGTGGTACTTCATGAACATTTTGATAGGTAAGTCCTAGCAAAAAAGTGTGAGCAGACATTTGTCACATGTAGCAGGGAAGGGACCTCACAGAATTCTCATAATGTGGTGCTGGCGAAGCTACTATATCCATGTCTTCTAGGCCCTCACAACCCTCACTAAAGCCCTGTGGAACATTGTTGTAATCATCTAAACACATTAGAGATTGTGCAGATTTGGATTCTGTTGGTGTTAAAGGTTGAGGGTTAGGACATGGCTCAGTTGACGATTCTCTAGTAAAGGAAACTTGGCATGAGGCCAGGCTCATGCATTGGTGATCCGCAGTGAACAAAATCTGACACAATATGATAGACTGCAAGGTTGTGCTGTGGTCATATAGTTTATAGGCAGGTACCATGCTCAGATGGAGAAGTGGAGGGGTCAGGGCTTGGCTTCAGCTCTTGCACTGTGCCCATAGCCGAGTATGTGCCCTGAATTTGGAGTAGGACCAATGTTGTCCAACAATAGGACAAGTGGTCTGCTTTGGTCTGCTTTGAGGATTGGGAGGTAAAGTGCTTACTAGTGGCAGACCAACTAGAAGCAGAGCGGATGGAGTGGGGGAAGGAAGTTGGAGTGAAGGGGACAAGGGGATTGGTTGTATGACACAGAGGGAAGTAAGGGAGGTTAACTTAGAGCACGGCTCTAAGTTGGAGCAGAGGAGTGGAAGGTGACAACAAGGTGAAACTTGTGTCCAGAGTGAGCAAAGTCCTATGGAGAATTCCCACCAGTAGAAACTGAGGAAAGACAAGTAATATTAAAACTAAGGAAACTAGCTATGTACATGATATGTTTATATACTTCTATGTGAGGAGGCAGTGATCAGTAGCTTATAGCATAAGGCTATGTGCTGAGTATACAATTGGTAAGTATTACTACAGGGAAAACATAAGTTGGGGCAGATATCAATATGTACATGATGGATCAATAATTGAGCGGTTATAGGAATTGCCAGTGATCCGGGAAGTAAGTGTTATGTACCAAAGGGGAAAGTATATACCTAAATGGGGAAAGAGGTTCCAGTTGAATGGAAACTCTATGGAAAGTGACCAATGAGGCAGTCAAGCAGAAGCACAGGAGCAGATGTGGAAACCAACTGGATTGAGCAGAGACAGGTGGAGTGGAAAAGGGGAAAAGGTGGAAGGGGTATAGGGTGGGGCAGAGCAGATATCAATATGTTGGAGCAGTCAGATCTGGTATATGACAGATAAACATCAAAGATGCTGGGCAAACAGACAACAAACATCGACCTACACTGAAAGAGATTCCAGCATCGTCCACTCCAAGTCATTAGAGGACCCATTGTGCAGGGCCTTGTGGTCTGGACTTGCAATAAAGTCTCTATCCAGGCTCAGTAGTAGTAGTCCTAAACAAACGAGAAGTATGTAAGGAGGTGGTCAGAACGATATTGACAAGAGAAAGAGTAATCAGACTGAGTCAGTTCTGGCCCAAGTTGCTAGATATGAATGTTAAGGCTCACAGATGCACATCAATGGCATCAACTCAAATGCAAGTGACAGACATAACCCCAGTTCCTAGCAACCAAGGATGCTTCAGGATTTAACACAAAGGTCCTTCATACAGTAATGCTTAGTGTTCAGAACATTCAGTGCTGTGAACTGCTGGAACAGTACTTGATTGACAAATAGTCATGTCCCATCACCTGCTCTTTGATCGACTTGCAATCTACATGATGATTCGCTGTATGTTGTGCATTTAGGGTTAGGGTTAGGACTTCTTACCAGCAAAGTGCAGCAAGGTTCCTGTGTTAATCATCAGCTATCAAGCACAATATCAACAGACAAATATCATACCACAGTGGATACATGCCAGGACATCGTCCTTTGTACACTATGTACCATCGTTGGAAAGTTTCATTGTGGACATGATCCAACATGCCAACCAACTTTTCTAATGGCATACTAATGAGTCGAGCAAAGTCACATGGCACATATGCTACAGTCAGGTCAATCAGACCCATAGCCCAACCCAACACAAATGCCACCTCAGCATTGCATGCAGTTTTACATCCCTGGTAGATGGCACCAGAAAATTTCTTCACTTGCTGTTCACAGTCAGGCCTGATAGCATTGCACTTAGCAAGATTGTCAGGTACTACTTAAATGGTTATTGTGCTTACCAGTATTCATAGATCCCTACTTGTCAACCTTTCCATATGACATACAAGCTAGGATGTCCCTTACATTCCTTCAACCTAGTGACATGTGCACCAGAGACACCCTGAGTAGTGTGACCAGCCTGAGCCCTAGTTTCGTCAACATAATATCATGTGGTAAATTAATCTACAATACCAAGTTGATATAATGCCCATCTCAAGACCAGAACTGACATGATACATGCTGCATATTACACAATAAGCATTGTGTTGCAAGGAGACACTAAGAAATACTTATGCTGGGACACCTTGTCAATGGACATCATTCACCACAACACTGCAGAGTTAAAGTCAGTCAGCATTGAGGATGGCAGTGTGTCATATACCTGATCCGACCACTCCGATATTAATATCCGCTCCGCTTTCCGACCACCTCCGCTCCATCCATCCTCCGCTCCATCCAATTATCATCCACATCCGCCCCTATGCTTCTGCTCGACCGCCCAACCGTTCCCCTTCCATAAATGTCTCCATTCAACTGGAACCTCTTTCCCCTTTTAGATATATACTTTCCCTTTTGGTACATAAGACCCTTACTCCCGGATCACTGGTAATTCCTCTTACCGCTCAATCACTGATCCAATGCATACATATTGATATCTGCTCCAACTTATGTCTTCACCTGTGTAAGTACTTACAAATTATATCCTTGGTACATAGCTTTACAACATAGTTATCCTGACCACTGCCTCATACTTAGAAGTATATAACATATCCTGTACTTAGATATTTTCCTCAGTCTTAATATTACTTGTCTTCTTGCAGTTACTACTTGTGAGAATTCTCAGTAGGACCTTGCCTCCTCCGGACACAAGTTTCATCTTGTTGTCACCTCTGACCCTCTGCTCCAACTTAGAGCTGTGCTCTAAGTCTCCTCCTTGCTTCTCCGCCCCTATCAAATATTCCCCCTGCTCCTTTCCACCCTCTGCACTATCCTCTGCCTTCCCCGCTCCTATCAAGTATTCCCCCTGCTCCTTTCCATCCTCCACATTATCCTCTGCCTTCTCCGCTCCGCTCCTAGTCGGCCCACCACTAGTAGCACTTACCTCCCAACCCTCAAAGCGGTCCACTCATCCTATCATTGGACACCATCGGACCTCCTCCAAATTCAGGGCACATACTCGGCTAAGGGTGCAGTGCAAGAGCTGAAGCCAAGCCCCGACCCCTCTGCTTCCTGAGCCAGCACAGTACCTAACACAGTGGAAAGAAACAAGGTGACGTGCCCTGAGCATTGATAACATCCATTAAGGTCATCAAGGTCAATGAGTGACAGTGGGGATGAGGATTGGGAGAGAGAAGATGAGGAACAAGATATTGAGGCCTGTGACACTTTAAATATGTCTGCTGGGTGCTTTTTAGGTGTTCAGCTAGAGAATTGTGGAACCAATCCAGTTGCAAAGTTCTCAGACATTGGCTGAAAACTTTCTTCTCCAGTGTCATATACCTAATCCAACCACTCCGACCACTCTGACAATATTAATATCTGCTCCTGCCCAACCTCATACTTTCCCCTGCTTACCTACCACCTCCTGCTCCAGTCTGCCCTCTGCACCTAACCCAGTCGGCTCCCGCATCTGCTCCTACTGGCTCTGCTCGACCTGCCTTGTCGGTTATCCTTCCACATCATTCCCACTTTACTATAAACTCCTTTAGGTATATATTTTCCCCATTTACACATAACACTTACTTCCCGGATCACCAGGTACTTTCTATAACCACTCGACTAACTGATCTGATGCATACATATTGATATCTGCCCCAACTTATGTTTTTCACCTGTGTCTACTTACAAATTATGCTCAGGTACATAGCCTCATACCAAGGACTAACTAGTCACTGCCTCCTACATAGAAGTATATAAAAACATATCCTGTACTTAGCTACTCCCCAGTCTTAATATTACTTGTCTTCCCACAGTCTCTACTAGTGGGAATTCTCCATAGGACTCTGCTCCCTCTCCGGACACAAGTTTACCTTGTCAGTCACCTCTGACCCTCTGCTCCTGACTTAGAGCCTACACTCTAAGCTCTAAGTATTCGCTCTTACTTCTCCGACCCAACCAAACCCAATCCCCTTACTCCCCTCTGTTCCGACACACTTCCTCCGCTTCTAGTCGGGTTACCACTAGTAGCATTTACCTCCTGACCCACCAAGTGGACCAAAGCGGTCTGCCTGTCCTATCATTGGACATCGTCGGACCCACTTCAAATTTGGGGCACATACTTGGCTAAGGGCACAGTGCAAGAGCTGAAGCAAAGCCCTGACCCCTCCGCTTCTCTGTCTGAGCATGGTCTCTAACATCCAGTATCTGTATTGAGTGTTCTTTCATAAATAATCCTACTGTATGTTAGCTTAATCTAGTATGTAATGGAGAACATGTATGCCAACACACCTTCTCCCAGGTGGAGGGATAGGATAAGGTAGTAGACTGTGCACACTGAATATGAATACCATCAGCTTCAAAGTTGACAGTGGTGAGTAGGGGCATACCCGGTTGTGGAGGTGAACACATTGGAGTACTGGTGGCTATTGGGGGGCTTGCCATTCTATGAACCGGTGGGCTATTCAATATCTGTCAAGCTTGTTGAGCACATTACTACTTGGGAGTGAGTGATGCACCATGGATGAAGAGGCTGATGTATCAATAGTGCCTTGCAAAGTGGTCACTGCAGTCTGCAGGTGGCCAATGGTTGTCTGTAAATTTGACATCAATGCACTCAACTCATCCATGGGTGATGTTGCTTCAGAATTTTGCTGGCATCGACCTGAAATAACAAGGACATTATTGGGAGGGGAGCTATGTAAGTATAGAATTAAATGTTTTGCACCTAGACTGTATTGCTGGGTGTTGGTGGCCATCAGTATGTGGAAACAGAAACATTGTGGGTGGAAAAGTACTGGTCACAGTGTTTGGTTATGTTTTGGCTTGAAGTTACTGGGTCAGTAATGTACTGGTAAGACCTGTACCCCAATTTGCAATGACCAAACTTGGAGGCACGAACAGCAAGCAAAAAAAAAGACATCATGATCACATCTCCTGGGTTTCCAGGATAAAGTTCAAATTTTTGGAATGATCATTCAGCCCAATGGCAAGAATGTCTGGATGACAGATCTTCTTCTACCTTCTACAACTTTATCACATGTCTGTGGATCAAGAAATATGGGTGGTTTTTTGACCATTGGTTTGACCTTGACGAAGACACTCCTGATCTGGAGGATGATGAACTGGACTTCAAAGAAGGTCTCAGTGCAGATGAGGAGTCTTTGCAGAAGTGAAATGACTACTTCTCTGCTATGTGCCTCGTGAGTTGATATTACCACATTTAGAAGGTATATATTGTAACTTGTTTACAGCGTATCCAGCAGTGGTATCACCATTATTATTGACAAGCGCAAGCTCTAGAGGAAAATGAGGATTTTGAGGGTGGAATGCAAGCACTCACTTATTTTGTACCAAAGCTGCCCTGGAAGCCCCAAATTCTGCAGTGCTATTCTGGGCTATACTACCAAGAGGGCATCAAGTCAAATGCAGACCTGGAGTTTCAGTGGAAGTTGACAGTGTATCAACAAGAGTTGAAGCAGTGGGAGGAGGAGATGAAGGTTATATGTACTGCTGAAAAGATACCACCTGTCAAGCTCAAAGCACCCTCCCATCTATCAGTTCAGAATGAAATCACGCACATGTTGTGGAATGCTGAGTCTCAGGAGTTCTGTGATGAGGTAGAGGGAAAGATGATGGACAAGTATTGTGAAGCATTAGAGACTCACAAGAAGGTGATTGAGCAGGGAGGATCAAATCAGCTGACTGCTGAGAACTATCACGCATAAGTACTCTCACATCCTGACTAATGCTATTGAGAAACACTTTGGGATGTAAACATCAATCTTATTGGCAGGCCCTATCCCGTTGTTGAAGGGAAAGATTGAAATGGGGAGGTGTGTTCTCATGACTTGACATTTGTGCTGCTACTTATATATGTGTTACCCCTAGCATTCACTCAGGCCTTACTCAGGGTGCTTTACCTATTATTTGGCCTCAATTCAACCCCACAGGTTTTTCTCAGGTTGAGGAATGTATGGTCAGATTTGTGGAGCACATTTACTATGAGTCATTTTTGCTTTATACATGTACAGTGTCTAATAAATTCACAGCTTCCTCTGATTGCTGGGCTCATGCGCTGTCCCCTCTTGATGAATTGCAATGTCATGCCTTGCCTGAGCCAAATGGATCAGATGTGTCTATCTGTTAAGGTCATGCTCAAGGGAGAGGTTACTCAAAGGGCTTCAGCTTCAGCTCGTGCACTGCGCCCCTTACCCAAGTATGTGCCCTTAATTTCCAGGGGACAGAGGGGAAGTCCGACAGAAGTCCGGGGAATTCTGGAGGACAGATGTCAGTGGAGTTCGGTGGAACTCCGGAAGACTATGGGGGACGGAGTAAGGCTACTACAGAAATCTGGAGTAGAAATAGAACAGAGGTTAGACTACCATAAGGTAGAACTGGAGGATTAGTCCTAAGGTTTAACCCCTAAGACTCGGAGGTGGACAAGAGGTGAGACTCAAGTCCAGAGATTGCAGGAATGAGCAGAACTAAGATGATATTTGAACTAAGGAGTTCTGGAGTATTACAGGGGTTTATATACTGTAGGTATCATGTAAGTAAATCAGTCAGCAAAGGTAAGGGCTATGTACGAAGCATGTGGAAAGTCTATTACTAAGTGTAACAGATCAAAGCAGTGAAGTCAGAAATGAAGTAAGAATGGACAGATCAGTAAGCATAGTGGAATAGGACATAACTGGTAACTGGAGCAATAGCTAATCTAAAAGGAGTCAGGGGTGAGTGCGGAGATGAAGGCAGAGCGCCAGGCAGAATAGCAAGACAGAGGACCGGACTTTAATGAAGTAGATCCGGAATTCCAGATCTGGAGGTACAGGATATGACACTACTACCTTGCTTGTAGAACTGCCTACTCCATCCTTTGACATTGACCCTGCACTAGTAGAGCCTGATCTTGATTTAGGCAATATTGGGGCATCACTTGATACCCCAGATCAAGCTGGGGGTGGTGCTCAAGACAACCTTTTTATGTCATCATCTGTTGCACCACCACTGCCCTCATCTTTACCTCCTGTGCCCTCACCTGGTCCTGAAATACAGAGATCCAACATGACTGCCACTCCTGATGCTGAAGCATCTACTCCACCACTTGCTGTGCTGTCAGAGTGCATTTTCTCACCTCCACTTGCTGGTATTACCTTTGACCTCTCCAGCTGTTCTGTGTACAGTGAGGCTGACTACAATTTTGTCCTGAAGAATTTGGACTGAGGCATTAAGTGGACACGCTGCCTTCAGTAGTTTGTTGGCTTTGAGCAAGCATCCAGGTTTCCAGTGAGTAGACACTCACCACCTGTGTGTGCCTGGTGTTGATCCCTTGCCCGAAGGACAGTGTGCATAACATTCCCATAATTGACTGCCCTGAAGACTTCAAGATTTGGTTCCACAGAGGCCATAAGAACTTTGCTCCTCAAGACCTCAGGCCATTCATTGCCAGCATGAAAAAATGGTGGTCATCTATTCAACCTGTGGAACATGCCTGTGACACACGTGGTCTCTTCAAACATAACTTAGAAAACATTGATTGGTCAAGGCTTCACAGGGCTGGTAGGAATGGGATGTATCTGGTGGTAGTTGGTTTGATGTGGTGGCATAGAGGATCGACGAATGATGAGGGCTTGGATGTGTGGTTCACCATGGTGGATGATGTCACCTGGGTGCTGGAGAGGCTGATAGCTACACACCAAATGGAATGCTCACCAACTCCACCTCCATCACTATCTCAACCTAACAGATCTTCCATGAAGAGAGGCAGAGGTATTTTCAAGGAGCCTGTTAGGTACCGTGCTGGCTCAGGAGGCAGAGGGGTCAGGGCTTGGCTTCAGCTCTTGTGCTGCGCCCTTAGCTGAGGTCCGACATTGTCCAACGATAGAACGAGTGGACCGCTTCAGTCCGCTTTGAAGGTTGGGAAGTAAGAGCTACTAGCGGTGAGCCGACTAGGAGTGGAGCAGAGAAGGCAGGGAGTGATGTGGAGGGTGGATAGGAGCAGGGGAAGGTTTGATAGGAGCGGGGAAGGCGGAGGATGGGAAAAGGGACAAGGAGAATATTGATAATGGTGGAGGAATAAGGGAAGCACTTAGAGCATGGCTCTAAGTTGGAGTGGAGGGTCGGAGGATCGGAGGGTCGGAGGCGACAACAAGTTGAGACTTGTGTCCAGAGGAGGCAAGGTCCTACTGAGAATTCTCACAAGAGGCAACTGCGAGAAGACAAGTAATATTAAGACTGAGGAAAATATCTAAGTACATGATATGTTATATACTTCTATGTATGAGACAGTGACCAGGATAACTATGTTGTAAAGCTATGTACCAAGGATATAATTTGTAAGTACTTACACAGGTGAAGACACAAGTCGGAGCGGATATCAATATGTACACGTCGGATCAGTGATCAAGCGGTAATAGGAATTACCGGTGATCCAGAAGTAAGGGTCTATGTACCGAAGGGGAAAGCATATATCTAAAAGGGGAAAGAGGTCCAGTTGAATGGAGAGGTTATGGAAGGGGACTGGTTGAGCAGTTGAGCGGAAATGTAGGAGCGGGTGTGGATGATGATTGGACGGAGCGGAGGATGGGTGGAGCGGAGGTGATCGGAAAGCGGAGCGGATATTGATATTAGAGTGGTCGGATCAGGTATATGACAGAGCCAACAAGTGTGGGCATTGTGCTGTCTAGAGGCAAGAGGACGAGGACTGTAGCATCATAGAATATTATACTCACATGTACCTATTGCATTGAATTTATATGTTTTGCTGTGCATCCTAATACATGCAAATACAGAACAACACCTGTGATATGTTTTATTGAGTGTGGGAAATTGATGGTGTGAGCTATAATGCTAATGGTATGTTTCCAGAGGGATGGAACAAACAAAGGGATGTGAGCATAGCCACAATGCCCATGATATGTTTTATGAAGGTATAGAACATGTGCAGAAAATGCCACGATGCCTGTGATATGTTTTATTGAGTGTGGGAAATTGATGGTGTGAGCTACAATGCTAATGGTATGTTTCCAGAAGAGACACAACACCATTAATAAATAGCAGTATTTATATAGAAGGGGCCTTATACCAGAATTTGCAGGCATTTATAAATTTACCTACAGTAAGTTACTATAGTATTACTTAATAGGCCACATGGACTTGTGGTGCAGCTCTCTGGCCCATGTGTCAGCTTTATAGAGTGTGATAGGGTTAAGCTTTCTGTGCTCTAGGGCAGCGCTGAGCTCCATGAGTGATGGTGCCACATCCTGAACAGATGTGGTGAGAATCGTGTTTGGGGCTATTGCAGCCTTCCTCTCATTGCCAAGCAGTACATAACTGCTTGCCTTCTTTGGTCCAGAGAGTTTTGTTGACTCATTTAGAGATGGTGTCATGTTTGCCATCCCAGGTGAGGGTTGCCGAGCACTCAATGGTGCAATGGGGGTTGCACCCAAGACAAACAAAACAACAAGGGCGGGGTGTACTGGGGTCTTGGACCATTCTGGGTTTCTTGTTGAATTTCCCTTCTGGCGAAGCGGGGGGAGAGTGTTTCTGGGAGCTGGTGAAGTGTGTGTGCTGCTGCTCTGTTCTGCTCAGTCCTGCTGTTGTTAACAAGTGGGACTGGAGGGAGGGATGTGGGGAGATGGTTCCCAATGGATGGGGTTGAAGGCATGTGGTAGCCATCAGTGGGAGTGGGCACACAATGGCCATGGGGTTAACCCAAGGGAAGTACAGTGCATGATGGCCAGGGTGTTTGGAACCATAGCAGGGGGTTGGAGCATGATGTCCAATAGTGTGGGTTGATTGGGTGATGGAACACATTGTCCAAGGGTGTGATGAGGGTGTTTGGACATGGTGCCAAACATATTGTGAGGGTGGAGTAATTAATGGTGGGGGGAGAAATGAAGCGCAGTGAGTATAAATCTAAGATGATTGCTGGAATGAGACATACCTGAATGGCTAACTGTTGGGTCCTGGATTGATTGAAGATGGTTTCACATGCTTCATCTAGCAAGTCTTGGTTGATCCTTGCTAGGACTTACCCGGTGTGGGTACAACAAGTGCAGCTGCGATAAATTGATCTACTACACAGTTGGGTCTTTGCTGCCTGCTGCCTCACTTGAGAACAAGCACATTCGACCCTAAAGGGGATTGCTACTGGGGAGTGCTAATCTCTGTCTAAGCGACCCTAATCAACCCTACCGCAGGTAGGATGAGGATCCGCAAAAATGCGGAACAAGCGGAACTAGCAGAACTCAAGCAGAACAAGTGGAACTCAAGCAGAACTCAAGCAGAACTCAAGCAGAATGGAACAGAATGAAGTGGAACTCAACTGGATACAATGCGGAATGTATGGAGTCGTTGGAACTTGCAGATCAAGTCAAAGGAAGTATATCACAAGGTTAGATTGATAGTGGGCATAAGTCAAAGTGGTCCTCTAGTAAGGTGAAGGAAAAGTGGGAAGGTAAAAGATGGGATTCAATAAAAAACACCCAAGCCCTGAGTACCACTACTTAAAGGGAAGATTATTTTCAAGGAACACTGAGGTACAGGTAGTAAGTTCTCAGGAAGCGGAAGTGAAGGCAGGCAGTGCACATGGGCACAATACTCCGGAATAGGGGTCCATGCCATAAGGGCATGTGTCAGTGTGATCCGGGTAACGTTAGAAGCAACAGGAAGAGAGATACAGCATACCAATGGACCTGGAAGGATGGGGACAGGACATGCAAAGGTTGTCTGACGATGCATGGGAATACCGGATAGTGCAGGCGGGTTCTGAAGGATGTGCAGGAATGCAGAACCCATCGGAGGGTGCGCAGGAAACACAGAACGTGCAAAATACACAGAACTGATGTGAGACAATGTGGAAAGGATGGGGTTTTACACCTACAGTGGGGGAATTCCCCACACCGGACTTCCGTCAGACTTTCCTTCTGCCTCTTGGAAATTAAGGGCATGTACTCGGGTAAGGGGCACAGCACACGAGCTGAAGCCAAGCCCTTTGAGTTGCACTTCCCTTGAGCACAACCTTAACAGGCTGCTTCATTTAATTGCTCCCAGGTTAAGTTCTCATCTTTGATAATTTAGGCTTTGGGGTCTCTAGTGGCACTGGCTGGGATCCATTTGTTCAAACCATCAGAAACAGGCAGCATTATGAGGGTGTCCTCATTGGCTGTAAAGGTGGAGCAGGAAGCTTCTTCTAGACTGCTGTTTGTGAAGTAGGACAGTTCGCAGTAGTCACTTGATTTCATTTTGCAAACCACATATTGGCATGGGATGATGATGGGGTCAGAGGGGATGTTAATGTCTTTGATTGGGGCATACTTGGCCTTGTTCTTCTTGTGCTCTTCTTGGATTGTGGCTTCTTGTTCTGCCCTTAGAGTCTGTTGGCACTGGGCTTCTTCTTCAGTGGCTTTTCTGTACTCAGCTTCTGCTTTGCAAGCTTCACCTTCAATCCTGGTTGTCCAATGATGCTTATCTGCATTGTTTTGGATGCGCCAGAGGTTAGCTAGGATTGTTGTGGCTTGCTGGTTGTTAACTGCATCATTGACAAGCTGTGCTCAAGCTTCAGCATACTCTACTGATTGAAAATCAGGAGTGATTGCAAGATTGGGGTTTCCTGCTAGGAAAGGCATAACCAATGTTATGCAATTGCAAAGAATGACAGAAAGAGATGGAGAAGACAATGAGGGACAACTACTGATGCAATGACTAGAAACTTGTCTTCCAATGTGGGTTGTACTTACTCATGCGTAAACTAAATTCTGTGAATACCAGCTATTGAACTGTCAAAGAATTAATTTTTTATATTTGTATGTTGTGGAGTAATAGACGTTACCCCCAAAATGCACGAACTCTAGTGGATATCTAGTATCAGTTACCGAACTGGCTCTAAAATTATGGTGGATCTTTGGTGACGGTTCGATTTGCCGTCATGCCGCATGCATCTTTCATAGTCTGCTGTACATACTGTAAATACAAAGCCACCTGGACAGCCCATTTGGTAAGCCTTATTAGGCTTAGCAATAATGTGCCTCACCAACTATACTTAGGCTTGATTGCAGTAATATCCCAACACCAGCATTAAATCACGCCCCAAATATTCCAATACCTCTAAGCATCACTGTCATATAAGCTATTTACATACAATATTATTTTATCGCCCGAAAGCGGTAATTGCATCACACTACCACCCAAAACATAACCTAATTTGGAAGTTCCTCAATATCAATGTTTCCTAGCTACTACCCCAAGCCTCACCCTGCTCCTCCCTGTGCAGTAGGCTTGCATATATTATGTAGAATAGCTATGATACACCCTATAGAACATATTTTACCGCTATATTTGCTGCCAGCAGGCCATGGGTATCAATTTATAACAAATTATATTAAAATAAGAAAATATCATACAAATGTGAACTATATGATGTCCAGAGACATACCAAGCTTCAGAGACTATGTGTATAATGTTTCTGCAATATATATGAGTACATACAACCACTATTGCAGGGGTTTTATATGTTTTACAACAGTCTCTCAGAAAAACAATCATGACTGCCTTTTTCTTGTTTTTATGTATCTTAACACACAGTACATGGTACCTTTTGCTCATCTATCATTGCTATACATTATATATTGTATCTGGACGCAGTCCTGAAGCTGTAGAACACCATATATTTGATGTGATGGGAACAGGGGTGATATGAGGAGAACTGTGTTCTGGGAGGTAAATATGACATATATCAAAGATCTGAAACCTGGGGCACATATAATACAATGATATAATACTAGAACTACAGGCTCGAGCTACCAGACCTCAATCTAAGTGCTGTGGAAGCAAAGTACATGTTGGAGATGTGTGGGAAAGTATGTAAAACATATGGTTGAAACATAAAAACATACCATAGCACACCACACAAGACCTTCTGGGGTGTAATACATGTGTAGTGTGATAGAGGGACATCATAATGACTATCCAGTATAGTCTTGAAGTGTTACAGGTAATGTATAGGCCTAGGCACCAAAAACTCGAAATTAGGTGTGGACTGCTGTATGAACACTGTAGCCCATAGCCATCAAATGTGAAAACACCACATATATCTGCAATCTGGACCTGCAACACTTCAAGACTATACTGGATAGTCATTATGATGTCCCTCTATCACACTGCACATGTATTACACCCCAGAAGGTCTTGTGTGGTGTGCTATGGTATGTTTTTATGTTTCAACCATATGTTTTACATACTTTCCCACACATCTCCAACATGTACTTTGCTTCCACAGCACTTAGATTGAGGTCTGGTAGCTCGAGCCTGTAGTTCTAGTATTATATCATTGTATTATATGTGCCCCAGGTTTCAGATCTTTGATATATGTCATATTTACCTCCCAGAACACAGTTCTCCTCATATCACCCCTGTTCCCATCACATCAAATATATGGTGTTCTACAGCTTCAGGACTGCGTCCAGATACAATATATAATGTATAGCAATGATAGATGAGCAAAAGGTACCATGTACTGTGTGTTAAGATACATAAAAACAAGAAAAAGGCAGTCATGATTGTTTTTCTGAGAGACTGTTGTAAAACATATAAAACCCCTGCAATAGTGGTTGTATGTACTCATATATATTGCAGAAACATTATACACATAGTCTCTGAAGCTTGGTATGTCTCTGGACATCATATAGTTCACATTTGTATGATATTTTCTTATTTTAATATAATTTGTTATAAATTGATACCCATGGCCTGCTGGCAGCAAATATAGCGGTAAAATATGTTCTATAGGGTGTATCATAGCTATTCTACATAATATATGCAAGCCTACTGCACAGGGAGGAGCAGGGTGAGGCTTGGGGTAGTAGCTACATCTGGAAAATGCTTTTCGTGTGATAGTGTGGGACTTGCCATATTGCCACCTATAGCGGTTGCTTGCTACACTCAACTACTACGAGCTATGGCATGCTACAGTAGACACGTAGCACCAACCTCCTACAATAGCCTCCCCATAGTATCTTATCTTCTTGATAGAGAACACAACCCAATTCTCTCAATAGCCGACTCATTTTTGGCTCGGACCAAACTCAGACACACTCAAGCTGAGACAGCATCAACACGCTGATGGCCAGCCAGCTTCAGACATATCCACTTTGCCTAGCACATTGTCATGCTGCAAACCCGCCCAGTACTGCAAGTCAACCACAATGTCTCACTTTCATTGTGCACCCTGTTGGAAATGAACCAATTGTAAGTCTCACTCAAACTTCATAATCTGGGCCTGCTCCAAACTGATTACCGTCCTACAGACTTTGAATATCAATTTCAAGACCGAATATGGTCACGTCGAGTCAAGGGCAGTGCATAGCACCTTATCTACGACCATCATGCCTTCAAGTCAGGATGATTCTGAGACTGAGCCAGAGTCTGAGCCCGATGTTGCCGAGACGCATAAGTCCACTGGAGTGTCTCCCATACTGCAACAGCAAGCAAATGAACTGTCGATTTGGCACTCCACAACTTGTCTGCAACACAAGGTTAGTCAATCAAATTGCTCCAAGTGTTATCCCGCATTCACGTGCCACATCCAACACAGACAGATGAACCTTCCAGTCCAGTCAAGCGCCTGTGGACAGAAGACTATGGACTGACTTGTGGAACGAGTTGGCGTCAGTAATGTGAGTTTGTTTTCTCAGCTTGTTGTGTCGTGGCACCGAAACTGACCTACTTCCAGAGATACATTGCCTCAATCACAAATGATCTGCGACTCGATGGGGTTTAAGTTTTTTAAATTTTATTATACACTATTTTTTCTCCGTAGCTTCAACAAACAAAACATGTGCATGTCGATGTACGGATTTATGTAGAACTGATCACATATTATGTTGACATTCTCTGCAGTCCAACTGGAATCTCTAGTGCGACCAAACTTCAGCACCAAGTGACAACTGCAGATGATATGACTGATGGGGACTACTTCTCCATGTCGCTGGTGCCTGTGGGTTGATCGAGAGATGACAAACATGTCAAGATTGTGGTCAGGTTCTCGCAAAGGTGTCATCCATTCAATGTATGCGAGAGGGCCTTGCAATTGCTCATTGACGGGATAATATGTTGGAACCTTGAAGACTGATAATACTTGAGCAACACGAAGACCTGAAACATAATATTAATCGGTGTGAGGATGAGAAAATTTCTGATGCTCACCTTCTAAACATGTACCATCAGTGAAAGCATTGGGTTCCATGGTATGCACAAATGCAAACTCGAGACATGCAGGTTGAGCCAGTCTTCGACCTGCACGTGTGATTGGTGGCGAGACACAAACAATGTTTTTAAGTTTGCGTGAACTGACTTCGACAATGGCAGGTAACTCGAAGGCCAGGCGAGAGAACAGGTTGAAGGTGTCAAAGGATTTTGGGACATAAAGAATGCCAAGAGTGCGAATATAGGTGGTCAATGCTTGGAGAAATAGTGATGCATGCTGGTCACTGATAATCTTGTGGGCTGGGACTCTGCAAAGATGAGGAGGATGGGTGGTAGGAACACAGATCATTGAAGTAAGTGAAAACGAAGCAGCATTAGGCTCTGACAAATCTGCATCAGCTTTAGATGCGACGTCTATGCCAAATATTGGTGATTTTTCAACAACAATTTCGTCATCGTGTTCATCACCTTCAACCTCCAACTCCAGACCATGCTCGTTGCTGTCTTGCTGCCCCGATTCTGTGGTTTCCACGGTATGAGATTTATACCAGTCCAAGTACATACTGAACCTGTCAACAGCTTCTTGACGTTGTAGCCAAACAGTCATCTGTGCAATGTAATCCTTTTTGTTTCCGGCACGGTAAGCCTCCTTCACATAGTCAATGTGTAGATGTTCGGGAGACTCGGTATTGAACCCATCTGCAGAGCTGAACCGTTGAATTAATTCAACATAGTGCTGCATTGAATGGATCTTCGGGATATTGAAGTGAGTTGCTTTTCTTCCACCCATCTCGATAAATATGGCCTTGTGCTCATGGAACTCGTCAAGAGCATGTGCGAGTGCATGTAGCAAGTGGTCTGTGTGAGACTGAAGGGAAGAATAATAAATGAAATATGTGACTGTGTGCACAGTTCAGACCACACGTTGGTCGACTCCTCCAGAGATGAGCCCAACGAAAACTTTTTCCATCTCTTTATGTTCCTTGCCCATCCATTGTGATACTGACGAGATGCCGTTTTTGAAGTGCCTCAATCCATGATGTGACGACATTGATTTAAAATGTGCATCCACCTTGTTCTCACCCATAATCCGTGTAGTCCACTGAACAAGGTGATCTTTGAATACCCCCTTGTGCAGCTGATGCAATAGATCGGGAGTAAATGCTTGGAATATATCTGTGTGCAGGAGTGTGGCCCAAAATGGAGGAAATATGGATCGAAGGCTGAGATTTTTGAACTCCTTCATCAGCTCTGGATTAGGTGCGTGTTCATTCTGAGTGAGCATGTTGAGTGTCTTGTTGACATCATGTTTCAGGAATTACTAGTGCAGGCCACGTTTGCTATGGTGGACCTTGCATAATGGGCACCAATTTTCCATGCAGCATGCAACCAAGCACTGCTCAGGATAATCAGCTATGTAGGCAGCAAGTATAGGCCAGAAATGACGAACAGCACCATCTCCACAGGTCATATCTTCACCAACTCGACCTACACTGGCCATAGTTGCCAACATTCGTGTCAGGCATGCATGAAATAGGCGGTACTTGGCGAGTGGTCTGGCTTTATCTAAAAAACAATCGAAATGGCCAACAGGAAGGTAACCAAGCAAGACTGTGGCATATGACAAAACTTGTCGCCACACATCTTTTGAGATATTCCCAATCGTAAGGTACACTGGCCACGCAGACTTGTCGCCACGAAACTGTGAGAGCTGAGTCTTGTCCGATGATAAAATTACAGGAGCAATTGTTGACCCAATAGGAACACATTCCTTTCTCATTTGTGAGTAATTCTGGCCAGGTTCAATGAGAGGCTCCTTACTTGCATATTCCACCACCAGTCCACTGTCCACATCTCATTGATGACTTGTGATCTACCCTCTGGTCCAGTATAGCTGTGTTCGGGTGCATAAACCAAGTTGTCTTTGAAGCACAGGTTCCCGATGAGCTCCCTAATGCATTCCACAGGGTCTCGGAACCATAACTCAACATCTTCTGTCTGTGGTTCACCCTCGTCGTTGGTGATGTCACCAGTAAGTGTCATTGCTTCACATTGCCAATTGATACCTTCTGGAAGCTTGTCAATAGCTGAGAGCAAGGTATTTTTATTGTGAAAAGACGGCTGGACCCTCTCTCGTACCTGTGCAATAGTTAGTTTACTTTGCCACGTCTGAGAATGTGTTATTGATTTGGCCATTACATACCACATTCAGCTTCAGGAATTCCTCGGCCTGGTTATGGCCGACATTCTTGATGAGCCATTTCGCCAGGTGCCATTCATCCTCATCTGCAAATGGTCCCCATATCTCACTCCCTTGCAGCACTTGGTCATCATGGATGATCTCGAACGTCATCTTAGCAGGACCTTGAACTGTGCCCGCTTCAGGGAAAGATTCTGACCATATCTCTCCCATCCAAAATTTGTCGGCGATTTCGTCCACTTGAGAACACTGGCCTGGATCAACAGCAGGTATCTCTGACTGCTCCATCATGATGTCCTCGGAAACCTCAATATTGACCTCTGCTGCTGCTGTATGTATATCATCTTGACTACACAATTGCACCCCTGATATGGTTTTTCCATCACAGTTGGAGCTCAACATCAAGGCTTTTGCCAGAGTTTGGCCCAAAATTGGTCTCGCTGATGGTGGCAAGCAGGTGCCTGAGCTTGATGTCGTCGTATGGCTCCATGGTCTCCAAAGGGCATACAGCAAAACTGGCACTTTGGCATGATTGTTGGAGTGAGGTTGGTACTTAAAGATTGTCAAAGTGAAACTTTGGCTTGACGAACTTCACTCAGGCAAATTCGATAGAAATGTCTAAGTTCAAATTCCAACTATTTTAGGTCCAATGCAACAATTTTTTATCGAGCCCACTCACTCTTTCATGCTCGACTCGGACTGTAACGGACTCTCTGCAGTGGACTTCAATTGTAATCAACCTGAACAGCTTGGACGAGGTAGTCATCAAGTCAAACAGACTTCTCGTTCACTTCCATATTGTAAGCCACCGCAGAAAAAAAGATAAATCACTGATTGTGCTTTAGGTGCAGATATCGCTGCTAAGATGCGATGGTGAGAACAGGCCACAACAGCAACTCAGAGCCATAACCAGGGGATGGGACCTCCTCAAAACGAGTACACACCAGCTCCTGATGCATCAAGATATGCTTATGATGAGAATGCACCACAGCTGAATCCTACATGGCCCACCCCGGGGTCATGGCAGCATGTGACACCAGCACGACTGCAAACATCATTTGCTCCACAGACTCCTATCCAGAATGGAAACATAGTAAAACACACTTCCACTTTGTTCTATTCACCATACTCATAAATCGCATGACAGTCAAACCAATTCTACCACCAGACTAGTAGTATCAGTGACTTTGACAATCAAGAAACCAGTGACTTCGAGCACGCTGCAGCTCAAGACGAGAACCTCTTTCAACTGAATATTCCTGCTATGAACTCTATGGTACATTTTTTTCTTGTGTTTGTGAGGGTACTGAACTGTGCTCAAACTATAGATTACCTCACGTCAAGTTGTCTTGCCACAGCCACGACGTAGTCTGATCCGTCACTCTGGAGGAACCAGCTCGCCGACACCTACAATGAATCCGCCAAACTTATGTGCCCTTTCTGATCATCGTACATGGTCCACATTATCAACAACAACAACCAACAACAACCACAGTCTATCTCGACAGTATACAGAGTCAATACGTGGGACTGACCAAGAAAATACTGCTGTGACTGCGAGTGAGGGCGAAGGTCTCACAGACAACGATGCTGAGCTTCAGCCACCACCACCGAAGAAGTGAAAGAACACTAGAGTGCGAAGTGCTCCAACATTGAGAAAAAAAGAAAGCAAGTTCTTGAGCTGAGCTACATACATTTCAAGCTTGATCTCTGCACTGATCAACCTTTTGCCAATGTTGTTGGTGATCTGGATGTCTGTGCTGCAGATGCCTGGAAGACAGCATGTGAGGAGCTGCGTGTTGACTTTGAGATGGATCCAATGGAATTCGGACTCGTGAGTTTTGCCTTGTTTTGGGAATCTGTACTTACTCCAGGCCCTAGATCAAAGATCGTGTTACTCAGGTTCGCGGGCAAGTGAAAGATATTGCACGATCCTTAGTGCCAAAGATCTATGGATTTGTGAACATCGAGGATTGTGACGACGACGAGGGTGACGATGAAATCAAAGTCGCGCAGCAAGCCAATCGTGACATATATGAGAAGCTGAAGACTAAATCTACCTTTGCCTACCTGGTAAGACCTTCTCCGTCAACTTGATCTCAGAGATCTTACCCTTCAGTGACAGGATCCAAACAACAAGACAATTCCCAATGGCTTGTACCGCAACAAGATAACTATCAAGGTGATCAACAAGCAATTTTTTTCAGATGCCCACGCAGACGGCACCAAGTATCCACAATATTTCACACAAGGCATTCCCCTCAAACTCATCGGATTTGTTCTCACCACAGTGTGTGGTGTATCCATTATATTCATCCCACAGTTAGACTCACTGTTGAAACAGGTTGAGTTAGCTCTAGACGAGTGGCATACAGGCAATTTCGAAAAGGTGGAATTCAAAGGCAAGAAATACGAGAAAGTGTACAATCGTCATTTGGACGACCTCCAGCGCTGGAAGGCTTTCACTGAGGAGAGAGGTGAACCACTCACACAGAAACTCCAGAACAGCTTGCTGGAGAAGGCCAGGTGAGAAACAATCTGCCAAATTATGACTCTCAGCCTCACACTGCTTTTTTAGATCACACGCTGGTGTCACTGTTCACAATGCGCCACATGTTGATACATCGGAGGGACTCTCCTTGGAGGATTTCATAGCAAACCAGGCTTGATTACGATTTACCACTCACTTGATGCTAGTACGGTAATACCATTGCTTGTTCTAGCTTTTGAGTTCCAATGTATAAATTCACTTGAATTGGCTGTGATCGGGGCTAGCATTTCAACGGCGGCGGGATTCCCGACTCGGAGTGCAACTACTACTTGCCACTATCAGCGGCCATGAGCCTAGCTGACAATGGCACTATGGTGTTACTGTAGTGACCTGGTAGTGCCAGTGTAGCAGAGGCCTGTAATAATAGCAGTCTCAGTAGGGGGGACTTACCTACCTAGTTATATCCCCTACCCGAGCTACATAGAGCTACACAGAAATACATAGCTGGGCTACATTTTCCAGATGTAGGAAACATTGATATTGAGGAACTTCCAAATTAGGTTATGTTTTGGGTGGTAGTGCGATGCAATTACCGCTTTCGGGCTGATAAAATAATATTGTATGTAAATAGCTTATATGACAGTGATGCTTAGAGGTATTGGAATATTTGGGGCGTGATTTAATGCTGGTGTTGGGATATTACTGTAATCAAGCCTAAGTATAGTTGGCGAGGCACGTTATTGCTAAGCCTAATAAGGCTTACCAAATGGACTATCCAGGTGTACAAAGCACACCTAACCATATTAATGTCACTGTATGGTCACAGCAGGTTTGTTCGCCGCACGTTGCTGAAACCTTCGTGCTCGCTGTGGACAACAGCGAGCTCAACTACTGCAACATTTCACCACTTCATGCTACCCATTGTCAAGTGTGACCTGAAATTACGGGGAGGCCAGTCTCGAATCTGTCCTAAGGCAGTGTTCATGTCCATTCCTCTCCACACAGCTCATTCCTCTCGAACGAAGGCAGATCACTCTGGGCGCGAACTATGTCCCCACTGGTTGACAGCGAGCTCGAGCTTGTCCTCAGACTTGTTCCCCTCAACATCATGTTCACTAATATTTCTGGCGACAAAGCCACACAAGCAGGTGGACTCGAGAACGATGCTCCGCACGCCGAATTCACATTCCTATCAGCGTGTTGTACCGCCGAAGGCGATGAGAAGACACATCAATCAGACACATCAACCTCGCAGCTTGATTTCAGTTTTATGGGCCTTATTGGCGCGCAATGGGTGGAGCTTTCTGTTCAAAAATTTCAAGAAGGCTGGTGGCATGCACAGTGCACTGTACAGAGGCGGCCGCGGCACTCAACCATGCTACAGACGCCCTGAAGAAGATGCCGGTCGAGCAGAGGATCTGGATGGGGCAACACGTCACCTCCTCCGTCGACACCGTAATACGACTGCATCGCAAGTGACATGACCAGGCTATTGTCCCCACCTGTATCCGGATTCCAACGACCGTGGCATCAAATTGTACATCACAGGGAGCTCATTCGGCACGGTGCCTGCGCAGATATTGTTTGACTTCAGAGTGCGTGGAAACTCAGGAAAGCATCTTTGACATCAATTTGACTATACAAAAGTTGTTACAAATCCTATCTTCTTCATCATGACCGGATTCAACAAACTCCAGAACTTCATGTCATCAGTACTCCTTTACGCCCTCCCGCACGCATCATGCTCATTGTTCCATGCACTGGTAAAAACAAGTACATCGGCACTCAGCTTCGGGAGACAATGACAACGACAGGCTCACCCAGGTACTGTGGAGTGGAGCAAGCCTCAAGGCTCAGCGCTCATGAACATTTGAACGTAGTCCCGCTGGTGATATATCATTTAGTTCCGCCCGTGCATGCCGTAAACCTATAGATTTTGTCATTGAGACAGTAAAACCCAAAATCATCGCCGTTATTGAAACCTTTGACGTCTGAGCATCCCACTTCATCAGTGGATAGCCATCAGCATGTGGTCAAAGGTCTGCACGTAGGCAACAAAAGCGCTCACCAGTTGTGTGGCAGGGTAGGTTCACGGGCGATACCGTCAGATCCTCGGATGCGATGGCTACGCCAGCCATCGCTGCGGCAGAGATGATCATAGTGATTAGTGAAGTGAATTTCATGGCTGAAACTTGATAGTGATTTCTGAATCAAAAACTAATACGCTGGCTTTTATCCGCAGGTAGTGTATAGGGGACAGCCAAGCAATCTGGATGTGCTTGCATCACGAAGCTGCGCTCCGTGACATAATTGTTTTGAAGGCATCAAATAATGTGCCGGACGCACTCCGCCACGAGTCCTTCTGGTAGTACCTGTTAGTGAACTCCGATCTATGGTGATATATTCACCCAAATTTCAGATTTGCAGGGATGCGCAGACGCACTCACCGACCATATGCATATGGAAACTCATTATGCCTGACCCTATGCCTGCATGACCTCGCCACTAGAGCATACTAGAAGCCAGGCCAGTGGTCACGAGGGTAAACTGTAACGGCGTTGTGGAATAATTGACCTTGATGGTTCCAACTCACGAGTTGGTTACCCATCAGTAGACGTATTCTTTAGCCGCAGATCGGGTATTCGCGTCCGTCCTGGATTGACGGTGGAGTTCACGTACCGTTTATGACTGCGTGCTACAAACGCAGTGTCAATTTATCCGCAACTTATTCCAGTTGTTTGCGATATCTGCCTTGCTGATTATGTTGGGACTGGTGCTATACATGGCACGAGCATTTGATTCATCGCGCGCCAATGTGTTCTTGATAGATGAATGCAACGGACTTGGCCTACCAACAAACGTACGTGTGTTCGCTCCAACGTTACGGCCTATGATACAAAATCATGAAATTCATGCACGTGTTTTGTGGAAAGGAAGTGAGCTGAGCACCAGCTGGCAGCAGTTCCCATCAATTCGGATTCGGTGGTCAAAACCTAACTAGTGTCGAGCACGCCAGAAAGTCTAGTTTTCGACAGCCCGGCGCTTGAGCAGCTCGGCTGAGTGCTGAAAAGGAAGCATGGCCGCACGTCGCCTCTGCTTTTGAATAGTATATTCCATCTATTGAAACCGTGTCAGCTGCGACAGACAAAAGCATTTAACTCATTCGCGATGACCTGGCAGCATGACCGTCATCTACTGGTTGGAAACGTGTCTGAGTCGTGTCCGCCAATGACGAGCAAAACTGAAAGAGACACGCGAAACAAAACTGAAACACAGGCTTGAATCCTGATTGCGGAAGACGACAACGGTAGTGTCCAAGCTATGGAGGGAATGGTAGAATATGCAACATGGAACTACACACCAACTGATCCTCTGTTTGAGCGGCACCTTCTTCACGGTGTCTGCCACGGCTGCCTTCGTACAGTCCATGCCCTATCCGAGTCCTTCTCGAAATGTGAGTTATGTGGCTAGGAATGGATGTGAACACTGCCGACGGTCGGACACAACCAGATTCGACTGGCACCGTAATATCAGACAATGGGTAGCACGAAGTGATGAATTGCTGCAGTAGCTGTTGCCCACAGCGAGCACGAAGGTTTCGGCAACGTGCGGCGTCAACTCGGACTGCTGTGACATACAAGTGACATATGATTTATATTGTTAGGTGTGCTCTGTATATACAACAATAAATACAGCGGACTATGAAAAAGGTACGCGGCATGACGGCAAATCGAATCGTCACCAAAGATCCACCATACTTCTTGACGTTGGACGAAGCCCGATACACGATGCAGCCCTGCCAGACGCCTGCGATAGCAGGAACCGCCTGCAAGTGGAATTCCTCTGCGAGACAATCGATGGAGAAATCACGGCGTTGCTGATATTCTGTTCGTAGACCTGACAGGAATCGCATCAGTGATGATTCCAGTGAGTGAACAAAGTTACATACCCCTGAGCCAGCGGATGTAGCCATCATAGGTCCAATGCATCAAAATCTTTGCGATCACTGCCTTTAAATTCGATGTCAACTATGACCGCTCAATGAGGTACATTGCGAATACCTGTCCAAAGGCGCCTTCGATCTCCCAAGTTCCGACGTACCGCCGTCTCCCTGCTGACACTTCCTATCACACTTCCTATAGCTTTCATCGGGTTCGAACTTCGTGCAACTGTCTGCTTGCTGAAGCTTCCCATGGATGTCGTGAAATGAATAAATAATGCCCAGTCGCCTAACACGCAGGCTTCGAAATTGTACCAGAAGCTTGTCACCCTGCAGAGCGCTCCTCATTTCACGGACCGGGGCCGGCTGCTTCTGCATCTGCCTTGCATCGTATTCCCTATCACCAAACTGGGAGGCAAGCCTGGTCAATGCAGAGAGACTTCGTGACCTCGAGATTACCTCGAAAGACGCCCTGCTCCAGTTCTCGCAGGGAAGCTCCCCTCGGAAATATTTGCTTGTCCGTCCGTGGAATCGTGATCTCCTCGGGCTGCTCGACACTGAAGATGATGCGCAGAGGGTGCAAGGTCTCTCCATACCCAGGTGTCCTAGACAACCCGATCGATCTACGTTCGAACTTCAGTCGTTGCGAGCCACGCTATTGCTCTATCAGCTTGAACAGTGTTTCATTTTTGCTACAGCGACAGCGCAGCGGAGATTACAAGAGAATTGCTTCAGATGACGAGATCATTGCGGAAGTCAAAAATACAAGTTCTCTTTGCAGCGAGATGGTCGAGACCCTAGTAATATCGTAGGCGAAGAACAGAAATCGACGAGGTTTCATTTACATCTTGGCAGTACCCGCTTACGCATATACTTACCCCTTTGTACTTGCATCGTATGTCACAACAGAAAAACAAGCTATGTAAAATGAAACGTAGACTGGATGGAATACACCGGGGCGTTCCCCTATTCACCTCAAAAACAGGAAGATGATAGTCGTGCCTTCTTTTTCAAGGTTCTGCTACTTGGGCCATTATGGGGTTTTCAAAGTCTACTTAGCGGACACTGGGGCCTAGTGGCACAAGTCAGAACTTCATCTTCGAATTATTAGAGAAGGATGTTGGCACCGATGATGCACCGTCACCACAACCTCACTAGGTATCGCGAGTAATTGCCAGCGCTCACTAGTACGAGGAATAAAAGGAATCAAGTTGCTTCAAAGTTGTGCAGCTTGATTGTGGAACCCATATCTATCCTCGATCTTCCGTGATAGTGCAAGAACATTATCGAAGGCTCATCTGGAGGCCAGGTTATTTCACACTGTCGGCGAAGCTTGCACACGAAGAAGTCAAGTATGGCCCGGTGATCATTGTAGTACATCATGGAACACATCCTCGTAGTAGTGTAATGATGCATCACAAGATCATACTTCAAGAGCACCGTCAAAGACAGAAAAGAATAAATATATGAAAATGGTCACCAAGGCAAGCTCAGTTCAATGCAAGGAGCATTTTCCGAGGGTCCTCAATGAAGTCACGAACTTTCACTGAAAACGGCGTCAACGCATCAGATAACGGTCACATGAGACAGAATGAGGAGAAGAGTACGGACCTAGGAAGGTGACTGCCTCCCGACCATCGAGTAATCTATGGTCGTAGGTGAGAGCGACGACCATGATAGGTCGAATGACGATCTGGCCGTTGATAACAACAGGTCTGTCCTTGATCGCGTGCATGCCGAGCACAGCAGACTGTGGCAGGTTGATAATGGGCGTCCCGTACAACGAGCCAAAGACTCCACCATTGGAACTGAGAGCATAACATTAGTCTTGGTGGGGGTTGAGCATCAAAGAAGCTCACATGGTGAAGGTACCTCCTGCCATGTCCTCGAGTGTCAATTTGCCATCCCGGGCCTGAAGATGAATGGGTAAGCTGCAGGAAAATGTGATTTACACGTCGCTTGCCTTGTTTCCGAGAGCAGCGATCTCCTTCTCGATCTCAACAAAGCCCATGCCCTCAACATTCCTCACTACTGGTGTGACCAAGCCCTTAGGTGTCGCGACAGCGACACTCAGGTCAACGTAATCATGGTAGACGATCTCGTCACCCTCAATGGACGCGTTTGCAGCAGGAATCTCCTTCAGTGCCAGCGTGCACGCACGAGCGAATGCACTCATGAAGCCAAGCTTAACATCATGTTCTTTGAGCACCTCGTCCTTGTACTTCTTCCGCATCTCCATGAGAGAAGACATGTCGATCTCATTGAAGGTCGTGAGCGAAGCGGCAGCGTTTTGCGACTCCTTTAAACGCTCGGCAATGCGCAGGCGCATACGGTTCATCTTAACCTAAGGGACAGAGACAGATCAACACCTCAGAAGCAGGCACAGTAATGCTGCATACTCTAGTCTCGCCCCGACTGCCTGGTGCCTTTGGTGCAGGGGGAAGTGTTTTTGACTTCTCCTTTGGTTTCGAGTCCTGCTTCACCTCCTTCTTGGGCTCTTTAGGTGCTTCCGGAGGGACACCGCTACTCTGTTTATCGGCACCCGATGGTGCGCGAGGCTCCGGTGTCGTCTTGTCCAGCTGTTGGTCCTTGGGTTCTTCAGGATCTATCTTCTGCTCCTGAGGGGCAGATGATGCTAGAGCCAGGTGGTGACGTGATGAAGTAGCATGTCTCGTAAGTTACACGGAACTTACCACCACCTTCGCCAGGTTCAATTCTGAAGAGGTCCTGACCAACACTGACAGTATCATCCTCCTTTGCGAGCAGCTCCACAATCTTCCCTGCTGTAGGTGCATTAACACTGACATCAATCTGCAAAAGGTCAGATTGGTGTATTTGCTTGATAGACGCCAGTAAATTGATGCTCACCTTATCCGTCTCAATGGTGGCAACCTCCTCATCAACCTCGACGCTATCTCCAACCTGTTTTGACCATGACCGGAGTGTACCTTCGGAGATGGATTCTGCCATCTGTGGAACTTTTACAGTCTTGGAAGAGAACTGTGCACGTCTGATGTGCGAATCGGCGATTTGCCTATCCATACAAGAGAGCGACCATCCGTCAACAATGTTGGTAGCGGAAAAAATGCCCAGAGAACACGCACCATCCTCTAGACAATGATACAGCAACGTATTGGGCATTTCTGCTAGCGAGAAAAGCACGACTGCGAGCGACAGCGATAACTCGTTTCGAGAGCATTTCTACGAGTCGGAATAGACTAGAAAATACCTATATAATAGAAACAGACAGCTTCTGCGCTGCGCTGGATGATGAGTACGGAACAAATTGGGGTGGACACGGAGGACACGCCAGTGATGATAATAATACGTGACAGCTCGCTTACTATAATAAGTAGGTTGCCATGAGACACAGAGCATGTACCACTTCAAGTGAGTACTACTATAGCTAGGCGCTTGTGCATAATTTCTCGACCTACGCTGATCGTCCTCCTTGTGTCCTTCGCCAGAAAGAGACTCTGGAATCTGCATTTACAGCTGGTCACCAATAAACTTCACAGGTGCGGCGTGAGGCTCAGTGAATAGGTTTGGTTGGGCATCCGAGTCGGTTACGGCAAAGAAGTTTTGCGTCCAAAGGGCTACTGGTTCACCAATCACTCCGTGCTGCGGCAGTTCTCGTGGCATTGTTGATAGCCAAGGCTCAGTGGCTTGTCGTGGGGCTGCTTGAAATTCCCAGCTCTATAGTATACAAGGAGTCTGTTGGATTATTTTCAGTGCCTCCAGTGCAGTCTACTGTTACGTGACACACGATAATATGTTGGTCATAGTCGTACAGACTTCGTGCCAAAGGCTGTGATGCCGGAGCGAGCGTGCAGATGGGCTTTGCGTTCTGTGAGACAACGTGTTTCGTGCTTCTGAATATGCTGAACGATGCTTCGTCACAGTGATGTATCTTCATCGTACACGCTTTCGTGCAAATCAACAGCGATAATCTCGTGTTTACGGATCAATGGTTTCTGATCATTCGAGTAACCTCAATTGGGGTTAGAGAATCAAGAGGCGGTCAGACTGTAGCAGCTAAGATAGTCCTCAAGAGATCGCGTTGTCCTTAGGCACCGCAACTGATTGAGGACTATCTTACTGCATTTGCCGGTACAATCCGTCCAACGAAGTCGCGATCAATTCAGATTTTCATCCTGGCGATGGTGCTCTACTCGTGCGTTCAAAATCGAGCACAAGCATAAATTAATGCTATAGTAGGATCTGAGCACATGCCACCTTTGAAGACTGGTCATCATCACCTTTTGTCCTTTTGTCGAGGCTTTGTGTAGAGGAGGTTCTCTTGGAGCACCTCTCTGTACCTTTCGGTTTGTTTGTTGCTCATTTAGGTAGCCAGGAGCCAAAATTTGTATCCAACGAACGGCATACTGGTCCTTGCTTTATCTGATCTTCCGGTTTATCGTAGTTGAAGATACAATTGTGATCCATACCCCAGACTCGGTAGAGTTGCCGAAGTCCAGTCCAGCCAGTCTCATTCTTCATGGACGCTGATCGCACCTTCGATTCAGGGCACGTTTGTACCTCAAACTCCAACTTCTCCGAAATTCAACAATTAACTGAAATGATATTATACAGGATCTGGTGGGATGCAGTATGCATGATAAATTATCCAACGGCATCCAGCCGCCGAAGTAAATGAAGGCATCGACGTTGAATAAGAAGTCGATGACAGAACTATATTGATTCTTTGATGTGGCGGTTGAAGGAACCGTCCCAGACGAAGCCATTGCGCAAGAGGAGGTCATCAACGTGGTGATACGGATGGTAAGCAGGCCAAGGATATGTAATGCGCAGCGGAAGGACCGCCGGTCGGCGAAGTCGTTTTGCTGGCAGAATTTCATATGTTGTCAGATGTCTCATTCTAGCAAGACGCCGAACACCACAGCTGGCAAGGTAATTAACTTGATGCGTTGAAACGGTATCAGCTGAGCGGGCATTTGCTGAATCATTTATCTTACAGAGCCATACTAGGAGGAATGGATCTTCCATGGCCAGAATTCATCAAGAAGTACATTCAGGAAGGAGATACGCAGCGTCGTGCGCTGTTCCATTGTTCCGACCACTTTCTGCACGAAGAGATGGCGGAGATGAACAAGAACATGCCGCCGGCACGTTTACCCTTGAAAAAGAAGGAATGACCGTCTTCCTTCGTTCAAGGTCGTACTACGGGAGACTGATGTTTCCCGTGCATAACTACCGGAGTTACAATTAAGCGCGCGGCGGCAGCAGCCTGTGCCTGGACGTTGTTATTGAACTCCTCGTCAACTCCTCGTGGTCCAGTTGGAAGAACAGGAAGATTAATGAGCGTGGGGTATGAGCTGCATGATGAACAGTCCACCTTGTCCTCGCGTCGTTCAACACGGATGATTGTCCGCAAACCGTGCGGTCCAAAATATTCCATTAAAGACGGTATGAAAAGTCGTAGTGCAACTGACACATTTGGGGGGAAGCCTGGAAAGACTCCGCAGTCCCCAGGCAGAAGCGTACGACCCGTCAATAGTCGTCTCTGGTGGCGCAAGCTACAAGGAAGAAATAGGTCAACCTAACATGCCCACCCACCAACTAGCAACTTGAAGTCGCCACCCTTGAAAGAAGTATTGCTGAGGTTGCGGTTGTTTTTTCTGAGCAATTCCAGCTTGACAAGATAGTTGAAGTGGTCATGCGTGACGGAGAGTAAATAAAGTTGGGGCAATTGATTTGGGCCTATACGTTCGCGGTGCCGCGATCACTTTCACTCGCGAAGATGGTTATCCTAGACCCTGCATTCATATGACACTCCGGGTGAAACATTGTAAGCGCCTATAACACCGAGGACTTTATGGGCTTACTTAACCGGCCGCCAAAGCAGTAGGCGTAGGGTTTAAACTTCAAAGGAGTATTAAAATCGCAGGCGACAGCGTAGCGAGGCGCTGCGAGGGACACTATCTAGGCACCGTCAATCCAAACCTGCCACACCGCGGCAAAGTTCACGATACCCATTTCTATTTTGCTTCGCGTAGCTTCTGCGGTGAACTCAAATTGTTATCAGTGTCGGGTACCAGTGAGTGACCGAAGGCTCGTATTTTGAGTTCCTTGATGGATATGCCGAAATGTACGAGACTGTACGTGTCATATCGGAGCTCTGTCACATCCATCGGCGGCTTTGTGCAGCATCGCCAAACCAGCGACCAAAAAAATGATAAATGGCCTTGAATATTGAATGATGCGAGACAGAACACATAGAAGATGTCTTGGTAAATGGGGCAGAGTTGCAAGAATGCCTGAGAAGAAACAAAAACAAAATTGGTTGGAAGCACATTGTACTAGCACCGGTCGAAATCGAGTAGAAGGCCATCGCACAGAAAAGAAGAGGGGGATCACATTATTAACCAACGTTCATCGCGACCAAATATCCATCCCGCTCATTCTTCTCGCCTCTTTTGGCTGTTGTGACGCGTCACTTGCATTAAACGGGTTTCGTTGAGCTGCCTGCGGTGGAACTTGCACGGCCGAAGCCACGCTTGCGCCATAGAAAGATTGCGGACCAGGTTGCGACGTCTGAGGAGCTTGCCTTGAAGACGACATACTGGCTCCCTGAGTCGCACCACCACCATAAGACTGATATTGCTCAGGCTGCATCGGGACATACAGCGCCCCGATATCTGTCCGCTGAGTGAGCGGGTCAAAAGGTGGATTCGGGGCCTGTTGCTGTGAAGAAAATGTTGCGGGGTACCGCGCACCGGTACCAGTCGCATTTCCTGCGTATGCCTGCGTCGGGCTAGTCACCATTGCGACAGGGTTGAACCCGCTCGCACCCGCCGTGTCACTGCGCGCAGCAGACCGGACATTCGACATGACAGCCTCCCTCCGATCATCGTCCACTACAATAGTGGGCTGGTAGGAGTGCGACAACTTGGAAGGTGGCGGCGGGTAACGGGTGGATGAACCCCACCCGGACATGCCGTTTGCCGCAGCAAGCTCAGCCTGTTGCTGCAGATATTCGAGCTGAGGGTACGGCTGTGCCGCGCTCGGCTTCCCCGCCTGCCGCCTTTCCCATTCGCGCATAGCGTCATCCCGGTTGAGCACAGGTGTCAATGCGTTTCGTCCGGCTATCGCATCCTGATTCATATGCTGCAGCCGTGCCAGCGCAGGAGGAATCATGTCGTTATGGTTGATAGTATTGGCCCGTGCGCGCGCATGGGGTGGGGCGTAGTGTGATGTAGTAGTGGGAGGGTTAGGGTTGAGCATCCCAGGCACACTGATTCCCGTCCCTTGCGAGTAGCCAGGGCCAGGGGGATTGAGCCCACTAAGCTGCCCAGGCTGGGATGATGAGTAAGTGTGCTGCTGAGGCTGTTGAGCGGGGAATGCCGACGGCGCAGGTGCATCCTGAGATGGCTGGTAGGACAGTGGCGGGGGCGGGGGCTGCTGTTGAGGTTGCTGTGTCTGGGAAGGAGGTTGCTGCTGCGTCATGTATGGGTTGCGGAATACAGTGTTGGCAGCCTGAGACGCGGCTTGCGCCTGCGCAGTGTAAGCCTGATGTTGAGCAAGCTGCTGGTTGTATGATGCCGCATCCTGGAACGCTCTGGTGCCTTTCGGCTGCTGAGGAACAAGACCACCATATGGCCGCTTCGGGTCTGTATTGCCAGACGCGGACGACAACTGCGTAATCTGGGCAGCGGTGTGTCCATTGGGCTGTAATAATTTGTCAGTAAAGAGCTTCCAAAAGATCGATGAAGAAGATGACGTACTTGGAAAGGTTTAGTGAACTTTTCACCGGTGATAAAAGGGTGCATTCTAGCCTGCTGAGGTGACCATCGTTCTATAGGGTTCAGATTGAGCAGACCCTGACAGAAGTCGATGAACGATGCTCGATTGTTCAATTCTGAAAAGGCCACGTGAGAATAAGTCAGGCAAACACCGAGAGCATTTCATCATACCTTTTTCCACTTCGTGTCCCTGCCGAGACGATGACTTGAACGTAGGCATTGGCGCGGTGTTGACGATCTCCGGTAGCGTGTTCGCTTTGAAGTAATGCTTCCCCGGCTGTTCCTTGGTGTTATGCTCACGAGAGTACTGCTCCAAGGATTTGAGGCGGTACTTTTTCTGGCCGTACACATCTACGTAGGAGTCGAAAAACTGTTTCGTCTGCTTTCCCATGTCCAGCATGTATGTTGGAGGCATCCTGCAATTGAGGCATAGTGGATCAGTCGATGTTGGTAACCTAGCTAGTGAACGAAATACGCACCCCAGCATTTCGACGATCCGGGTGATCTGATTATATTCACTCGTCCCAGGGAATAGCGGTAGCCCCAAGAAGAGTTCTACAGCAATGCAACCCAACGACCACATGTCGATCGAAGATGTGTAGGGTATTCCGAGGATGACCTCAGGCGATCGATAAAATCGCGACTGGATATACGTGTACACCGTCTGTCGCTCATGACACGCTGACCCAAAATCAATAACCTTGATTTGGGGTGATTGGAGCCTAGTAAAATTGAGTGCGGGGTATTTGCGGGATAGAAATGTGAGATTACGATTTGAGAAGAATATTCTCTGGTTTTAGGTCGCAGTGGATCAGCCGTGCATCCTTGAGCACAGTCAAAGCGTCTAATAGCTGAGCAGTAAACACTTTCACGAGTTGCGTGCTCAGCCCTTGGAATTGGTTTTGCTTGATCAGCTCATAGAGGTTAGAGGAAAGCAGCTCAAATACGAGACATAAATGATTTCGATGAATGAACGAGTCACGAAGTCGCAAGATATGATGCTCGTCATGCGGATCGCAAGAATTGTTCAGCTACGGATATCAATGTGAATATGAGCTTGACTTGATTTGTAGAGAAACGTACCAGCTCCAGGATCGTGACTTCCATCATACTCTGGTTGAAGTATGCAGGCTTATTTTTCACCACTTTCACTGCCACGATCTCGTGGGTCTTCATGTTTTGACATTTCACCACCTGACCAAAAGTTCCTTGGCCAAGGATATCCAGAATGAGATATCGACTGCGAATACTTCAGTATACCGTGTAGAGCATGCAACATCAACGCACTTGTGACCATCCTCGTTTCCCAGCCAATCGTTGACGTAGAGAATATAATCGTAATCCTCATTGTCATAGCCTTCGTTGTGCGCGGGCTTACTCGGCTTGGTGAGCACCCTCCGCGGATTGTGCGCAGATTCATATCTAAACTGCGGGTTGCAGATGTGATACGTGTCGAGGATGCCGGTAGTCAGCTGCTTCAATGGCTATGTCACCGATCTTCAGAACCCAACCGCGATCAAGTGGGGAGCACACGCACCGACAAAAATGTCCCATTGGCATCCATTCGCCTGCCGGAAGGCTGAGTATTTACGTAAGGTCTAAGATCGCGTGTATCACGGACTCTTCTGAAACCGGAAGCTCGGCGTCGATGCTGCGGCTGATCAACGACCATGGGCTGCTCTTGGTAGTACTGGTTGGCCGGACTCTGTGGGTGAGAGAATGATAGAGGGGTATTTGGAGTGGAGATGGAACTTTTGATAGGTGTTTGGGTGGATAGATGAGTCTGATTTTGGTGTGGTGCGGGACTGGAGGAGTCCATAGCATACGCAGCATAAGCAGCCTGCGCAGCACTCTGCGGAGTGTAAGGGGAAGATAATGGCGGCGTTGAGGCCTCAACCTTGGTTTGAGAGGTAGCACGGGAATGAGACTGATAGGTGGATGATGAGTTGCTTCTCTGAGCATCGGATGACGAGGCGTAGAGGTAAGGGGTGGTAGACGGCGAGTACTGGGCTTGTTGGGAGTATGGATCCAAGAGCGCATTGCCCGTACGCATTGGTGAACGCCCAGAGCGGGGTGTAGGGTCATGCTGTGTGTGGGCTCGCTTCGGAGGGTTCCCACTGGATCCATTGTAATACATCTCTGAGTACGGTTCGCTGGACACGCCTGTGGGAGAAGCGCTGGTGTTGGTTGGAGGAGGACCTGGAGTTTGGTGGAAGGCAACGCCAGAAGGGTAAAGAGAATTTGGTGTTGCAGCCATGTGTCTAGAGCTAGGAACGTTCTGGGCGTCGAGATTGAAAGCGCCCTCAAGATCTTCTGGTTGATGGTGACGACGAGCCCTAGAAGATCCGTTACCAGCTCCACTACCACCACCCAATGACGCACTCCGAGAAAGTTGGTTCAAACTGCTAGAAAGGAAAGAAGATGTAACGCTCGTTGGTTGATCGTGATCAAGGATATGAGCAAGACGAGGCTGCCTGGAGGAAGAACCAGGAGATTGAAGCAAGGGCGGCAATCTCTGACCTAAGTTTGTGAGAGACTGCGGGGGAGGTGGAGGCGGTGCACTGGGATAAAGATAGGAAGCTCTAGCCGCAGACTGGGCAGCCTGAGCAGACGAAGACAACGGTTCCAGATGAGCGTGAGTTTGCCAGCGAGGGAGATCAAAGTCTTCATTTGTGTTGGTCATGTAGGCCAGTTCGGGTTCCGACATACTCTGTCTACGAGGATCAAGTTAGTATCGCGTCGTCCTCGTAAGTCAGAAAATAATGCTAGGGCCGTTTAGTAGGTCGTGGTCGTCGTCAACGGCAAGTACGGCAAGTAAAAGGAACCAAGTCCCAGGCTACAATTGTAAAGTAGCGCCAAGTGCCACACGGTTCTATGTGAGGGGTTAAGGGTCGGCTAATCGATACCACAGATCCCAATCAATTCAACTTTTCATTCTCAAAAAATTACAATACAGTGCCAACACGAGTTTGATACTATGCTCCAACTTTTGATCCATGTGTAATCTACTCGGAGCTAGGAGCCTCTGTCCTCAGGAGAACACGTGGTGAGGGGCTCCATGGCCAGATCACGACTCACCAAGCACTTTTGACAACACAATTTGTATTACAATGATATTCCACAGCATGGCACGCGCCTAGTATCGGTTTGCATAGCAAATTTGTTGGGCGCCGAAAAGAGGGGAACTGAGATAGGGCAGAATTTATTATGCCTCTTGCCCATCTTCATCTGCCAGACTGTTGAGGGCGGCAACTATGCCTTTCTCTGCATCAAACAACAGATGCGATCCCCGTGGTGTAGATAGAAGGCTGGCAGGCACATCAACCGATAAGAATATCTGTCGATGGAACCTTCGTGCTGGAATCAGTCAATGATGGCGAATATAAATCAGCAACGGGTACAGCAATCCACATGGAAGAAAAAAATGAATTTCACTTACCAAGACGTTGCGCCATTGAGAACGAGACATCAGAGCTTGATGACCGAAACAAGGAAGTGGCAGGTCCAACACCCTTTCAGAACCTGCTGTAGTTGATGTATGAATAGTTAATGACACCATTTACTTACTACATTCCCGGGTAGTGAGGGCATAGCACATGCCCAATCTCTGCAAAGTATACCGGAGCGGGCTGCGTCCTGCACAGACTCTGGCGGCTGATTCGTAGCACCAACCCAAATCATGTAGGAGCCCACAAGGCTAGTGATTTGCAATGCAAGGGCAGGTAGAGACGGGTCGGACGGCGCAACATATTTTGAGGTGACCGAAATCAGGGAAGAATTCACTTGTGAAGACGCGGCCGCCATCGTGAATCACTGAATGTATCCGATATGGTGAACAAAACCTTGCAACGCGATAAGCACGAGTTGATGAAGAGAGCCCCAGCCCAGTCCAGCCTTATCAAAATTCAAATGAATCACGTGGTATCTATTATTCCTCAACCGTTACTTGAAAGTTGACCGTTACTATCATGTCCTTCAGTACGCAGTCAACGAGTCCTATGGGCGTAGATGGTGTCGTACGTTGTTTACATGGCGAAGCCGCAACGCGGAGGACCAGTCACACGTCCGATAATCCTAACCGGTATGTTCAACTGAAGGTGATAAATCGCCACTTGACATCCTCTGCACAGCGACTTCTACACTTGTGCGAGACGGAACATGAGCGAAAAGTGCAGATTCTTTTGTGAGATTTTCTCCTAGCACTCGTAGAAGTATCTGAAGCGAAAGTACTCAGATTGGGTAGACGACCCTATTTTCCAACGACAGAATATTAGGGTATCTCCCCCCGCGCCTGTGCCGTCGATTCCACCTCCCTCTCAGAGGCAGAGAGCTGAGTTGGCTCGAGGACTGGCTACACCTCAAAAGAGTCCGAGTTCGAGACTAGCAGACATCGAAGCTGCCTTAAATGGACCGGGGCCTCAGGCTCCTTCAATGTTACAACACAACAGCTCCATTCCACCCCCTTCTCAGAGGCAGACAACCGAGTCGTTTCGAGGACTTAATACACCTCAAAAGAGTCCGAGGAAGAGGCTAGCAGACATCGAAGATGAACCGGTGCCTCAGACTCCTTCAATGTCACAACACAGCACCTCCCAGCCAAACACAACGGTTACGAACAGCGTTTCGCGCTCGTTTCTTTTCGGAGACCCTCAACCCTCTCAGGCATCGACGACCGTGGATTTGGATGACGGACTGCCAGAAGAATTCGAACCATCAAGTAGTGACGATAACGGTTCATCCGTGAATCCGGTCCACTTTGGTCCTGGAGGTGCGGATCCAAGGACACCAAAGAAGTCCAGAATTACACCCGTGGAGCCGCCTGCTCACTATTTGCCAATGACTCCACCTCAGACTGATCGCCGCCCCGCCGACACTAATTTTGGCCAGGGCACCTTCCAAGTCGCAGATTTTCCGCCTACTCCGACCAGGAACAAAGGCAAGGAGCGGGCAAATACTGGCGGGGAGCAAATGGTGGGTCTCGATTTGTCTCTTGCAGAGAGACTGATTTGAATCTTTGTATAGACAGCAGGCGCAAATGCTCCCGTCCCTGGTCCCTCTGAGAGCAGAAGCAACACCCTCGAACGTACCCTCTCTAACCCTTTTATTGTGGAGGAGAACACTATCGGCGAAAGAATTTCTTCGCACCTGGAATCATTGATCGCCTTGTCAGCAGCACCCTATGTTCTCAAATTGGAGAAGAGGGTTAGTGCGCTGGATAAAAGCAATAAATTCAAAGCAAAGTATATCGAGAACATGAAGGACTCGGAGAGTGAGAATACGCGCTTGACAGAAGAGAATGCGGGTCTGGAGAGGGAAAATGCCCGATTGAAGCAAGAGATTGCTGATCTCCAGGAGAGGTTACGACAGTAGGAATTCTGCTGGTGACCGTTCTTCATGTTCACACTCAATATTTTTTCAGGTCTGAGCAAAGCAGCCGCGTTAAAGATATCGAAATCGCGGCCATCAAGTCCCGTCGTCCTCCAAATATGTGATTTTGAATCTATAAGGATGGTTTACTTCTTGGTTTCTTTTTGGTCATATTGATGAGGCAAGGAGTTTCTACTGGTCATGTTCCCAACATCTTTGCATTCGGTTCAAAGGCGATTTCACACAATGTTCTAGGTAATCTATAGTGCGTTCGTGAGGTGTACGGACTCTTTCAGTCAGCTACATAGTTATTGTTCAATATTTTTGTCTAGGCACATTTTCTCCTTCTCACCAATTTACTATCGCTGCTTCAAATCTCAATCTCACGGGGGGATCTCTGGAGGCATTAATCTTGCTGCCATGTGCGAACCGATTGAGGATCCGAGAGCGCCATCACGGCCACGCATTCGAGGCCTTTGGCAGAGGGGAAAGCCGCTTGCCGCCAATCCTTCGAGGTCAACTTCAACTGTGTCGTATGTCTCAACGACGAGACAGGCGGGACCGCGGCTCGGCTTCTAGTCGGTCCTCGCATCAAACTTTTCTTCCCCACTGTTCGGTTCAGAAGCAAGAAGTGGAAGCCTTTAGCCAGTAGTCTTCTTTCCTCACGCGCGCCGATATGGAGGATTTTCGTGGTTGTCATCATACATAGCCACCACCAAATCGTAAATTTCATTATCATAGCGTCATGCGATGCGCTACCTGCTCCGGGGACACATGGAGGGAATACTATCCGGACATGCGAGAGAAATTGGAGGCCCACGATGACGGACGAAATTCATTTTCGACAAGTATTCTAAGAAGTCGAGGCACACGATAACGGAGGGGGTAGAATGTTGTTGATCGTCGTGTATTCTGAGAAAAATCGAGGCCGCCGTCCGAACACGCGTCCAATGGCACGCGCGCCGACTGCGCGTTAATAAGTACTTGGCGTCGGTCGCATGTTCCAAAGGAGCAGGGAAAAGGAATCTGCCGCGAAAGGGGCCAATGATCTCCAATGATTTCCTCTCGCAGACTAGTCGATCAACTAGACAGAAATAATACAAGTGTACGGCCAATGACCTTGTCCATTGCAGTGAGAACCCGTTGCCATGCACATCTCTCGCACACATGCCGCAGCCTGCCGCAGCTGAATGCTGAGTGAGCACCGGGTCGCGTTCCATGAGCTGAGCACGTTTGAACCGAAAAAATCGGATGCAAATAAGAGGCGATCGAAAACCAGTAACGTATGATATCGCAGAAAACTAATCAGCAGCCGCGTTCCAAAGGCCTTAGAGGGCCTTTTCTCTCATGCATAGTGATCTGGAATAAAATTGGCCATCCACTTGCTGCTGAGCAAGTCTTGCTGCGCACAGGACGAGGGCTAAGTTGCCCGCGATGCCCTGAATCCAGCCAACAGAATCCATCAAAGAAAAGGGGCTAATAGACATGCCGTGCAGGTGCTAGACCTCCCGGACAAAAGGAATCCAAGGAGTTCCGGTAAGAGAGCGCGCTTGGGGAACTCTACACCGCACATAACCCTTGCAGCCTACCGAAAGCAACCGATAAATCGAGCACGGGAAAGCACTGGCTATCTTTGTGCAAGCGACAGACCCTAAACGTGCCCAAAAGGACACGGGAAACCTTATGGGTGCAATATCTAGGAGTTGGAGTTCACGTGCAAGGCTCTTGGCTATCGCCGCTGGACCAGAACTCTATTGCTCGCGTTTAACTTCAAAGATAACTATCCTGCAGATATGTCAGAGCAACATCGAGAACGACGTATTATTAAAGTACCTGCCATGTGGTCGGAGATGAGAATTCCTCGAACGCAACAAAACGTCCATCACAAGCGTCTATGTTATGTCAGGGTGCAAGGACCTTGTGGGGTTTTGTCCTGGTGCTCTGATAAGAGATATGCAAGTCAGTAGTCGTCCCTTTGAGAAGGGAGCATTCGCGAGGATGCGTATGTGTGCCCTCGCGGATATATTGTCTCGTATCAAATCTTGGATCAACTCAAACCGCATGGACTCGACCACTGAGTGACAGCTTGTCTCTCCTGTCCTTCATGTGTAAGCGAAGTCTATCCAAAGCCTGATCCAAGATGGAAAGCCCTTCCCAATAACCTCCGGTACGCTATCTTGACCACCTGGTGGCGATATTGATGGGCTCCCATGCTCTGACAGATGGCAAGGTTACAGCACTGCTCTAGCCCGAGTCTAAGCAATGTGTCACCCCTACTAGAAAGTAAACAGTAAGAAATTAACTTAACTTCGGTAAGTACATAACGCTCCTGGAGTCCTGGCTTGACTTTGTGTAATTTTTTTTTAGCTCGAGTCTGAGCAATGTGTCATCTTTACTAGAAAGTAAATAGTAAGATAGTGACGCAACTTCGGTACCTAAGGCTCTTGTAAGGCTCCTTTACGTTCACCCGTGAGGGTTTCCCTATACCGAAACGAGTGTCGAGGACCCAGCTGTCAGTAGAAACGACATGTTCCTGTGGACCATTACAGCCCTCAATGAGCGCCATGTTCGAGGACATTCGACGCTTACGTGCAGGCGATCCTGGCATTACCCCGAAATTAATGAATCGACGGTACCGGACGACCTCAAGTAAGCGATAACAAGTTAAACGATTCGTTGACGTGTCAGCAGGAGTGTCCAAAATGCTATCATTGTATAACGCAAACATATGCATAACGATTCATTGGAATGATGATATCCCTAGCTGACAGTCTGTGTTTTCATTCCGGATAGCGTCTGTAGATGGTAAGTGTACGCTGGTATATGCAAAATGATAAACAAGGAGTGTTACATATGTCCAATGTCTTGGGTGAAGCACCATATTTAGCAGAACAATCTTCGCCACCAAAGGACAAATCTTGTCCACCAGTCTCCACGCCAACCGTCGCCGCGCGGCTTAGAACTAATCCACATCGAACCAGTGCCGAAGTGAATTTCTTTGCCTTCTCCTCTCTCCTCCTCGCCCTCCTCAATGTCGGCGGCACGAGCATTCAGAGGTGAAGTGAAACGCGGCAGGGCACGGCGGGTGATGAATGCAGGAAATACAGTTAGTAATGACAACAACTCAGGATTTGGAAGATCCGGAGACGTCCAAATGCGCAAGTAGTCTTCAGAATCCTCTGCGACGAATTCTGATCGAAGGGGGGGCAATATTTCGTCTTCCCCATCTTGATCATGCGGGGTAACAGAAGTGGAACTATCTTCGGGAGTTTCAGAGGGAGGGATTGTAGCCCCGGAGGATTGGGAAGACGCGGATGGGATGGAGTGTGAGAGGGCGGGCATATCTAAAAATGGGTCGCTCGTAGCTCTCGCGCGTTTCGCCTGGGTAGTCATGGCGATTGGTGAAGCATTCGAACGATTCGTCTCGCGGGGATTGGACAAGGGTTGTGAGCGGCAGCGCGAGTGCACAGACTGTGGCTGGTGAGAGGCACAATTGCTGCTTTGCTTCGAGGATGAAACCTCTTCAAAGCCCAACACCTGAAAAGCCGGTTAAGCACATCGACAATCAACGAGTGATATTAACATACTCCTTTGAGGACATCAATGGCATCAAGCATGAAGTCTTTCCCACTACGCCGTGTGAGAGAGGTAAGTATGATAGAATTAGACACCAATGAAGGCTTAGAATACTTACGCAGACTCCTTGAAAACAGCATCATCAAATTCCCAGCGTATTCGGTTTGCCCCCGCACCGCCAAGATGCTCTGGGACAACTTGAAGCCGCATGATTGCCCACAAAGCCTGAAAAAAAGGTTTGGTTCCAGGCATGCCCATCGTGCACCATGTCTTAACAAATTTATCTAATCGGTCAAAGCGTTCCTTCTGTGCCACTAGACCGTTTGGATTTGCTCTAGAATGCGGCATTAACGATCCACCCGGCTGAGTTGCGTTAAGATGTGCCTGAAATTCCGCGTGTCGACGGGCATTGACGCTCGCATGGTAAGCAGAACGGATGGATGCCTGGAGGCGTGAAAATGGGGCTCGTTGAGCAGGAGGCAAATTTGCTAGAGTCTGGGTAACTTGTCGGCCAGACTCTTCATCTTGGTTGAAGTACCTAGTGTAATAGATTATGAGTAATGGGCGAGCGCTCACGAACAAAGGCATACCATGCACGACAGAGTTCTGCGAATTTCTCGAGCTCACTGCGAGAGACCCCAAGAGGAGTGATCGATCGATTTCGAGATGTTGGGGGTGGGGTTGGGCCAGGGTGACCATTTCTGCGCCCTCTGGGTCTGCCGCCAAATGAAGGAGAGGGTGGTGGTATTACACCAGGTTTCGCAGCTGGACTTCCAGGCGGTGAAATAGCACTAGAATGAGGAAGATCGTAAAGGAGTGTTTGCGAGTTGGAATGCATATTGGTCAATGAAGAATTTTTGGATTTCTGAAAGCGCAGAGGGGGCGGAGGAGGACGCGGGCGAGGCGTATTGAATTGGTAAGTAGGACCTGACATGTTTGACGATGCGAAACCAGTTCTACACGTCAAAGAATTCGGTCCAGGGGATAGTTCGAATGGCCTCCTGAAATACTCGAGCTAGTATGGATAAACCACGCGCTCGAGATTATAACAAGAAAGAAAGAAAGAACAGGATATGTATCGCGATGCGACTGACTGATACAAGCTGCTACTGGAATTTGCCCCCAGAGCGCTAGATTGTTAGATACGACCTGCGTTGAACGTTGAACAGTAACAACGGTTGGACGACGGCCACGGCTGCGCTAACGACTGCCAGCAAGCAGGCAACAATTCCCAATTTTCGGTTCACCGCCACAACTCCCCAATCTGGCAACCAATAACTTTTGACCATAACCTCAGCCTCCTGCTGGCAGCCCCATGTAAGTACCTTCTTCTACTCCCTCAATTCCTGCAAATCGACCCTGTACATCTACAATCTTTACTGATCGTGCTATTTGCGCACTGAACATCGATCAACCTCGAGTCCTCGAGATCGACGATTGGGTATCCAATGATCCCTCCAATCTGCCATTAATATGCCAAGGCCTGCTATACCCGCCATTTGTTCAATATTTCCGATTGGTGGCAATGTGATATCTTCGGGATACTTGTATTTCCGCCCAATCAATTTCCCCAAAAAAATCAGGCCTTTGTGTCGCATCCTTCAAGGGGACTTCACCGCCTCTTTCATTGCCCGCATGTGATCCGTTGGCTCTCTGGCCGCCGTCATAGTTGGGCGTCGCTCCGCCTGCCGTGCGATCCATCGGTCTCAGCCCAGCCATGACATCTGTTTGGTATCTACGTTCTTACATCTCATCAACTATCCAGTGCTCCCACCACCAACAAGATCCTCTAAATCGTTCCAGTGTTCACAATTATAATAGCGTGTCATCTGCAAGGCCGACATGCCCTTGACACGGTGATGATCAGTATGTTCGATGCGACGCAGCCGATGTACAGCGCGCAGACAATCCGCGTCACGCGCAGTTCCAAGTCCGTGATTTTTCTTAGCGAGATGTCAAACCTCAGCACCTGAGGCCTGGTTCTCCAGGCACTTTTAGGCGTCTGTCCGGATCCGACGGCTGCCGTCTGCGTTTGAGAAAAAAAATGCGGTATCGTAAATTTACAAAGAGAATTATTCTCACTTCTCCACCTCGCTCTCATGAAACTGTTAATAATTATCAGTCGTCATCTGCGCCTTCGAATGCGAAAAGTAATCACGAAGGTCAAACCACTTGGGATTAACGCTACTCTATCGGGTCCAGCTTCTGTAACAGCATCATGTCAACCACTGCGTTTAAATCTCGTCATCAGCCACTGGCTAAATGCATCTGACAATTCTGCGCGGGGTCCGAGGCGACATGTACCAGTGCCCCTGCTAGGCCCCTTGTTGTGATGCAACTGCGTAAGAAAGGCTGTGCAGGCTAGCCTCTTCCAAACGTCATGCTCGACACCATATCGTTCACGTAAGGCTGTCTATTGAGATGAAATGAGGGTGGTCGACAACGTTCAAAAACTCAACCTCAGGTGCGTTCACGATCGTAAACGCCCGTCTGTTGATCTTGCGGCGCCGGCGAGTCGCCCACTGTCTACCCTGATCAAGTGATCACATTTACAGCTCCCGCGGGCCTGTACTCATGTGCGGCGCCCCATCAGATAGACTCGTTCATGTAAGGAAGGATGGTACGTATTGCCTAGTCTGTGCCTTTGGCGTCTTTGGCATGTGCTAAGCAGCTTCCTCTTGGGATATCACATAGACCTCTTTTCGGCCAAGTCATGGGTAATCTCCATCAATAAGCCATATGGGCTAACAAGTCCGTACATAGCAAGTGCAAAACATAGCGGGGGTTGAAACGGCAACTGAGTATTAAATCAATACATCCTCTGTTCAAAACAACTCCGCTAGCTGTGCACCGCTGGGGCGGGGCGCGTTTCACGTGGATTTATTTAATTTTCAAATAATTTTCAGAGGGATCTAAATTGCCATACTCAGCTTCCGCACTACTCATTTAAGCGGCCGTTCGGATGCGGTGCAAGGTAGATCGAAAAGGACATGTCGACCGGCCGCCTGCCTCAAGATCGCGCAATGAACTCGCAAGGAATAAAAGTATCTTGGCAATTAATTCCTTTAGGAACCAAGAGGCAGCGTGGCCGCTCATCAGCACGAAGAAGCCGACGACTTTTAGCAAGTGCTAGCTTATTATCTTTTCCTCTACATGTTTAATAATTGATTCCGGAGTCCTATCTTGTTCACACCCCATCCGTATCCTTTTACGATGATCATTGGGTCCGTATGTATGTCCTTGCGGATGGCGACTGGATTGTCGTTGCCACGAGCTTATCTCAGGATCTCAGGAGTGTTCATCAGGTGGACCAGAAGACATGATAATACAAATCCTGTGGATCGGACAAGTAATAGAGCAAAGGGACGGGTTAAAGATTGAGCTAGAGAAAACATTATTATTCTAAAATTTCCTTACACGTGGATAACCGTCTAGAAAACGACCCTAAGCTACCCCTGCCTGCATCTGCCTCGCGAGGGTGATACGTACAAGGCTTCCGCAAAGGCGCTCCAATAGGCCCAATTAGTAACTGCTTGAGGGAAAGATAAATAGCCGCGACCGTGGATCTTAGAGATGGGATCACACATTAATATTGACAGGGTGTCATGACAAAAGGGCGGTATGACGAACATGTTTGAACACTGAGATGTGGACAATCAAGTCTCTGTAGTATTAATATTGAGGACCTGTGAAAGATACCTACAGCCCACATCAGAGCCTTAAGCTTCAGCACATGTCCATCATGGCAATCTGATATCTGTAAATGTATGTTCGATTTGTTGTGGTCTACACATTATCAGAATATCTTAACCGACGTCAAGCTGTCGAACTATTACAGACTTACTGTTTTCTGCATAAACTTTGCATAAAGTCAACCTGGTGATCATTGTATGACTAACGTCTATTCCGGTAGTCGATTGGTGTATAGCCGAGTGTTACGTTGATGGTTGAAGCTTTCGTGAATGCGGAAGCAAGTATGTGGAGAGGGGTGGATTTATTGCATGTCCCTTGGAGTATCCACAAAGCGGAGTCAAAAAGTGAGCAACGTCAAATAGGTGAGATGGATTGGGACGACTAGGCATTCATGCAGTAGGCGTCTATAACGGCAACCTAGAATGAGATTGTTTTGATGTTCGGAAGTTCCATACGTACCTCAGGTTTACGGGAGAAACCGAGTTGCATTGAAAATAGGTGAGATTCCAGATTTGTTGAGTAAGTATTTCCGCCGCGTGCGACAGTTGGGGAGTCAATGCCACAAGGTTGATAGAGATCCAATCGGATGAAACGGATGAGATGTCGGAGCGGGAGGTCTGCCAGAAATATGCCAGCGCGCCGATAGGTCGAAGAAGATGGACTTGGGTAGGCACGAGAAGGCAACGAGAGATCGAGATCATCCCAAAAGTCATTCAGAACGTGCAGTGATAGCAAAGAAACACGGAACCTTTTTTCATGAATCAGGTCGGCCGCGGTGTTTGGCGAAAAGTCTTTCGTGAAGTGTCGCCTTGCCGCAATTAGAGTTCCATGTCAGATCTATAAAAGCAACGGCAGACCGTGCTGGATATAATCCTTTTTGTTACACCTTCTAGTTTCGAGCTCGTCTGTGCCGTTACAGGGTATCTCGTACGGTCGTCACCTACTACTTCAGTCAGCTGAACACAACTTTACCGACAACGTACAACAAGCCTTAACAACGTTGCTTACCTCGCCCCCTTTGGACCCTTCCTTAACCTAACCTTGGTGTGGTCTTGTTATTTGTCACCATAAATTTGACATCATCATATCTGCTGGACCCATCATCGCCGTATCAATCCCGGATAAACATCAAACCGATTGTAGAGGTCTAGAAAAATATAGAGATCAGTAGAACGGACAGGTCAGTCAGTTGCTTCACTACAAAGTGATTTTGATATCTGACAAAACAACTCATCAAGATTGCAATTGTCAAGGACGCGGCGACCTGTTTACAGCATCGCCGATAAGCTTGATAAACCTAACCACTACCTGTACGGACCCGTTCATAATCCTTTCATAAGATTTCATGGCTCAAACTGCCACCACTTGGTGATGACAGCGGCAATTCCCGACTACCGATCACAAGCTTGTTCAGGCTACCCTGTCTGACGAAACTTCATCTGTCTTTCCGTATCTTCAAACTCCACCTTCTTTCGATACCACAACAATACCACCCACCCACCTCCGGGAGTCAAGATGGATTTTGCAACGGCTTCCCATCAGCCAATGTACAACCAGGCTGACCTCGATCAGGCATTCAATTCATTACAAACAGTAGACAACGCCTCTCCATCTCACCATTTGTCTCAAACAATTCCTCAACATAACTTTGATCATTCAGAACCGAGAGAGGTCTCAGATCATCCCTCATATGATCTATTTTCAAACAATAATAACTCCTTTGCCTCCCAGCGGTACCGCGCCAATTCCTCTTCTTCTTCGTCTCTCGGCCCTTCCTATGCCATGAGCCCAGACAGCGTGTACTCTCATGCCTCCTTTGGCGATTCAGTGCCATCATTTGGTTCCAGCAGCACTTACGACATAATGAGCAATGTCTCGTACTCGAGTGGGAAGGTCTCGCCATTGACCCCCAGTGACGCGATGACTGGCATACAGCAATCCCCGGTCTTTCCCCATTCCTTGGGCATAAACGGACACCAGAAGGACTTTTCAAACGGTCACCCTTACCCGGAACTCCTTAACGATCGCCGTGTTCCCGGTGTAAGCGGTGCTGGTTATCACAATGACTTCCCCGATGATTATGGCATGAACAACGGTGCAGGTTATCCACCTTCAGCCCTGCAACCATTCCAAGACCGCATGCGCTTGCAAACTGATACTCGGTTTTCCCATTCTGGCCTACCTCCTTCTGTCCCTTCGCATATGGCGCACAGCCCTGATATGTTCCGTGGCGTGGCTCCGCAAGCAACGCACTCGTTCCGCCCTGACACTGGCATTCCTGGCTACGAGGACGTGCAATATTTCGGAAACCCTCACGCTGACATGTCCCTTCGCATGCCTGGCATTGGGGACAGTTTTCCTGGAATGAGAAACGGGCATCCTGGCATGGGCTCGTCGAATGACCTTCAGGCATTTATTCGGTAACCATTATTTACGTCAAACACTCGTCCCGGATCTGATCCTTGTTCTATTTAGTCCTTACCTCGATCAATACGTACGAACACCAAACCGTCTCGCGTTTGGTGAACGTACGGTGATCGTCATGTCGAGCAGAGTAGCTCAAAAGTCATACGGGACTGAGAAGCGATTTCTCTGTCCCCCTCCAACAGCAATTATGATTGGCAACTCTTGGTGGACTGACGTAGTGCGCCGCGGGGAAGAGCCAAAGCTTTGTCCTCCCCGCGTGACGGTCTGCATCTCGGGCGAACCCATCCCTCAGGAGGGTTCCATCGAGTGGACATCCGCCTCTGGAAAGATATTTGATGTGAATGATGCTCCGACAGGCACGACTTACATTGGTCGCTGCGTTGGCAAGCAGTTGTTCATATCCGATGTGGACGAGAAGAAGAAGAAAGTCGAGGCGCTTGTAAAGATCACGGCTCCGGCTTCCGACGATGAGCCTGAACGTATTATCGGGACATTCCCCAGTCGTCCCATCAAGGTGATCAGCAAGCCAAGTAAGAAGAGACAGAGTGCAAAGAATCTGGAATGTGCGTAGATTCACCGTGGCCTATGATGATTTTTGACCGTCTTCCTCTAGTATGCATAAACCATGGCTCAACTATTTCGCTCTTCCATCGTCTGCGGTCTCAGACCGTCTCTACGAAATATCTCTGCGTCTCCGGTTCAGGTTCCTCATTCAAGGGTTCTGACGGTGCACCTCTGATGGGCATTGATACCCGTGCACGATCCAGCACACCATCATTCATTGCACGTACTGCCAGTTGGGGTCAGTTTGTGTATTACACGTCTTTTGTCTTGACTGACGTTTTTACCTTAGATCCGTTTGTGATGTACATTGTCGATGTCAGCAAACCAGCTGGCGGAATCGACACTCCTCCCCCGCCACCTCCACAGCCTGACTATCCTTCACCTCCACCAAATGCCATCCCCTTCACTAACAATGGCAGTCAGATACCAATCTACTACAACCAGACTGTGGTGCTACAGTGTCTGGTCTCGGGTGTTGTGTCCCCCGTCTTGATTATCCGGAAAGTTGATCATCAGACGACAGTGGTCGGAGGAGGCCTTCAGGAAGGCGCAAAGGGTGTTGCAGACCACTTCTGTTCACCAGGCGAGGTGTGCGGTGATCCAGTTTCCCAGCTACACAAGATTGCCTTCGAGGTATACGACCCATCAAAGGGCATGCCTGAGCCCGGAACCCCCGGTTCAACGGGCGCATTCCTGTCGTGCATGGGCGAAAAGGTTAACACTTACCGTCCCATCGAGGGTCGGCTGTGGAACAACCCGCCGAATGCAGGATCGTCATCTCCTGTTCTGCCTGGATCACCAGTGGTTTCAACACCAGCGTCCATGTCAGGCGCCGATTATTTCGGTCAGACTACTGCAAGCGAGCCAGCATCGCCTTCTTCGTCAAATGATTTTTCAAACGACGGCGGGCGCGTCAAGAAGGGGAAACGTTCAACATCAAGCGCTGGAGTCATCAAGAACCCTGGGCCTAAGGGGCGGCGGCGGCCGACCTCCGCTGGGTCTGCGTCTTCCGGGCGACGCGGATCTTCTGGTGACGCCGGCGCATCATCGGGTGCTCTTTGGCAAGTGGATATCGGCGAGACGAGCGTTTGGACTATTGTTGGCACAGGTATGGCGCAATCTTTCATTACTCATCGTACAATGACTCATTGAACTTTGTTTTGTCAGATCAAGTGCGATACAACTTCTATGTACCGCCCGTCTTATTCGACAATCAAAATGCCCCTCAAACAGGATCATTCCCAATTCCATCAAAGCCGGTCACTCCATTCCCGGCCGTGGTGAAATATCTCCCTCCTGATCGCGCTGCGGAGGCACCAAAGTCAAACTGCGCACAATCCCGCGGCGTCTTGTCGAAGCCTAATCCTCACATATCAAAAATGCTGACCGTCTACGGAGAAAACTTCAACAAGGCAGATCCAGTACATATCTTTTTCGGTTCAGACCCTTCGCCTTATGTTGAGGTCAGGTGCACCGAGGTATTGGGCTGCCTACCTCCTGAAAATCAACTTGCAAAACGCCGACCGATTATCATGATACGGCCAGATGGCGTTGTATTCCCGTCACCTATTATGTTTCCTTGATTGTATTTATCGGTATATCTTTGGTTTTCGACTCAACGTCAGCTGCCTGGTATGCTTGATTGGTTATATCCCTATAATTTCGCGATTCCCGATGCTTTGATCATGTTAGGATCAGTGATAGTTGTTATCTGTACACCATGGACCCGACTAAGTCCCAGAGCGAGACAGTACTATGTAGCCCTCTTGTATCATATGTGCTAGAAGAATTTCATTTGATGTTTCTATCTCCTGTCTGTCGCCCATGATAATCTTCTTGGGGTAAGTACGGCAAAGACCGTGACACTGTTTTGTTGTCTTCAGTCTTGTTGCAGTCAGCATCTCAGTGACCTCCTTATCAGATCTGATTCTGAGCACTGAATTCGCCAAATTCTTGAGTTTCGTACGTTACGTTCATCATATCGACATATTTGACAGCGGTACGCCCACCTATCAACGTCCTACACGCAAACGGAGTTCGTTGTATCGGGTCTAAAGCACCATCTAGTAATCGCCTTTGGCCCTTGGGTGTTCTGTACGCAATCAATATCGTTGATCGGGTCCAAAACACCACCATTAACGGGCGTAACTGCCAGCGTTCCTTTGCATATTCGTGCAAGCGGGCTCCTGCAAATCCCTTATCCTCTCCGCAGCACTCTCCGATCCAGGATGAGTTCCCAATACAGCACACATCTCTCTTTCTCTTCGACCCCGCGTCTCATATGGCATACGTACGTAGAATACCTATGGCACCCTCATCCCAGTTCCTGGGTCAGCAAGATCGCGTATTCATTCCGCGTATTCGCGTTCCTACTTATTCTGCCAGTCGTGATTCTGACAATGCTGGTGCGTATCCAGCTTCCAAATCTGTGGATTCTCGCTTCCTCGATCATTAATATTTATTTATTTCCTTCCTAGGATATCACATCCTATGTGATCGTGCGTACTCTCGGTATTGTTGACGATGTCAAAGCGTCGACAAGCGACCAGCCTGTTATGACTCCTGAGGGCATGCCCTCGATCCTTGTTGAAGATACGTCATCCGAGGAATCTCTCCCCGCGGAGCAAGACGGCCGCGCGTCTTCGGTGCATCGGCAACATAATACCGAAGCGAGCGCTGCAGGCGTGCAGGAGGAAATGAAGTTCCAGACCTACTTCACGGGGGAAGAGGATTTACAATTGTCTAGTGTTGGAATTCTGTCGCCTTCCCCATCTCAGCCATCATCACCAGTTCTGCCCCAGGAGAAGCTGTTTGGAGAAGGCGGAGTGATGACAATAGAGGACCCACGTGGTGGACAGGACGAGAACGTCATCCTGCGACGACGGGGCGCCCAGGGAAACAGTAATGATTAACTCAGCCTTTTTGAAATTACCGCTATAGAACTACATCTTTTGCACCGTGTACGATGACATGATGCATCAACGTCCCTTTTTACTCTACAGATACAGTGGTATCAATCATGAAAAACACGCAATCAAAAAACTGGCTAAGATGTGAAGTGAGGTGATCAGTAAAACCGTAGCTGATCTCTGGTGAAGACCGGTGGCTTCCAGATCAGATGTTCAGAATAAATCCGACGTCTGCGTTTGTTTCGGACTTTCTCATGTTTCTCTAAAACGGCTTCCGAGAGACAGATGATATGTTGTCCCTTGTAGTGTTTGAATAGCTGCAACGTTGTGCACCTGCAATCATTTCATTTAGTGGTAGATCCAAGCGAGCTAGGTTCTTTCACACACGTATTCATTATATCCGCATGGGTGATAGACGTCTTCTGCGCGATATCGTCAATGCTCAGCTCGTCCGTGGTATTGATGAGCAATTCTACGATGACCTCCGCCCAATATGCACGATAGCCGAGTAGGCCGAGATCGCTCAGGGGCTTTTCAGGGCTGCCAAGTTTCCCCTCCTTCTTACTCAACTCGTACGAAAATTCGATGAGCAGCTTGCCGAATCCGTGGCGCTGATGCTGCGGTAGCGTCAAAATACATGCGACGTTGTAATTCTCCGCCGATTCCTTCTCTTTCGAGAAGTAGCCGATAATATGGCAACCTGTTGAATCTCGTTGACACTGGGATGGTCAGTAGAATACTACAGAACCGAATATTCACGGAATATACACACCATCACATAATACATGAACGGCGTCACGTCATAGTACAACGTCTTGCTGTAACGTACACAGTCAGATCTTTGAGCTCTATTGCCGAGAAGCACTTACTGATCAAGAAAACATTTGGACAGTAGGCTGAGGTTCCGACACCAGGTTAATTGCCGCTTCCCATCAAGTTCGAAACACGAAATGTCTTGGTGGCGGTAGATCTCATTGCCAGGCGGATGGAATAGCGTACAACGTTGTCGGTGGCGCGAAAGCATCATGGGCGACGGAAAATACGACAGACAGAACTCGCAGAGGTACAACACGGGCAGATGCGCATATTCCTTTGGATATGGACTGAAGTACCATGCTTCGACCTCGTGCTTGCCGATCTGCAAACGGTTTAGATTCTTCACCCGTGCGATTTCTGATATTGACTGGGTCATTGAACCGGACGTCCGTAGTTTCTCGATTTCTTGCTCTTTGCTGAATGAAGAGACGGGAGGGGGTGTCTCTGCGTGTGCACCAGTGACGTTAAGTTCGAAGGTGTCCCCTTCGCCATCAACATCCATCTCGCCTTCGGCGTCCACATCATCCCCTTCGATTTCTTCTTCCTCTTCCTCCTCCTCCTCTTCATCGTTTAATTTCCGCTTCAATGATGGGGCAGGTGACGGCGAAGGAAAAGCAGAGCGGCCAGGGGTCGAAGCAGATGTGGGCGAAGCAGCCGCAGCTGCATTTGATGTCGCTTTCTTCAATAGCGACTGGGAACGAGGGGCTTTTCCCGGAGCTTTCTGCAGCGAGCCAGGCCCAGCTTTCTTGCCCGGTGGCGGCTTTGGACGGGGCCATTCGAGGTCCCTGCTTAAGACGAGGCGGGAACCCGTCACCCACTCATCCAAACGCTTGTTAAATTGATCCCAGTGGACGAAATATTCCCATTTGTCCTCTGGTTTGTCGAGTACATCTTCTTCTTCCTCTTTCACACCACCTCGAGTCTTTGTGCGTCGTGCTGATGCGGAAGTGTACGAGTTCACGGGTTTATCACGAATTGATAGTATTTCTGCTAGCCGCTCTTCCTCCCCTTCTGGCGTTGCACGGCGGATGTAGATTTTGCACCCAACAGAGACAGTCTGCGGAGAAAATTTGATGAGTCAGCACTATAGGGCCTGTGTGAACAGAACTGCGGAAATTTACTTGGATGGTGTACGTTCCTCCAGGTGTGATGGGCGCTGACTCCTGCGAGCCTTCATTGTTGGCATGTGCAGAGACCATTCTCGAGTAAAAACGACTGAGAAAGCTGAGCACTGAGGGAGAAAAATCAGATTTTGTGTCGTTTGTGTCGACTGACTACCGAGTCATCAACTGAAGGTTGAATTTCGCTTACTCAGCCCCAACTCAGCCCACTTGCACAGCACATTTGCTTCCATGGAAGTATTTCACCACCGCTCGTTGCTGACAGCGCTCAAGTCGCTTATCTATAGGTTACGGTTTCTATTGGCTAGGGATGGCCCTTGATTGATACATAGGAGGCCTCAACACCACCATATGCGGTTCCCGACCTTGGACTCGGAGGAGTGAAGTCGACCGACGCCACCCTTTCGATATTGACTTGTGGGCTATCGCACAAGTTCGGATAACATTCTTTCTAAGTTTGTTCCAAGCGGAATCAACGCCAAAAGCCGTGCAACTAGCATTGCAGCCTCAGGAATATTGGTCGAATGCATAATTCCGTTGAGTGCGCACGGCGTCAAATAATCCATCAAGATCTCTATGAGATCGCCGTTCCCACCTAGGCCTGGTGGTGATGAAGCTCTGTCCTCATTTTCAAAATTTCAAAACCTGTGGCGGCTGCAGGCGAAAATCGCATCTTCGGAAAGACATATAACCATGGCCTACCATGGCCCGCCCCCTGTTGTTAATTACCTGCAGGGTGAGCATTCTCCTGTCTGAGGAATTCTGATATCATTTGAATGGGGGTAATGGAACTTACCAATTTCCACCGAGTAAATCTCGCAGAAGCTTCGGGAGTAAGTCATAACATTGAGCTGACCACACGACACATTACTTTGTGCCAGGGGCGATGCAGAATATGGTAGACACGACAAAGACATGAAATTCTCCGAACCGTCGCTCCGCAGTGCTTCAAATGCCGATTAAAACGCACCGGCCAGACTAGCGCCATGAGGGACCAGCTGAAACGTTGTGGTTTGCTTACATACCTGACAACCTTAATATTGTGCTTTGTTCCATCTGTGGACTCATCAAAGTTACCGTTCAGGGGATTTGATAACTGCTTGCTGTATCTATTTTATTTTTGTTATTTTATTTTCTTGTACACGAGCACATATGCATCGATGCAAGAATAAGCAGATGTCTTACCAGGAATCAATGACATGGACGTTGGATCCGAGTTGGGCCTGTTGAATATGTGGAGAACTCATCTCTGAGATGACCGTCTCGAGCCCGTCTGGAGTAAGTATGGTTGTACGGCAAGCCCATCGGCACCTCCTAGCGGAGTATAAAAGTCACTGTTGCGGCTAATCCGACCGACCGCCGCATTGCGACCCACTCAGAAGCTAGCTGACGAAGAATTGCGTTGATAATAGAGTTAGCTACATGATACAAACGAATGACCAAATCACGGTATTACCATGAATGAAGGAAGGAAGGATGTTTGCCAAGGACAGCGGGCGGGCGGGTAAAAAAAAAGGCGGACGAAAAGGGGGAGGAATGGCGACGAAGGGGCGTGTGCATGTACGCGGAAGAAGACAAAATAGAATCCCACTCCTCATCGCGGAGTTTTGACAACGGCAGTGCACCTCGCGCCGTCCACACAATAGAGTATATTCGCAACTACGATTACAAGATTAGTATGTTGCTTGCAGATGAATGGGCGAAATACAATGGGGGTCCAAGTCTTCGTCAATAAGAGGTCATAGATATGATGGCGACAAAGGCTTTTGATGAAGGGGTTATGGCGACGAGGAAGATGCGACGGATGCACCACGAACAACGTGGAGATAGTGATGAGGGACCCTGACGCCCCCGAGACCAGATGCGGAGGACAGGGTCGGAGTCCGATGGAGGCGATCCCCGCTTGGCCAATGCCAGTTGGTGTAACCTTAAACCCAATGGCCCATCACTGCATCGTGGCGTAACTCGATTCATCGCGGGAGTCGAGTTCGCTGTCAATTACTTAGGCTGTGATTAAACTGCCGATATCTTTAGATCTGCGGATTGATGTGTTAGAAAATTTCAAATGCACATCTTTCAGGCCATCAGTGGATGATCCTACATATTTAGATATGCTCTGCTAGCAAGAGCGATGTCCGCGCTGGTTCGTGCGCTTAGGGGTAAAATAATTTTACTATGCCCGCGGCTTGTCTCCTCCGTTCGGTCAGGGGCAGACTTCTGTTCCTCTTTTGTTGATATCTCATTTAGACCAGCCTAATGTCGAAAAAAGTCGAAAGTGCATAGTGGTTGAAGCAGGAAGCAGGAGCCATTTGTCACGGTAATACAGGAATAATGATGTTCCATCGGCAGGGACAGACGAGACCGACAAAGCGATGGATTTTTGATGCAAAGCATGACGACACTGGGCACCTGGAGTCGCCACTCCTGGTACTTACATACACGACAATGTGCGGAGGGCGCACGGTTTGGGGGGAGGGGGTCAGATAGAGTCCATGCGGCGTCCAGCAAACAAATTCTGAAGTTCTGAACTGAGTTTATCATGACGAAGAGACATCTAGCGAGTGAAGAAAGGCAAGTCCGTGAGTTTCAAAGACTATGGCCAGAGCCATCGAACAAGAGAAAAAAAATACCTAGTCACGAAGTCCATGTCTTTCTGAGAGAATTCCTTTCTATCGATCCACGTTAGTGAGCGAGTAATATATAATGGACCTGGCACACGGGTCACGCACCTGGGACTATACTGGTCTGACTCCACATTTGAGTGTTTCAAAAGACGCGGTCCCGACGCCAGTAACATGTGCGACAGCATCTTCGCGATGCAGTTCCAGTGCTCTTGCTTTTTGGTTGTGTGGGGGACGTGACACCCGTACGGCGACAGTCTGAAACAGGATAGCGGTGCTCCTCTAGGAACTGCGTCAGCAATCGCACGACGAAGGTGCGGGTCCCGTATTTTACTAGATGTTTCCTTTGTCAGGAATTCACGATGAGCGGTCTACCCGAAGAGCGACACATCGGGGCAGACCCACTGCATGATGGCTTGAGCAATGATCCAAGGTCTAATCAACAAGCAAGACACTATCGCGGCAGCGTGTATCTTAAGTAGGTTATCACAGCCCCGTCGATGCATTCCGAGACATGGATCGATTTACAGTTCCATGACGGCCCGTGGCAGGGTCAGCTCAATGATTATCGAGCGCGCAGGACGCCTTGTAATGAAGAATGTTCTGAATCGAGATTAGCTCCGGGCACTAGTCGAACACATGCCACCAATAGCACTTCACTGAGTTCAATCAACAGGAACAGAGCACAGTCCTAATATCTTCATACAAGACTATGTACCCAAGGCTCACAGATGTGGCAAGTTGAGCAGCAGTAGATGACAAAGCCCCGGGTTACATAAAATGTTCCTATCACGAAGTTGTTGTCAGCATTTCTAACGTCGTTTTCGTCCCACCCACCATCTCTTCTCAACGACGTCGACAATGGAGCCAGAGTGCGACGACCTAAAACAAATCGCAGCGGTAGAACTTGATCAAGGAACACAAACTCGATTTCGGAGACAGCCATAAACGGCACAGGCGCGGGTACGTACAAACTACGTGGAATCTACTACAGACCACTGCGTAGAAGTGAGATCGGTGAAGCAAAGTAAAAATTGGATGTCTACGGTACACTGCGCCTCCGCAACCTATCCTGTCTTGTCGTTGAAGCCATTTTTACAGAACACACAACAAGTTCAAAAGTTCTACCACCTCACTCCTTAGAAGGGTTCGAAGCGTCATCCTTTGCATCCGCATCAGCCGCTGCTGGCGGCTGTGGCTGCTGGGGCATGAGGTGTGAGAGCAAACCCTGTGGAATCTGGGAGCACAGCTCATCCAGCTGTTGACGAAGGTGCGTGTTTTCCTCGCGGAGATGTGTGATGTCGTCACGAAGCCTATCATTAAGTGCACGACACTCTTCCCACCGACGATTTGCCTCATCCGCGGACGCGAGTGCTGCATCAAGCAGTTGAGAACGCGACTCGAGGGCTTTAACGTGCCTATGATGGAGGTGAGTCAGACCCGCACAGCGTGTTTAAGGGGTGGAAGAAGCGAGCACCCTTCTCGTTGGAACAAGAGCGGGAAGGAAGGAAAGGAAGATGACTTACTGATCTCTGCGCTCCCTGAACGCTCTCTGTGCCTTCCTATTTTGCTCTGCCCGCTTGGTCTGACTCAAAGGGCGACCATTGAGCTTTGGATCGTCAGCAGCACCAGGCTGACCCTCAATCTGCGGGGCAGGCTGCTCACCCGGAGAGGGGTGAGGTGGAGGGCCACCATACTCCGGGCCTGGAGGGCCAGAGAAATAAATTGGCATAGGTGGTGGGTGATGTCCATGCGGGGGCGGCAACATAGGAGGAAGAAATATGCCGGGTGGAGGCTGCTGGAGCTGCGGCGGTGGTGGCGGCGGCGGTTGGGTTGTTGCTGTTGGGGGAGATTTACGCTTGCGAGAACGGGTAGTTGGAGCGGGTGCGGTTGGCTGTGCAGGTGCCTGAGATGTGGAAGGTTGAGGCGGCATGGGGTCATCGCGGAGACGCATAGCAGGAATGGGCTGTGGGGGTTGTTGCTGTTGTTGAGGTGGTTGTTGTTGCTGCTGCTGCAGAGGATCAGACTGCTGACCTTGCTGCTGGCCCGGAGGGTAGTTGTGCAGCATTAGCAATGATCGCTACTTTCTTGTGTATGGCGAGATAACGGGTGCAGTGAATTTATATGTTTTTAATATGCTAGGGGGATGTTTTTGTTGATCGACTTTCGACGACGGTCGCGTTGAGGAGGCGCGAGTATTAGTAAGAAAATCAAGTCGATGGCGAACGTTTGTCTTTGTTTGGGTGATTTCCCACCTATTACGCCCTGATTAGGAAATTGTATCAGTTTGCCCTAATTTTTTGACCTTCGCTGTATTACGTGCCCTGAGCATTCCGCGTGTTTGTGCCCAACATCGCGGCCATAGATATGTGATAGTTCAAGGAGAACCTGACGATAATAGAGAAGTTGGACGGTGAACATCCCTAGATTTGTTAGTGAATGTCGGCGCAACCAGAATCGTGTCGGAAGAGTCCGATTCGGTGAGGAGCTAGGCTCCAAGGCAGTGTTCCTATATCGTTCCTCCGTTCCAACGATCCGATCGGCGAGCATGTGCAATCTGTCGGCGGGACATACGTTCAGCTGGTAATTGTGAGGTGAGGGGTTGAGTGAGACGGTTGACAAAGCGCGATGCAACTTTCATTTTATGTAAGGTGTCTTTGTCATGCGCTGACCGTTCTCCTTGGATAAGCAGCGGGTGCACGCTCTCCGTGTGTCCCGTTTCTTTGCCTGTTATCTTTCTGATGCAATATTGACTAAGTAGTATTGGTGGACGCGCAGTGGACTAGTCAGCCAGCCGCCTCAGTGCCTCCAGCACAATTTAATAACAACCAGTGAGTAACGCTTTAGCCCAGAACACTACATCTCCACTTCTAAAGTAAAGGGCCAGGCGTGCAGATCAGTTGAAGCATAATTTTCAATTGACACAGGTCGACATCGATCGGGTGTGTGTCATTAGCTGTATGTTCTTTCTTATTAGAGCAACCTCTTTCACCAATTTGTATTTTCAGACTCGTGAATACTATATGGCGTTCGAACGTCCGCGTAGAATCCAGACCACCAATATATCTCCGCGAAAATGTGTTGTTATATCGCCCTTCGCGAGAACTACATTATCCACCTCTCCGACAAGATGATTCTCGAATTTTTTTGATCATAGCGCACTCATCATGGCTGTCCTATCTTCAATAAAGTCGTTGATTCGTGGCCATGTATTTCTTTTTTTCGTGATTGATTCTATCTTATGGGGATACTAGGCCAATATTCTATCCGCCATGGCAGTCGCTGTGTGATGAGTAGCCCATAGTGCTGGTGTAAAGAGGACTCTACACAATCTTCTCATCGCCATGCCCAGCTTGTTTGAAGCGACCACTTTCTTATCCTCACCAAGGTGTTCGTAATTTTTTTTTCGTTTATCGGCGACTCCGAGCTCACTCATGAGATATATTTCTAGTGCAGTATGTTGTGCAAGATCATCGCGTTCTTTAATACATTATCGTCCTCGGTGACTTTCGTGTTTGTCGAACCTTTCAAAATCTAGTCGCACCCCGTTGCAAACTTCTTGCAGTCCAAGGAACTGCTCAGCAGAAATTTGAATATCAGAGGACCCACGCCCTCCTACGAAAGAAAATAAGATACATCATTCCACCGGGATTATCGGGCTGGTTGTGCTAGTTGAAAGCCGAATCAAGTTTTGAAACTACCTGATCATGAATGACGGCATATGAGAGCATCCCGCTCGAAGTCTTCCAGGAAGCATTCAAATTCCACATTGTTGTATATTGCGCTTGCTAATTCTTTCATCCTCATGCAGCCCGTCTAGAACTGTGTAAAGCCGTAACTTGATTGGCAAGGATGGCCCTTTAATCATGCCAACGATCCCTATTCTAATGATATGATGTTACAAATACAGAGAGGCAGAGAGCGCTCCCGCTGTGAGCAGCTTAATGAATTTTTTGATCTACCACGCGTAAACTTTTTGCATACCAGATCTCCGCCGTCTCTAAATGTCACCGCATTCCCAAGCCTCAAGTAGGGCCCACATTTTCGTCTGAAGGGAGGTCTGCGTCTCGCCAGTGATGTGACAGTGTTGCTGGCTGAGATACCGGAGACCATCCCCCACCCAGTTCTGACAGTTCCACCTATGATCATGGTGCGTGACGGCGACACTTGCGAGGTGGTTCACGGCCACTCTTCCGACGGTCAGGCTTCCGCGCCAGGCACCGGGATTGTGTGGCTGGTTGCGCCTGAAGTCGATGGTGAAGGTGTCCGTGTTTTCCAAATTTTGGTATGTATTGTCGATCCCACGACCGGTCGGAACGTAGATCGCCCAGTGAAGGGGATAGCCGTCCCGTCGTTTGCTGCCCTCGCCAGAATTGAACGACCTCGACGTTGTAGTACGCAACTGGGGCAGACATAATGGCTATGAGACTCGGTAAGTTGCTATCATTAGTAGGTTTTACGTTTGTATACTTACCGAGAGGGCAGACGACCGATCAAGGACGGGAGGTGCTGAGTCCATCGATGATCTGGCTTTATACTCAAGCACTGGTGGTTTTTTTTTGCTCGCAGAGCTTCGAAGTAGACGACTGTGGATGTCACACGATATGTCCATTGTGCTCGAAGACTGCCATGTGCGCATCCGTATAGACAACCAACTGCCTTTCCCAATGAGCCACATTCCCGATACATAAAGGGACGATCACCGAACCCAGTCCGCTGCTGCTCCCGAGACTTTCTACGATGGTGGGAGCGGGGAGGAAACCTTGTAGATAGGCACTTTACCGCGACCGGCACCAGCAGAAAAGAGAGGGTGGGAAGAATAAGCTGCATCTTGAATGTGGTGAAATCACTCAACGATGGTTCGTAGAACTTACTGACGCTCATATTTCTGTCAACTGACCTCACGATGGTACATGCGCTCGATAGAGCTGGAACATCGAAGTTCGAACGCTGTTACGGTTGAAGGGTTGGCGTAAACGATTCACCAACGCTTCGTCAAACAGCTTCCGATGAGCTTCTGTAAACTTCAATGTTGATTGAGAATACACTCTTCCAGTTCCAGCAATCTCTTTCTTTCAGTCCAGTCCCCAACCTAAAAGTTGGTCTATTTCCTTGCTCGGTTTCGAACGCCTGGCCTTACGCAGGCCGAGGAAGGAATTAATCGTTACGTAGGCGTTGTTTGGAGTCATGCCGTTGACTCCACAACTCTCAAAGATTTCGATCTTGACCCTTCACAAAATCTCCTCGCCGCGCTCAATCAGTCTATCGATCGTAAGTCCACATCTTGGTTGAGTGTAATCGAGCATTGCTGACTTTGCGGCCCTGAATTATGTGTATATTAAAATCACCTTCAGGTTTCTGTCTGGGGATATATAACACACGATCTGCGCACCTGCAGTGTTTGTCGTACGACAGACGACTTATAATTGCGCCACAAGGGCCATTGGAGACTCAAACTAAACATTGTCTTTCGAAATTACGTCCTTATTGTCTGGGGTCGAGAGACTTGCCCAAGTGGGTAAGTGTGCTCTACTTTGCAATGACTCGATTACTACCTGCGTCATCCTCAGGGCTGTGTCATAAGGTGTCACGACGGCTGTTGGCTGTTGTTGGTCCCCGCCAATAGGAGGGTAATCATGACATCAGTATCCACGGAGATGCTTGTGTACATTGGCTGGCGCGTCATGGGCTGTCCAATTCACCCGTCAGGCCTGAGCCCTCTTAAAGGTATGTTCCCACTACTTGTCGCACGAAGTCCCTCGCCACCTCAAATCAGACTTACCTTGCCGTTGTGGCGTGCACCTTCATGCGATCCTGACCAACACAATGTCACACTAACCATTTGAGACTAGCTTACAGCCATTACATACGCCTCAAAGCTGTTTCTTTAAATTCTGTTCAGGAATATGTCGTACTAATCCACTAGTAGGTCCATAGTTGTTTGTCCGAGCCCAGAACGACGGATGCCCCCTGGATAGACTCCCACCCTTTGATGCTTGGTTCTGCCTTGGCTTTATTGGACCCACCCCTTCCCCACATCTAAGATTACTTGTTCGGCATGCGCAGCAGGCACCTCTAGTGGTTCCTTGTGGCGCAATGACTCGGCGAGCCAGGACACCAATGGGGTAAAGCGGCAGCGGCATTTATACAATGTACTTCGAAGTTCGGAGGTTTTGACCACCCTTACACCGTCTCCTGTCCTCTCCAGCACCCTGATAACCAAATGGGTAATAGCCGTTATGAATCACGAAGAATTGCTCTTGCGGCACCCTTGCCCCATCTACGGATGTATTGAAGGTATGTACTTATTTGTGTCATTGTGTGAGAAGTGTTTCATAGGTCCCGTAGGTCCCTGGTATATCCTGGCGGTTCCTGGGACCTCGATGGCACCTCGAAAGCCCAATGTGCGGGGGACACAGGTACTCGGGAGCGTCGCTAGCGATCCACGTCGAGGAATGTTTGGTGGAAGTATATTTTTCGAGGGCATTGATTTGATCCAGACTTAATGATCGTATAGTCAAGGCAAGCAACGTCGAGCTAGATCATTGTCCCCTGCTCTTTAACGCGGCTACATCTGCCACAGCTGGGACCAGACGAGCTGGCAGGTTGTACGTCCTGCCTTCCAGCTTGTCTTGTCCCGACTAAGACAATACTTTACAAGCCCAAAAACGAGACAAGAATAATTTCAATGTTTTATAGTGTACGCCGCCTTCCAGCTTCTTGAGTCGGTTCAGAGTCGATGGTACTCAGGAGGCTAGGTACTTAACGGAAGCACAAGGCCCTCGAAGCATCGCCAGACTTAATGATCATTTTTGTCATGACTGCATGTGCGTTGCGCGAACCTCGTCCCGGAGGCTAGAGCAATACTTTCTAATCCCCAAACACTCGAGAGACAAGAATACAGGAACTCGTCAAGTTACCTACCTGGCATGAACGCCAAACGTCGTCAACTACATAGAATGCAACAACTCATCTCTGGAGACACCTCTACGAATGTTAGACGTCTAGACCTTGAAGCGCCTGCAAAACACATGCAACATGTCTCGATGCCAATGATGCAACCAAATCGACACCATGGATATTATTGAGGTAGTTATAGAAACACCTGCCGACATACCCCACACTGGCAGGTTAAACGTCGGGTGCTGCCCGACGCATTACAAGTTCAACTTCAAACTCACGATGTATGACTCCTCTGTGATGATAGCAAGAAGTCGCGTTGAGTCATGGACTCACAATGATGTTAAAGCAAAATAAAAAGTCAACCTAAGTTACACTTGATCTACACATAAATACGGATTTCGCCCAGCATCCAATGAATCTGCCTCCTGCCGATACCTAAATATCCTTCTCGCCTGCCACTGCCTCCAACACTCCGCCATAATCCTATGTCTCTCACAAATATCCCCACTCTTCACAAACTCCTTACCCCATTCCCACTCATCCAAAAGCCTCCTCTCCACCTCCCTCAACGCCCCACGCCCAGCCCCAATCTCCCCAATCTCAAACTTCCGCCCACGCACCACAACACCCTCCCTCTCCAAACGCAACCTCCGTCCATGCATCACATCAACAAGGTTCCTCGTAAACTGCGCTTCGGCGGGTGTGTCGGGGGGCGGTGTGCTAGTGTAGGGAGGTGGTTTGTCCCATTGGGGGAGGTCGGATTCGTCGATTAGGTGGGAACCTCTGAGGGCTTGGTGGAAGAGGAAGGAGTTTGGGAGGGGGAGGTTGGCGAGAGTGAGTATGCTGCTTGGGAGGGGAGATGGGGGTGGGGGAGTGGTCGTTACAGTAGGGGAGGGTTTGGGTTTGGGTTTAGGCTCGGGTGCAGGTAAAGGTGCAGGTGCAGGTGCAGGTGAAGATTTAGGTGAAGACTGTGGTACTGATTCAGATTCTGCTGATTTAGTTGTACCTCGTCGTCTGTGATGTTTCATATAAGCACGAGCATTTTGAGCTTGTCGTGCTGCTTTTCCCCTGCCATTATCAAGTAAAAACGAAAGATGAGCATGCAGGGCGCGGAATAGCAAATATATGAAATCACCGTTCGGTTCGCGAATATGCTGCTTTCTGCTGTCGCAACGCAGCCATTTTGTCATCTAGAGTGAGGTATTTTGCTCTGCGGCCCATGGTTGATGTGACGTGGAGGGTAGAGACCAAGGGGGAGTTTTACGGTATCTTACTACCAGGTTTTGGGTCGGTGTCGGTATTATAGATGCAGCATCTTGGACTTCTTTCAGGCTTCCACGGTAGGTCGGAGGGTACCAGTGTGATGGGGCACTTTGTACGACCTTGTCGTAGCTGTTATGGGCGAACAGAGATTGCGGCAGGCAGCAACTGTCCTTGTTATTTGTGAATTTGTCAGTATGAAATGTATAAAGTGGCTGATTGGCGCTAATTTTTTTTATCATATGTTCTGCTTCGTGGACCCGAGCATTGATCGATCAGATCACTTGTACATGTTTCATACAACAGCCCTATGACATAGACCCGTAGTGCGATAAGATCAGGGCACTGACATTCCAGTAGTTGTGTAGCACAAAGGAAAGTAGAAAATACTCTACAGATATGGTTTTTGCATGGTAACATCGACGCCGTCCAGCAGCATCATCAGTTTTGCTCTATGAGTTGATTGAAGATCTCTTCAACCTCCCAGGCACCCGCCCAGTACTTGACCTGACATTGTTGACCGCCCTCCTGAGATATACGGCGCTCGAGGCCGCGGAAGCGCCGGCAGAGCACCATGTCTTGGCTACTAGCGCTCAGTAACGAGTGTGTAGAAAAAAAGGCGGATATTACCTTCTTAGTCTGAGGATGGGACAGAAGTCATTAGACCCGTCTCCGACGTAGATGATGCGATCGTAGCCAGGTTTGTGGAGCTCCAAGAATGCGGTAAGCTCTTCACCTACGTGCTGCGTTAGCTAGGGTTGTAGAGTGATACAGAAGGAGTCACCTTTGCACATATTGGGGCTGCAACCGACTGTGCAGCTGTGCTGAGGCCCGTTTGGGTCGACTCTACGACGGAGCTTGAGTAGGCCCGAAGGGTCAAACTCGGCCGGGTTTGTCACTATCTCTTCAAACAGGTTTTGCAGCCCTTTCGACTGCGATCCGTTAGGTAAAGTGGATTTGTCACCAAAGGGATCTTACCTCGAGAATAGTGGAGATGAAGACGGCGTTGGCGTTAGAGAGGCAGAAGAACGTGGTGGTGGGGTTGGAAGCACCCTTGAGATTTGTGACACCACGGACCATCGCGGGGTGCTATCTGCATGCTTTAATACATCTCCTTCCGTCCAGTTGCAAACTACTCACGAAGGGCATTTTACGGAGAGCATCTTCGATCTGTTCACGCGTCCCGCCGCGTGCATGGAGTTCTTGCAGCGATTGAGCTCTGGACACTAGGTGTGAGGACGATAGGATGGTGGAAGTGAAGGTACTGACATGAGATCGGTCCATTGGACGCTGTCTTTGAGTGTTTTCATCTTTCTGCGGATATCAGGTGCTAAGACCTCGAATATCCAGCGATCGGTGTCTTGATCTGCCATTGACCTAAGATGGGAGACATGTATGATTCAGTGATGGGGCGAGGGAGGATAATTTACCAGTCAAAGTCGAAGACGACCAGCTGGGATTTGATTGGAGAGGTCATGATCGAGATCAAGAAGGAAAGACTGGCTTCCTTCTATTATGGTCTGACTATGATGGTGCAGGTCTAAGCTTAAGATAATCAGAGTAAGCGTGGGATCAAGCGATTTCCACCGAAGAATTTAAAAATGACAAAATGATCACGTACGAGCAATATAGAGATATGGGAGTTGTTCAATAATGTTAATGTTACTATGGAGGTGGGATCAGGCCGCTATGACTTGCTGAAGGAAGATGGAAGTGTTGAGCAATGAGCTCTACCAAAAGTCGGGCTGCAGCCAACGGGTCACGTGGACACAACTGATATGCGCATGTTGTATTTGCGACATCTGTTTCTGCTACAGCAACGCCCCCTAGCCCTGCTGCCATCATCAACGTTGTAGGTCGACATCTTGCTCGATATCGACTGCGTACTATTATACCAACGGCTATCGTTGATGAAGCAGCTCTTCACACATCCTGATGCTCACGTTTTGATCATACTACCCCTTTTCCTGCAGGCACCTCCATTGAATATAAACCGTTCTGTACTTTTTCTGATTTTACTCGTCCGGGACCTGGAAGCATGCCAAGAAGAGATATGATCACTACTGTAAGCGCTAGGAATGCGAAAACATCTATGTGCGGTAACAAGACTGCACGACGCCCTGCATAAAATCTACGGCTTCGGATTTGTGTGGGAGGTCACGTTTGAGATTGGAGGTGTTCCTGTATGCGGAGGTCAGGTTCTCAGTAGTAGAAATACCAAGGACATTCACGCACCTTCGCAAGTTTCTCCCCTTCAGATAAAATAGCGAGGCAAGATTGTGGACCCTTCGAGCACCACTGCATTTCGAGCCAAGAGAGGATATTATGATCCCAGAAGGAAGCAATATATGACTGAGTGTGGCGTCCCATGAACACGGAGCTCGCGCGAGATGGACTGCCCAATTTTGACATGCGTATTTGAGAGCGTCAGAAGCTGATCGACTTCGTTTCCGTGATTCGTTGGCGAAATTTACGAAGGTCTGCATGGTACGAATGATCTCGATGTCTGGAAAATGATCCTGTGGCGAAACAGATGCGGAATGATTCTGGTGCCTGAATGCCAGGAAAACCGGGAGCGTCAAGAAGTCTTGCAATACTGGATCACTTGAAAAGCTGGGAGCAAAGGCAATTCTGGGTTGACTGTAAATTCTGCCACTATCATCCAGATAGCCATCAATGGCCACGCTTTACCATGTGGTGTCTGCAGCCAGTCTTCCCCGCTGCGGGTCTTCAGCCAGTCTCGCATGCCCTAGGTCTGTAGCAAGTCTCGACTGCTCTGGCTCTGCAGCCAGTTTTCTCCCTCCTCCTCCCGCAGCCAGTCTTGCTCGCCCTGGGTCTGCAGCCAGTCAGTCCCCCAGTACATCAGCCATACCTGCCTAACCTTGGTCTGTAGCCAGGCCTCGCCCAGTCTGGGTCTGCAGCCGGCTTTTCCCGCCCTCGGTCTGCAGCCACTCTCGCTTGTCATTGGTCTGCCACCAGTCTACCCCGCTTCGGGACTGCAGCAGTCATTCCCGCCCTGGGTCTGCAGCAAGTCTCCTCCGCGCCGGCTTTGCAGCCAGTTTTTCCCGCTCTGGGTCTGCAGCCAGTGTTCTCCTCCACCCTGGGTCTTCAGCCATTTCCTCCGTGCCGGGTCTTCAACCAGCCGTTCCCGGTATCGGTACGCAGCCAGTCTTGCCCGCCCCGAGTCTGCAGCCAGTTGTTTCCGCTGTTGGTCTTCAGCCACCACGAGTATTCCAGCCAGTTTCTCCCGCCCTGGGTCTGCAGCCAGCCGTGCCCACCCTGGGTCCGCAACCAGACCCTCCCTACTTTGTTCTGCAGCCAGCTTGGCCGTCCAGAGTCTCTAGCCAGCATTGTAACACCGAACCTCGATATCCCCGAAGCCATAGCAGAACTGTCAGAACTCGTAGTGACTCCAGCGGCTGGACGGTGAAGGCTAACGACTGTAAAATCCCAGGGGTCATCAGATCGCATAATTTGGCGGTGCTTCTTCAATTCTGACAGCGCATCCAAGAGGGCCGTGCTTTGTGGGATGTCGTACATCATCAAGCGTAATGAGGAATCAGTTAGAAGGGAATGGGAGGGCGAGATATGTTGGACTCAAGGGAGGTTGCAGTTTGAGGGCTCGGAGACATAGTCGCGAACGGAGGAATGATAGATATTCACGGGGAGACTGGTGTCCGCAGGAATATCCATGATGGACCGTAGCTGCACCAGTGTTGTCTCGACATCTCTGCCCTCACCAGGGCCAAGGAGTTTCGAGATTTGTGAAATGGGAAGAGGTTCTGCAAGAGTGACAACAACAGACAAGTGCAGGTATGTCCGATTGGGGTCAGCGCATGTGGAGAGGATGCTGTCGTATAACTCGTACACCTCTGTTCCTGGAGCAGTTCGCTCATCAACTTGAGCATGATCTGAAGTCGAGCACGGGGATCGTTCGATCTATCATTGATAAAGTTCCTCATCGTAGACGCCACAATGAAACGTCTGCCTTCTCTGCTCGCTAGTCGCACTAGTTGATCCCTCGTTGGCTGCGGGAAATCAGGGTAGCGACCTCGCAGCTTTATGAAGGAATGTTCTAGGAAAATACAGATGTCATTGTCAACGTCTGCGCCATCCAAGGAGATGATGGCAGCGACACCGTCCCCAGAAGTTTTCACTGGTTTCTCGCACACCAGCAGCTGCACTTCTTCTTCCTGCATGGCTTCGCGGATATGCGCTTCCGAGCGAGTAGTGAGCAGAATGTGGAGCTTGGACAGATCAGGTTCGCGAAGAGCTTGGCCAAAGAGGGAGATGAGATCAGCAAGCTCCGCTTTCGAAGGTGCATTCATCAAGGGCGTCGATGACGAACGACAAAGGCGGAAACCCGCGCAGTCTGCCATGAAGCTTCCGGAGAGGTCGGAGAAACAACGTCTCCATCTGGTCACAAAGAGAACTGTTGGGTCTAGAAGGGCAGGATTTTCACGAATAGCATTGTTTACGTCCTTCCGGTGAAATTGCTGGTAAGCTGATGGCAAGTGTCGCAAAGAAATACCCAGTCCTGCGGCGGTTCGGTGTGCTTGCGCGAGAAAAAGAATGTTCCCGGGCTGGCCAGCTGGAATATCACCGCACCGACTGGTAGGCCACAACTGTGTAACCAGCGTACAAAAGCAACATTAGTTGTGCGGGAACGGCTCAGACCCGTAACATAAATACATTCGGGTAAGAAGCTGACTCGGTTCTCCTGCCGCGGCGTTTGAAAGTTGTAGATTTTGTAAGTCGAGGAGAAGGAAAGACTCGAGGATGCCTACTACGACCGCCAAAGCATCGTACAAGAAACAAGCTGGTACGCTCGAACTCACAGATTCACATCTAACATGGACACAAGACGGAAAGAAGGCTCCAGCTGTTCGCGTCCCACATACAGAAGCATCTTGTATGTTCAATTAAAGTCTACTTCAACTAATAACTCAATAGTCTTCAATTAGCACTATTCTGCAGCAAAGAAGGCGCTGCTCAAGTTCGTCTTAAACTTGGGCTTATCAACGATGAAGCAGGTCACAATTTCACATTCACATCACCTCAAGCAGTAGCCTACGTCGAGCGGGAAGCATTCAAGCAGGAACTCACCAACATCATCTCTCGTAACCGGAGTGTCGCACCAACACCAACTCAAAAACCAACCCTACTCACACCCGCAAAGACACCCGGCCCAATCCCCTCCACTTCTCGCGCAACCTCTGTCTCCAGCGACAGTCGCACTCCCATCCTCTCCGGAACAGATGCTGCCACAGACTTTCGCCTCAGGAAGAAGGTTCTCCTTTCAAATCCAGAACTTCTAGCGCTGCACAAGGAGCTTGTCATGAGTGGTCATATTACAGAGTCTGAGTTCTGGGATGGCAGAGAGGTATCGTATCCCATTCATATGCCCCTTTCTTGTCCTGAAGTGTAATGAAGCACCTCTTACTTGCGGAAGCTGCTGCAGAAGGTCAGAAACGCGGGCGTCCAGGTCAACTCGTCGATCCCCGACCTCAAACCGTGGAGGGCGGCGAGGTCAAGATTGTCATCACTCCACAGCTAGTCCATGACATCTTTGACGAGTTCCCCGTAGTTGCAAAGGCGTACAACGATAACGTCCCCAACAAGGTCTGTCCTACCCTCATACTCATCCCCTTGTATCTCAAGCGCACCACCACAAGCTCTCAGAGGCCGAGTTCTGGAAAAGATATTTCCAGTCAAAGCTCTTCAACGCACACCGCGCCTCCATCCGTTCCTCCGCCACCCAACACGTCGTAAAAGACGACCCAATATTCGACAAATACCTAGAAAAAGACGATGATGGTATAACCACTTCTATCCTATGCATTCATCCCCGTCATCTCCTTTTACAGAGCTGGAACCCCGAAGAGCGAGAAACGAAGTCTCCGACCTCTTCATCAACATAGGAGCAACCATCGAGGATCACGTAGAGGTATTACACCCCACCATACCACACTTTCTCCGTTTCCTCACCCCCAAACAGACAGGAAACGAAAAAGATGTAACAATGCAAGCCGGGCGCCAACGCGGCGCCCTCCCCCTCATCCGAAAATTCAACGAACATTCAGAACGATTACTCAACTCTGCTCTGTCCGTCCCTTCCCCTCCTTCTTTCCACACACTAACAGTCAATGCATCACAGAGGAGAAGTACAACCCGCTAAACGCCGACGCATCGATAACAGCAACGATGACGATGACGACGAATACGCCCAGATCACGCTCGACGATCTACGTGACCCAGAAGCTACGAGTGGGATAGCGCTGCAGATGCAAGACCGTGAACGATACTTTGAGGGACAGCTTGCACGGACTGCGTCAGAGCAAGCAGATAGAGAGGTACGTCTCTCTCTTTCCTGCGTTCTATCCATCTTGGAGTGCTCATGCACCAGAGTAGGTCGTTGACGTCCGCGCAGCTTTTGCAGAGTTGAGAAATGGGTTTGGGGGTTGGGAATCGAGGTTCAGTCAGGTAAAAACCAGCATTCTTGCATATACGACAGTCCCATATTCTCGCATAGCTCCGAATAGACAAGAGAGCAGGCGACGCAGCACTCGCTTCAATGACTCAAAACGTTTCTGCGCGACTAGACATCCGAACTAGAAAAAGTGCGTACCCACTCCCCTCACATCACATTGCTCATCTGGTGGTCGCTCACACCTTTACTTTGCAGCCGACTTCCCGCCAACGCTCTTCCGCCAACTAACAACATGCCAAACAGCCGCAAACGAATTCCTCCGGCAATTCTGGACATCTCTCTATCCACCCCCAACATCAACATCAACATCCACCCCTTCGCAAAACGCAGCCAAAGCATCCAAAATGGCAGGCTACCTCAGTAAGACGCGTGAGAAAGTTGAAGCGCTCGTGCGGGCAGGTCAATTGGAGGGTGTGGAACCTGAAAGGGTGCAGGTGGTGCGTCTTCTTTTTTTGTTTTGTTTTGTGTTTGTGTTTTTTTTGGGACGATGCGTTGAGAGTTTTTCTTTTCTTTTTGGCAGGCTATGAAACCGCTCTTGGACGCTGTTGAACATGCGCTTGCGTTTTATCGAGCGCGGAATGCAAGGACTGCGACGCCGAAAGTCGCGTAAGTATTTGACATGCATTGAACGAGGCGGTCGGCTATATCCAGCATGTAACATATGATATTTTACAGCATATAATCTAATTAGCAGTGTGGGCATATATGTCCTTCCGAGTGTTGAACGTTGAAGTGACGTGGCTCAATAATATGAGCTTCCAAGCGGCTCCAGAAAGATATACTCGAAGACGACTCCAACACGATTAGTAGGGCCCCGGCTGAACCTGCAGCTGCCCGCTCGTCCACACACACTCATACATCGTGACTACCACCAAGAGGTGTAATGCCGCTGCATAGAAGATGAACGCCGTGCGTGCACGGCGGTTCCCAATAATCCCACGCGTGAGCACGAGCACACCTCGCTCGACAGGGTTAAGAGCCTCATACGCACGCGTCGCTTCCTGAACAAGGATAAAAACACCATCAGCCCAGCCCAGCACACACGCACACAAGCCGTAACACATACCCGCCCGCGAAACGCCTCAAAAGGATTCATAGCCTCCTCATACCTCGCGCCCCACTTCCCCAGCTCATCCCTTCCATTCCCACTTCCGTTAAACGCCGAGGAAGAGGAAGATGGCGGGAGAGGATCGAGCTGCGATACTGAACCTTGTTCGCGGTACGATTGCATGTAGCGGACTTTTTCGTAGAGCTTGAGGTTGTCGGATTGGAGGGATTTAATTTCGGTGCGGAGTTCTGAGATGGTGTGGTAGTGTTTGCGGAGTTCCTGTGTGATATGTTAGCGTCGGGTTGGGAGGGGTGAATGATAGGAAAAGAGGGAGGGAGGAGAGACATGGACACGGAAGTGGTACTCACTTCCTCGAGTTCTGCATTCCTCTGTCGGAACCGATCTCGTTGACTGGTCACGATAGGAAGGATGGACGTATCCGCAGATGGCGTGAAAGGTATCGGCGTTGAGCGTGTTGTGCTCGGGCCAGCTGTGTCCTACCATATCAATTGCATCAGCCACTCGAAATAACTCTTTCAAGAAAGACAAACCTTGGACCGTAAACCGAGCTCGAGCCCGAGCCCTGCAATCCCACTCTCTACATTTTCTCCACTCTCCTCTCTTGGCCCGCTCCCGCTGTTGGTATTCAGAGCAAGTAGGTCCGTCTCGAGTTTCTCGCATAGTGCCTGTTGCTTGGCAAGTTCTGCGTGTGTCTCTGCGAGTTCATCCTCCGTGCTTTTGAGGGAAGCTTCAAGTGATGTGTGGAGGATCTATGTAAACGGTAGGAGAAAATTTAGTAGCGAGGTTCACCATGGACACCAAAGTTAACAGTAAACATACCCTAAACCGAGTCAACTCTTCCAATATCCGTTTATTCTTAGTCGCGAGCAGCACCTCAAGGCTCTTGCCCTGTTGTACATTTGCCTTGTCCGCATTCGGATTCGGCAGATGCACGCCATCCTCGTCTTCATCAGGACTCGACCAATCATCATCGGGATCGAGACCTGCGAATTCAACGTACTTTCATGGGGTCGACATGATGAGAAGGACATAGGAGGGAAAAGCGCACCTTCAGAATCTCCAGTTCTCGCTTCACCTCATCGTAATCGGCGAATGTCTTGAGTTTGGCCTTGAGAGCGTCTACCTCTGCGCGAGCAAAGTCTGCTTCGCGAGCCTGTGGGGTGTTTAAATATGAGTTATTCTCATTAAACGTGTATTTCTGTGAACACCCACCTTCTCTGAAATCCGCTCCTGTGATTGGGCTGCAGCGCCTCGTGCAACGTCAACGGCGCCTTCGAGTCGCGTGCACTCGGACTCAAGCTCGGAGAGACGAGTTGTTAGAGATCTGACGCTGTTGGAATGTGTGCGCGTAAATTTGGGTTGAAGCACGTATACGGTCATAAAAGAGAGCAGGAGTGAAACGCGGAAGGGAAACGAGGAGACGTACCGCTCACTGCTCTCGCTACCGGTGCGTAATGCCTCGATTTCTCCACGGAGTGCTTCCTGTGGGAGAAGTGAATGTCAATTGGATTCATGGAGGAGAGGTGGAGTTGAATGACATAAAGGAAAGCAGTAAGTTTTGTAGGGCGGAATGTGTGAATAGAAGCGAACTATATACATGATAGCAACCATAAAATGCGGGAGTACACGATAGTTGTTGAAGTGGATACATGCAAGATGGTGAGATATGTGTGAACAACAAAGGGCACTGAACAACCAACGAGGTGATAGACGAGGGACAGGGGCAGGTCAAACTCACATTTCGCTGCTCGACGGTCGCGACTCTGCTATTCGCGCGTTCCAGGTCGACCGTGATCATGTCAGCTTCTGCAAGACGGGATATGATCTCTTGGTCTGAGAGAATGTGTCAGCGTGCAAGACAAAAGGCATAATATGAAGAGAAGTAGCACAACCCACCCTGACGCTGGCTGTGATCAAAAAGCTTCGCCTGATTCGATTCATTCGACAGTCTGAGGTCGCGCACTTGGTCCTTATATAGGGAAACTTGGCGTTGCAAGTCCTGTTCCCTGCACTCCAATCAGTATCATCAACTGCAAAACACCAGCTCAGGTAAAGACACGTCACGTACCGCTCCTCGTAATTACGCATACGTTCAGTCGTACGCAGCATTAATCTCAGACTCCTTCTGCGCAACAAGTTCGTCCATAGCGTGCCTCTAGCTGTTCGACGCGGCGCTTGGACGCATCAAGAGCGCTGGACGACTGTCGAAGCTCCGTGTTCTCGGCACGCAGCCGGGCAACTTCAGCCTCAAGTGCGTATGCTTCTGTGGCCTTTACCGCTTGGTCCTACGCGCGTGTGAATGTGGGGGGCTAAAGAAGAAGATGGGTGAGACGCACGACAGCAGCTTCGAGCAGGGGATATGGATCTGGTGCTTCGGCGAGGACCTTGTACACGTTGAGGAATGCATTCTCGGAGACCTTTGATCGCTTTGTAAGGCTATCGATCTCTGTCTGGTATGCTGCGCCAGATTCAGCAATTAATGACAATATTCAGCGAGAAGAGAATATGCAGACCTTTGAGCAGGCCTTTGAACGAATTCAGCTTCTCGTCGTCTGGGATCTTCTTGAACTCTACAAAGGTTCAGAACACCTGAACATAAGAGAACCAAGGCATGCATACGAACCCTTCGTGCGGTCAGCAAGCTGCTTGCGTCCCAGTACAGATTCCTTCTGGTTGTCAACGATCTCGATACCTTGGGCGTCCAGCGTCTTTTGCAGCTCCTGCAGTTTTATGTCTGCCCTTTATTAGCTCAGGTTATTCAGAACAATAACTTCGCGCACCCTTCCATGTTGCCAGTGCGCCAGAAAAGTTGTGCTCTGCTCCACTCATGGTCGACCGCGTTTAAGTGTAGTCGACCACGTGACTATACTAGTTAACGGAATTGTGGCGATGCATTTATGAGGTGGTGTTGACATGAAGTCGTGCTATGAGATCAAGAAACCTTCATTATACTTGTACAGTGTAATATCTAGGTAGTGTACATATGTCTGATTTTTTCCAAGCAAATTGAACCTGACATTTTGATTATCCGCTCTTTGCAGACTACCCAGAATGATAGGTAAGTACTTTAACAAAAAAGTGGCTTGTGTAACCTGTTAGTGTAAGTACTAGCCACAAAACGGATAAGTTGACATACCGAACACAATAAGGATCAGACCGGATGGGGAGCATACCAGCCCGCAGGGACAAGAACATGTCCTTCAGGTCCGTGAACATTATCGGCAATTGCGAGATGGCACGGCTCTGAAGATTTGATATGTGCACGAAAAAGATCGTGACGGCACTTCACGACTCCGCACACGGAGCAGCGCACCCTGACACCAAGGTGAGTAAGAATGTGTCTTGTCATGCTCCCTTTCTTGAGTGTCTTGGAGCAGCTGCCCCAAGTACAACTTGTACTGGTGCTGTCCGAACCAGTGATGCCGTGTCTTCGCAGATGAGCGGACACCACACTGGTCGTTCCCTCCACATATGATCCGCAGGGGATCCCCTGTAACTGGCACTCATACAGGATAACCGGTTGACCGCTTTGATTCACTCGAAAAATAATCTCTGGATCCACGTGAGTGATATCGAGAGGCATGTATCAGACTATGGGTCGTCAGGTGGATGAGATGGTGGATGATGGTCTGCTGTACGGCGGGTCAGCAATGGTCCACAGATTCGCTAGAGGCATGTGTCCAACGCACCAGAGAGATTAAGGGTGCGAGTTCAAGTAGAGATCCGAGGTTTTTGATGCGCTTGCCTTCCAATCGCAGGCATTTTAAGCATTTGGACGAGATGGCATGTTCTTTGCCAACCTGAATGTAATCAGGAGGCAAGGAGCGGGCAGGTGCCCAGGGTCTTGCATGTCATGTGTATTTCCGTCATGCACAGGTAGGACACGGACAAGGAGATCTGAACAAGTCGGTCCCACGGCCGTTTCCGAGCAAGCGCTCTGAGACGCCGGTGGCACCCAGATTACAGATCATCCCACCTCATCGGGGGTAGTGGGTCCAATGTAAACTGGCTGTTCTCGTGACAGCATGCCGCACAAGTTCCTATGTATACCACTGGGGATGGTATCATAGGTGCTAGATGAATTCCGCATAGTTCGGTGGAGCAACAGTATTCGTGATGCGATCGCAGAGAAAGCTACATAAAAGAGTGAGCATTCACTCAGATGAGTCACCTATATGACACAATCACCACCCGAAACCTCTTAGGGTGATATGACAGTGTATGCCTCGCAAAGAAATTCGCTCGTAAGGTGACGAGTTCCTATTTTAGTACAGGGTGCTGCATCTCGCATGATAAGCAGATGGTATTATTGTCCAGTGCCAATGCATGTCCAGGGGTAGCAGGTCGTTCTGCACCGTCTTGTAGAAAATCCGCAGGAACACGGCTGCTTTTTTTGCATGAAAGTCAGGGTCCGGAACATGCAATGGAAAGTTCCCCATCAGCACAATATATATCTGACTAACGAACGTCAATTTAGAAGCCCAAACCGACGAGTCTCGGAATAACATTACTTACTTGTAATTGCTATGTGGTAGAAAGCATCAGGCTGTGTTAAATCCTGTTCGAACGCTAAGTCCGAGTGACTGGCACGTCAAAAACAAACAAAAAATATAACACACGTCTCCAAAGCTGTCAAACCTACAACGTAGTTCCTGTCCCAAAATAACAGTGCGCCGGAGTGTGAAACAGAAATCTTGCCGTGCCGCTGCTACTTCGAAGTCAGGCTAACTTCGCGTTCAAGTCTAGTATGGCACGTCTCCGTCGTACTGGAAAACGGAGTAGCTCTTTTCATGCACGTTTGGCTTTAGAACTTGAAGCTCTTGCATGGGCAAAGTGCTTGAGTAGAGTAATTATTCGTGCAGTAGTAGACTGCGTGCCGTTCGGCACGTTACAAACCCAGCAATGCAGTGCTGCAATGAACTGACAAAATAAACTATAATTGAGTGGGGCTACGATCTGATGCTAAAGTACTACTCCGACCTACTTATTAAGGAGGCCTGAGTTGCAGGTATGCACTGAACTTCTCCATCAGTTCTCCATCGCACATGCCATATATCTCATCCACGGACGTCAAATTGGAAGCTCGAATCGACGAGTGCTTCCTCATGATTGCTATGTGGCATAGAACTCATCTTGGGCTGTTCAGATTGGGAGTGACTTCGACTGCTTGTAAACTTTGCTAGTTCCTGTTTGGACTGGGACCGATAAGTCTAAGTGACTTCGACTGCAAGATGGGGCTTAGTAATTTAGTTTTGATCTCCATCAATAGACTCGCCCTTCATCCCACACAAGCCTGAGTACACAAAAAAAACTCGATCAGGTTTAACAAAAAGTAAGCTTGTTTAAGTTCCTTGATATCAGCCTTAAAACAGGTTTTCACTCTGCGGTATTCGGAGCTACCCGTTTGTGGGAAATAACTAGTTGGCAAAACACTTACTCAAGTGAAAGGTGTCCGGAAACTTAACATACCCAGGTAGCAACGGAAGGTAACCTTGCAGGTCATCTGACAGCAATCCTCGGGAATAGACCCTATAACGTACTTGAGTGACCGGGGGTACTCTGCCAAGAGGGGTGAGGATACTTGTCGATATGGAAAAAAAATTAGCGGGTAACGGGTGCGAGAAGGACGGACACAGAGGTGATATTTTAAGCAATGTTTAGATTGAGCTGGGGACACAGGAAAATGTGGCTGTGACGTTGGACACCGCCATCTCAAATCAATTTCCTTACCTTGTAGTTTTGAGCTGATGCCCCTATCATTTGCCTTCCTTTTCCTACTGCCGCACATTGACTACAATCAGCCGTCCCTGCAAGGCATTTCAATCACAACAATATTAATATGAGGACAGGTTAACAATATCCACTCTTTGCCCAACACAATAAGGATCAGACCGGATGGGGAGCATCCCAGCCCGCAAGGACAAGAACACGTCCTTCAGGTCCGTGAACATTATCGGCAATTGCGACGAGATGGCACGGCTCTGAAGATTTGATATGTGCACGAAAAAGATCGTGATGGCACTTCACGACTCCGCACACGGAGCAGCGCACCCTGGCGCCAAGGTGAGTAAGGGTGTGTCTTGTCATGCTTCCTTTTTCTTGAGTGTCTTGGAGCAGCCGCCCCAATAAGTTGCTTCTTCTCGCTATGGTACTAAATGCTACTAGTCATTAGCAAAAGTGACAAAAGTTGACAAGGCCTCCGCAGATGCCGTAAGCCTGGCGTAGCGTTCCAACTATGCCACAGGCTGCGCTCGTGTCATACCAGGCATCGCAAGGCAAGTCAACTCAAAATAATTCAAGAGATGCACATCAATGCAATTAACGTGCCCTACATAGCTGAAATAGATTCTGATAAATTGTACAGATCTCGGCTGCAGCGCCCTCCAACTGGCGCCAAGAGCCATCATCAAATTCATACTCATCTTGGTCGTCTCCAGCATCCTGTCACGGTTCATCACCACCGTCAAATTCACCGCGTTCGTGGTCCAGTGCTCTACTACTCCACGGTATGTTGATCAACCACCCAGATTTGCTCGATCTCATCACGCTCTTAGTGATTCAGAAGTGCGCAATTCCTCTATGTATATACAATTGTTGAACCTAATCGCAATAATTCACCTTTATCGTCCAGTCCCAGCGGTTTGGCCGAACATGCGCCCCATCAAATCCAACGAGTCACTCAAGTATGAAAACTGTTGATTTCGCTGTCTACTTATTTGTCTTCGGCAAGTTCATTGCGTCGCACAGCGAGCCTGCTATACTGACCACAATGTTTGACAGGTGCGCACATCAGCGTCTCAGTTGCTTTGGGTTCAAATGTACAGGCACTTCCGACTGCTCTCCCTCTCTTTTGGAATCAGTCTGACACCAACATGCGTGTGACAACCGCAGATCATTTCAATGTCCATCCTTCGGCATGTGGACAGTGGAATTGAAAGTAGCCGAGACTGCTTCAAGTCCATCGGTATCAAACCTCCTCGTGGTATTCTGATGTTCTGTCCCCCTGGTACCGGAAAGACGTTAATGGCTCGTGCGGTAGCCAATGAGACTAGTGTGTTCTTCTTCTTTGATTGACAGTCTGGATATCATGAGTAAGATGGCTGACGAGAGTGAAAGCAATCTGCGGAAAGCATTCGAGGAGGCCGAGAAAAATTCACCTGCTATCATCTTCATCGGTGAGATTGACTCCATATGTCGATCTTGAGCAGGTAAAGCAACTATCGACCAGTATATCGTGCTATTCCTGACGCTTCTATTAAGATTGCCGCCGATTCACACGGCTATGTCGGTTGCGATGTAGCAGTTCTTTGCTCAGAAGTTGCTATGCAGCAGATTCGTGAAAAGATGGATCTCATTGATGTTGGCGAGGACAATCGACACTGAAGTGCTGAATTCCCTCAGTGTTACTATGGATAACTTCCGCTTTCCCCCCAGTGCTTCCAACCCGTCAGCACTTTCGCGAGACTGCTGTCGAAGTGCCCAATGATATTGGTGGTCTCAAAAAGCATCCCGAGAAGTTCCACAAATATGGTGTGTTCCGTTGAAGGATGTCTTGTTCTAAGGCCCTCCGGGGATGGGTACCAAGACACTCCTCGCAAAAGCCATCGTGAACGAACGTCAAGCCAACTTCATCAACATCAAGGGGCCTGAGCTGCTGATGATGTGGTTCGGTGAATTAGAAGCCAATGTTCATAATGTACTTGACAAGGGCCGTGCTGCCGCTCCTTGTGTCATCTTCTTTGATGATCTTGACTCCATTGCCAAAGCACGTGGTGGCTCATCGAGCTATGCAGGAGGTGCAGGGGAGCGTGTACTCAACACAGACCACTGTGTCCTTCCGAGTGGTGAGCTCGAGCTGGAGACCCAGTCTGTACTATTGAGCCTGAAAGCTGAAAACTTGAGGGTAGCATAAGGGGAAGTAGAAAGGGTTGGCTTGCAGATGTACTGGACCGCAGATCATTCTTGGAAAGAATTGGGTAATTGTGATTGCTGTCTCGTCGTTCATTTGTTGACTTAACATTAACATCCCTGGAACCAGACGCCTATCCAAGAGACCACTGCCTCGAAATACTCCCGACCTTGAGCTGATTAGTACGCTTAACCTTCTTCAACTGCCCATCTCTCATCTCTTTTCATGGGGAAGAAAGGTCCAAAATTGCCTGCACGCCGGCAGACATGACATCTTGATCTTCTGGATCAGCCTCAAAACCACACACGTAAGTTTCCATACGTGCCTCCATGTAACTGAATGGACCAGCTAACATTTACCGATTACCTCCCTTTTTCCTTATTAAGAGCACAATTGCAACGATCCAATTCCGTGCAAACGATGTTGTTGCGACTTCAGACGTGGGAATGAAGGATATTGTAAATCGGGCAGCTTTTGGCTGTAACTGTGCCCTAATAGGCCATGTGACTACAGCAAACTGACTTTGCGGTATGAACCTTTGGAGACCTTCCAACTCCTTTCAAAAAGTCGGATGCAAACTTGGCATGATTCATGAGATGGTGCACGTCTGTCGTAACATTGAAAAAACACTACTCGTACAATATATCATTTCTAGGTAGTCTACATATGTTTGAATTTTTTGGAAGCGAGTTGAACGTGACTGGTTGACCCTAAACCAGTCAGTACATACCAGCCACAAAACAGATGAGGTAACATGCCCATCATTAAGGATCAGACCTGCTGGGTAGCATCCCAACCCGTAGGGACAACAATATGTCCTTCAGGTCCTTGAACATTATCAGCAATGGCGAGATGGCACGACTCGGAGGATTTGATATGTGCATGAAGGAGATCCTGACAACACTTCATGACTCCGCACACGGAGCAGCGCACCTTGACACCGAGGTGAGTAAGGATGTGCCTTGCCATGCTTCCCTTCTTGAGTGTCTTGGAGCAGCCGCCCCATGTACACCTTGTACTGTTGCCGTCCAGACCAGCGATGCTGTGTCTTCGCAGATGAGCGGACACTGCACTGGTCGTTCCCTCCACATGCAATCCGCAGGGGATCCCCTGCAAATGACACTCATACAGAACAACTGGTTGACCGCTTTGATCTACTCGAAAAATGGTCTCTGGATCCATGTAAATGATATCGAGAGGCATGTAAAGACTTGGATGATGGTCGGCTGTATGGCGGGTCAGCAATGGTCCAGGTTCGCTAAAGGTATATGCCCAACGCACCAGAGAGATTAAGGGGGTGAGTTCAAGTAGAGACCCGAGGATTTTGATGCCTCGAATACAGGTCAGCACTGGTCCAGTTGTTCTTTGGAGACAACGCACCAGAGGGATTAAGAGTGTACGTTCAAGTAGAGGGCAAGGCAATTCGAGGTTTTTGACAATCTTTCATTCCCATCACAGGCATTAAGTATCTGAATGAAACAAGATGGCATGCTCTTTGCCAACCTGAATGAGGGTGCTACAGGGGCAGAAGGTGCCTGGGGTCTGGTGGTTTCTGATACCTCATTCGGATCTCCATCATTATGCCAGAATCCAGATTCTGACGTGATGCGTCCAGCGTAAGGCTTCAGCTGCATGGAAATCCTGGTGACAGCATGTTGCATGCATCTGTAGGCAGAGGACGGTATTCTAGCTGGATGGGGGAAGGCCAGGCCTTCGCACACAACTGGGCAACACTGGTGATTCGTGATGTGATCACAGAGAAAGCTACATAAAAACAGTGAGCACTCAGATCTCAGACAGCACCAATATTATCACAAGCATCAAGGTCTCGTTTAAAATATGACAAGTACACACCTTGCAAAGAAACTCGCTCGTAGGATGATGCGTTCTTACACAGCGTGCCCAGGTAGCAGCGGAGGGTGATTCGGCAAGTCTCCTCAGAAAAAAATTGGATCCTAGAACGTACTTGAGTGACCGGGGGTACTCTGTTAAGCACGAGGAAAACGAATTCGCCACATAATCGTTTAATTTAGGAGTTCCGGAATGTGGCCTTTACACAACTTATTGAAAGCTCCCGGTCAAAGCCAGTCCAAGACCAAAAGGAAGTTCATACTATGGGCACTGACGTCAATGGAGAAAGCGATGACGGGTAGTCAATATGGATTATTCTTTTGTGGAAGAACTTGAAGTTCCGGTCAACGTCACAATTTCCAAGATCAACCGTGACGGTCGGAAGTCCATATGAGCGCCAATGTCAATGCAGAAAGCGATGCGTATCGGGCCAGCGGATAGTCAGTTTGGATTATGCTGTTGTGGAAGAACTTCTGGTCATCAACGGAAGATTGTTCAACGTTGAACTTTGAGCGCTGAGCACCGTACGAACGTCAGCTCTGCATCTCAGCTCTGATTCAGTATACATAGTACAGGAAAGGAAGATTAGCTAATATTTCAAATTGTACACCGCTCAAGCGGGCGGTGCACCTATAGATGTACGGTTCGCGCGAATATTAAATAAAATTAAATAAAATTAAATAAATTGAGGAGAGAGAGGAATGACACCAGCAATCACGACGGCGCAAGAACGAAAGCAATGACATTCAAATGAGAAACAACTACATCTGCTGCTCTGCAATGTACTACCAGTACGAAAAGCCACCAGACACAAATTAACCAACGACGAAAATGATCTCTGTCACACTGCATCTAGCGTGACATTTGAACCACTAGCCTGAGGTACTGCCTCTGGCAACGATGTTGTGGCGCGTCTCTAAGCAAACCCAAAGCAAAGTAAGTTCTTGCAAGCCTCTCCAAAGAAAGTGACACGAACCTGATCAACTCGTTCCTTCACAAGACAGTACTTCATGCCCCATTTGCCCTTGCACTCGATACTCTTGCAATAGGTGCATGTCCGCGCTTTGTTCTTCTTCTTCGGTGGGCCATCATCACGCTCGTTTGTGGCAGGACGCTTCCCAGTGTGACAGACCTCTCCTGCTTGCTGGGCTGACAAATCTCTCGGTGCGGTTGCTCTTGGCTCCTCATGACGGTCTCCATAACTATACTGAAGGGCTGATTGTGCGAGTCGGTGGTCAGCGAGCAGCCGTTGGAGCTGCCAAGGATTATTGGTGGGTTCTGGAGGGTTTTGGGGTGCAGAGACAGTTTCAGAGAGGAGTTGAGGGAGAGCTGTTGGGATTTCGGGAGGACATCCAACATGAGATGTAAGCAGGGCACGTATCCTATTTGTCGCGTCCATGCTGAGGGTGACTGATGATTTCTCGTTGCTGAAGTCAAGCCATGCTTTGTAGTGTGTCCGCATATGCTCAGGAAGCTGTGATTCAATGTGAGTTAAATACTGTTCCTCGCTAGTGTAGCAAGTCACTCGTACCTTGTAGAACACACGAACACCATCAGCGTGGGCATTCATGTGCGAAGCAAGCGCCATGAAATCAGGCTGTTGTGGGCCAGAAAAAAGCGGAGACGACTCAGCATAAGCCTGAAACAATGCTCATTCTTCACGAGAATGGACCGGAAGTACTGCGAACCAGTGTCCCTTGCATCCAACTGAGATGCTCGTAGTGGATCCTGTTTTCCTTGACGAATGTGCTACTGAATGGCAGCATACCACCACATCTCAGTGTGTCATCGTCAAAGGCAAGTATTCCAAATGGCTCTTTCATCTCCTCGTAGTTATCACCATTGACCCATCCACCTGAGCGGGAATCAAAGTCTTGGCGAAATGCGTGCGAGGTACGTTCACGCAACGAAGCGACGCGGTTCTTCAGTGGTACATCAAAGTGACCAATATATCGGAGACCAGACCTGTTTAGTGTCCCAACCTGTTTTTTTTTGAAGCACTGATGAGGAACTTTTGTGAATGCAGTGAATAATGATCAACATACCTGCATATTGTGGCAGATTGTATATTCTTGAATCATGTTCACTGCACTGGCGAGGAGACACATTGAATGATGTAAATCGTTGAATAAGGTTCTGATGAACACCGCCTTCGACGTCATTCGTTCCACAGCAGCAACGATAGAGTATCAGCCCATCTTTGTCCTTTCCGATCTCAAAATACAGGGGGATATCTGGTGGATCTGAGTAGTATCCATTGCGAATATGTTTGAGAATGTTCTTCGTTACTTCCCAGGCCTTGTCGTTAAACAGCAGCTGTCCAGTGGTTGCATCTTTCAGTGGGCCATAAGTCTTGACAACTGCAGCAACACGGCTGAACAGTATCTCCGGTGGTGGAACATAACGACAGACTCTGGTGAGAATCCACTCAGGTTTTGAGATAAGCTTGGCATGGTACGTGATGTTTCGTCGTGCCAGTACATCCGTGACTGCTTGCTTATCATTGATATCTGTAAGAAAAATTGCGGCACTGAGGGCACGTGCAAATGGTTGACGGAGTCCATGGTGAAGGGAAATAGGAAATTGATGAAATAGATGCCAGATATCGCCTTTGATGTGTGTTCAAATCAAATCAAAGCACTGTGGTGAGAATTTCACAATGTCAACGAGAAGCTGAGAGATTGCTTGGAGGGCAGTCTCGTCAACAGATGAACTGCCAACAGTCTGTTCCGGTATTGCCTCTGAGTCAGGCTCATCGAGTTCTGGGACTGTCTCGAATGGTGAGGGAAAATTGACATCATTGCTCGAGTCCGAGTTAGCCGGGAGTGTACTCATGGAAGACATCAAGTGTTGGTCTTCTGAAAATCCGGAAGCAGCCTCCAAGTCCATTAGTGGAGCAGCTATGGATGTTTGCAGATGATTGGCCTGAGAAAGAATCGAGAAGGGGGGGTGACCGAAGGCAGATAATGGAGTAGGAGTACGTGACGAGAGAAGGCTGCCTGATATCAAGTAAGCAGGAACCAGAACTTCATGGACAACCATGATAACTCGAGTCTTCGTGACATTGACACCACCAAACGATGCCAGACGATCAGGTGCGATGACACCCTGGGCTATGGTCCTCCCGTCAGGAGCATACATTGTGACTGCAGTCCCACCTGGTGTCGAGAAGGTGACCTTCTGTGGAGCTTCGATGGCTGTTAGAGCATGATAAATTGACCATGTAGCATAAATGTCAAGGGCAGCATGCTGAATGAAAGATGGGGGGAGTTCGGAAATACCCCACAAGGGGCTGATACATATCATTGGGTCTTGGGTGACATGCTTGCGAAGAACATTGGTGCACAGAGTTGTCATGCTCGTGTTGCCTATATGGGCAGCATTTCGCTCACTTGCCATTTGACCAACATCAAGTTGACCAGCAAAGGGTGTGAGCCGAGAGGCAGGGATGCAGTCTGCATGTAGCCGTTGAAGGTTTGATGTGACATTGATGCCCACCTTGCAATAGGCCCTTGACTGAATGAATGTAAGCAGCGAGTGCGGGAGGCTGATAAATCCATCCTGCATGAACAACTTCATCTAAACAATCCAAAATTAACCCACGTCACATAGAAAAAGCTTGATACCTGCCTGTATGAGGTAGACAACCTTCTGGTATCCAATCTGGATCAAACTAACACGACCAACTTCGCCCGTCGCAGCATTGATGGGCCACTTGATTGAAAACATAGCTACAATGGGTGTGGTGGGGGTGTGCTGATTCATAATGATATTAAATCGATGATTGACTTGGTACGTCGTAGTCAGTGGCACATATGACCAATCCTCTGGAAATAGCAGAAGGTCCTGGGCACTCGGCAGCTGCACAGGAGTCACGTTGGCTGATAGAGATGGAAAGATTGATAGCAGCTTGTCTTTATCGGCTCGAATATTGTCTGTGAACACAATTTTTGGTGGGCTATGGCCAAAGCTTGCTAGCGAGGGTAGCATGGCAGAAAGGACAGGTGCCCACCCGTCCTGGCCCTTTGACGGTGTGAAGTTCATGGACCTGATCTCGCTATACTGATTCACTGTCATGAACAGAGCGTTGAAGGTGGGCACACCATCAGTTTTGCCCAAATGTTTAATTGCCTGGGATAATAATTAGGATCAGCAGGCTCCTCGACAGATTCAATAACTATCACCTTGAAGCTGTGGTCCTGCTTAATAATATCTGCAGGCAGTGATGCTATGAGCTGCCTTGCAGCAGGTGCTGACTCCTCGACAAGCATGTCATAGAACCGTGCGAAGTATGGAGCATGCAGAACATATCCAGCGTACCCATCTTGGGCTCCGAAATCTCCAAATGGACTGGTAGCAGTCCAGCAGCTAGATAGTGAGCCATGACTGCTTCGATTGGACACCATTTCGAGGAATTGACAGTGAAGATGATTGAAGTGTCGGTAGTGAAAGGATTCAATCATAGTTGTGAATTGGTCTGGCCCGACTCCTGACCGAAATGATTCGCGTAGCAACATAGCGAGACAGTTTGAGAGCCCACTGCGGTGCGTGAGACGGAACACGAATTGATCTGCAATGGGAGCAGGGAGAAGGTGGATGATTGATGGACTCCAGCTTTGGAAACTTTTTCGACAGTCTTTGTGACCGCACACATAACGGTAACCAACGATGAAAATGTTGCGGTCAATGTCAACCACTCGTCGTGGTTGATTAGCGAAACCATGCTTCTGAAGGTATACACGAGAGCCACGAGTGACTTGACGGCCAGCTTTAAGACACGAAGGGCAGGGGATGCGATCAACGAGCAGGTGCGGGAGCCACACGAAGAACCGTGGTTGATGGAACAATCCAGGAGTCAATTGGAATGTTGATCTAGCAACAAGGAAGGCATTTTCAGCCCCATCAAAAAATGTGTGGTGATCATAACACGTAGGTAGATGTGATGAATTGCTCCTCATCTCGCAAACAAGTCGCTCTCACAGGTTCTGGTACTCACTAGCAAGCCACGTTGGCATAGTAGAGCAGACCTTCTGCTTCGCTGTTGCAGCCAAGTCAGGATCGGGTGCCAGTCCACAATCAACAGAGTCATGCTCAAGGTCCTCGTCTTCACACACATCAGCAAACTCATCCAGCATCTCTTCGTCCTCGTCTTGATCATCTTTGCGAACTTTGGCAGCCACAACATCAGATCCATATGGATTTCGATGTAGGGCACTTGTTGGCACTAGTGGGCTCGTGTCGTGCTCGCTGGCACACACTGGCGTCGGTGCACGAGTGGTAGCTGGACTTGTCCCCAAAGCATCAGAAGCATTTGGAGGAGAGGCTTGTGCGTCCAGCAGGCTCGCATTAGCAGAAACCAGCAGCAAGCTGGTGGAGGGCATTAGGCACTGAGGCTCTGAATTGACAAGGGAGGTCTCGCACGATACTCCAGGATTTGTAGCTGGAAGTAGTGAATCAGCAATCATCAAGGAGAAAACTGAATACTCGTGTGCAAGAACATGTCCAAAGTAGCAGATGATATGTAGAAGGGCATGTGTTAAAAGGCTCACCATCATCAATGATTGGCGCTGGAGAAGCGCATGATTCCATGGATCGAGAAGTGGTTTGTGACGAATCTGGTAAATGAACCAGGTCAACAATCCGAAGAGCATGCAGGTACAGAGAAATAATCACACACCTTTACTGCTTGTGTCAACAATGTTTCTAGGTTGAGCCGGTTGCCCATTTTTGCGAGGTTGTCCGACATTCGTAGCGCCAGGCTTATTTTTTGAGCCTTTTGGATGCCCTCGGCCTCTTTTGGAAGGGTCGGACATTATGCGGAGGGACGGAAGCAAGAAATAACCCTGAGAAGGGTAACCTGTTGTCGAAGTTGGTCTGGACAGAAGTTACTGGCGTGCGATGACTTGTTGACAACAGTGACAACAACAACAACGAGAAGGACAATGAACTGACAGACAACAGGGAAATTACCGGCCCGGGACGTTCCGCCAGGTTAGGTTTTCAAAGTCCGTCAGGACCTAATGCCCGTACATCCATAGTTGGACTGCCCTCAAGCGCTCATGCCCAGTGAGAACCCAGGCTCCTTCCCAGCCACTGCTTCGAGGGTGGCATACTAGGGGTGCGGCACTATCCGAAATCACGTGAAGAATTCAAACCCAGCACAACCTTATTCCCCTCACACTCTCACCAGCGGCTGGAAGATAACACATGTAAACATTGTCAGCCACAGTGGCTGAAACATCGGAAAATGAAATTTATTTCAATATCTGAATAAACCCGAATGTAGGGTTAGGTTATATGTGTATTAATTGAAAGCCGTCGTCCGTCGTCTTGTTCTGTCAACAATGGACTCGCATGCTCTAGAAACAATTATCATTGCTTTTGAATCTACTGGCATCAAAGCTTCTCAATTTGTATTGACACTGCTCACCTACCCGCAGTTTAATGACCATACAATTGTCAGAGATCTGCTCTCGCACTCAAATGACATACTTGCTGCATTCCTCAAGCATCCGAGTCCTTCAAAAGAGCATGTACCCTCAGCGAGTCATCTCGTGCAAGAAATATGTACTGCCGAGGTCCGCAGACTTGCATCCGAAGACAGTGGATCACACTTTGGGGCATCGAGTGCAACCACCAAACAACTGGAGGACTTTAGTGTCGAAGACATGGCACAGGAAATGATTCGTAGCGCACCGGAATTGTGGGCATTGCTTGGGGCATTGCTTGGTGAAGGCGAGAAGTGTTCATTGCCAGTGTCAGATGAAGTAGATGGAGATGGAGATGCAGTCATGGGTGACTCACAGAGTTCTGAGGACGACGACAGTTATTGGGATCAAGTAGAAGCAGTAGATCTCGAGGGCTTTATCAATGGACTCGCCTCAGAAAATGTCTCCAAAAAAGATATACGTTCATCACGTCATTCTGCGATTATCAAGACCGTTAGTATAATGAGTGGCTTTCGCTTGCAGCACGAGACTAATATTAATGAAATCAGAAAAAGGTCGTCATTATCAGTATCATGATGCAAAGCACCAGGCAGAAATCAAACGCACTGCAAAGTATCATTGGAATTTTCTTGCAGTCAGTGCACACGCCGCAGAATGTCATCGACACACTCGCACGGATCGGAATCTCGATATCTACCGATGCAATCAACGCTGCAGTCAAATCCTTGTCGGTGGAGTCACAGAACACCATACGAGATCTAGGGCAAACCCTCCTCGCATCATATGCATACGATAATTTTGACGTCGACCTCTGTGCCCGCAGTACAGAGTACATCATGGTCACCTTTCAGTAGTGCCTCTGCAACCTTTAGTTGCCACAAACAAGGTCTGACTCCAAATTTTACCTGTGTTATGGATCGAATTTGACATAGGGAAGGGATGAAAATCATTAATGGTTGTACTATGCAGGATATTTTTTTCAAGAATACCCTAAGTTTTCTAACCCTAATTTCGTTCTGCACCAATAAATTTCATTTTCCGATGTTTCAGCCACTGTGGCTGACAATGTTTACATGTGTTATCTTCCAGCCGCTGGTGAGAGTGTGAGGGGAATAAGGTTGTGCTGGGTTTGAATTCTTCACGTGATTTCGGATAGTGCCGCACCCCTAGTATGCCGCCCTCGCACTCGAAGCAGTGGCTGGGAAGGAGCCTGAGTGAGAACCTGCAAGTGGCAAATTTACGAAAATAGTGATGACGAGATTTAACAATGTCCTCGGAGAATTTTCAGTCAATTTGTAGATTGTATATTGAGAGAATCTAGAGGAATCGAGCCGTTTGACAATGGCTCGATTCCACAATATCTTCGTAATTTCTTGTACATGTACACAATCTATGAGAATACAGTCTAAACTTGTGGTATTGTGATTGACAATATACAGTACGAGCTACTAGCAGGACAATATGCGACAAGCGAACGGACGGCGTGCGAGTACGAGAACAGAAAGCAACAAAGCAGTGGTGCACATACTAAGTGTCCTTGGGTGAAAAAGGTGAAAAAACCGTGACTATGCGATAGTACTGCGAATGCGAAGGACGGGACGACAAATGTTTGAAAGCCTCACATGGCTGGTTGCGTGGCCATGGTAGCGAGCGCTGCGGCTGTGGGAAGCGATGCGATAGCAGTGGCTTTCGCCTGATAAAATTGTCAGCAGCATGCAGCAGTAGGCTTAATCCGAGGACCGAGAGAGTGGCACGACTCACGGCCTTGACGAGTTTGGAGCGATCATCGTAACCCTGCAAGCATTCAGTTCGACGCTCATGCATCATGCATCAATGCATTTTTGATCTTGGTGTTTTTGGCTTTGACCGGAAGCTTTTCCGTATAATCTATTTTGACTGCCCGCTGTCCCAACACACATCGCTTTCTGCATTGACGTTGATGGCGGTGCCTTCCAGTGGATTGTATCATTGTGTGTTATATAAACTAGAAGATCTTAGATCATCTACGCATCGCTTTCTGCATTGACGTTGGCGCTTCTCGTTAATTAATGGCTTTGACCGGAAGCTCTTCCGTAAAAGCATAATCTAAACTGACTACCCGCTGTCCCAACATGCATCGCTTTGCGCACTGACGTTTGGTGTTCAATGAACTTCCCATTGGTCTCGGATTATCTAGAAGATCTTAGATCTGATAGCATCCAGTAGTCCGAAGCATGAGGACGAGGGATGTAAGGTTTCGGGTTTAGCCGACGTGGCCTTAGGCTACCTTTTCGGTGTCGACGTCTTGTCTTAAGCCACGACGCTAGCTCGCAGTTAGTAGCAGTCAACACACATCACTTTCAGCATTAACATTGGCGGTCATATGGACTTCCCCATTGATCTTGGTTTTTTTTTCCAAAACATCCCCTAAGCCCCTTATACATGCATCCCATAGCCCGAGCATGATGTCTCGACAATTTAAGCCGTTATAGACAATTGCGCAAGGACCATACGGAACGCCGCGTATGAACGCGGACGGCCTGGAACCCCTGTATCAAGATCTTGGGTCATAATAAGCTGGATGCGAGACCATTCAAAGCAAGACAATCTTTCCTTATTAATACTGGATACTACGATCGCTGATCGGCGTAGCAACGGCCCCAGATCGAGCCTTATCTCTGGGCGGCCCGGGCCCGCTTGGAAGTCCTCGAGCTAAGACTCGAGTCTAAGAGTTACTAAAGTCAGTTAGAGCCAGTCTAAGTGTAGTCGACCATGTGACTATAGGAATAGTTTCCCTCTAGATCAAGCTGAAGTACTCGGTCCTTCAGTCGAGTATATTTGTATGAACAACGGATCAGGTTCCAATAGACAACTTCTGCGCCGTAATAAAACCGTCTCCTTCGTATGGCTCATAGCTCTGCTCTTGGTAGCGGGATTACGTTCATGATAGCGAATGCAGTGACCAATGCTGGAAGAACTCTAGCATTCAATCTCTCCACGTCACGAGGGACGTGCTCCAAAAGACAAATAGCACCCAACGCTGGGTCTGATGCTAGCACGGTGATGTTCACGTTAGGGGGAATGTTCTTGAACAACCCACTGAAAGACCGTGGCCTGTTTTGCTATTCACAACACAACGCAAAACTTGTCGGTAAAGCTTCTCATTTTGACATCTGAAATATTACCTTAACGGCCTCCTCGACAACGGTGCGATCGCACATGGAGGCTCCCAGCGCTGCTAACACGCAGCCACGGCGTGACCAAACAAGATTTTCAGCCATGTACTTCTCGGCGGGTCTGATATTCGCAACCCTCTTCAGAAATATATTTTTACTCCGTTGGACTTTCCCCTCTGCAACTTCGAGGATGGGATCGAGGAGTATGATGGTGGTTTCTTTCGCTTGGAGCAAGAATGGCAGGAGCGGCAAGGTCACTGGGCCGACCTATAATCACGTCGTAGGACGTGTACATATACGGTCAGATACTCTGCAAAGGCGGACGCACGATGGTCAGTGCCCCGTCTCCATGCATGCCCAAGGAGATTCGGCGCCAGGACAAAGAACCATGAATAGCGCGTTAAAACATCATCACTGTAGTATAAAAAAACCGACCTTCTGCTGCTAATAGCTGAGCGATACCCTCCCATGACATCGAGGACGCAGTCACACCATGAATGAGCAGAGCTCTCCTGGAAGCAGTGGGACGCTGAAATGGACGTGCACATAAATGGCTTGTATGCGGTCAGAATCTTGCGAGTGAAGCCCGTATGAACGAAGAGATTCAGCACTCAATCTTGACTTAAATGACCGAGGGAGGAGGTAGAACCGCGTACGGAACATCCTGGCTGGAATAGCCGTAATAAGACACTGAAGAATAGAATAGACTAGAATGGGTATGCTTATCCCTCTGCTGCGAATTACCACTCCTGCAGGGCTCGGGGACCTGACAGCAAAGGGATCATGACGCGTCTGCTTAAATGCGAAAACCACTGGGGCGCGGGCATATCGTCGTCAACTCCAATGGATGAGATTAAGCGAAGGGAGGTGGAATTTGCCGCTAGGATCACCCGCTGAGTGTGCGATGATAGCGAGCTTACCGTGACAAGGTAATAGTTGAGTTGACCATGTGGACTGGTACACGACCAGGTACTTGAAAACATGACCGACCGCGTCTAAGTGTTATAGACCACGTGACTATAGTAAGTAACGACTTTTGATTTTTCTTTAGTTTACTCGAAAGAGTCAAAGACACTATGAACGTTTTGCGACGTCCGTCGGGCTTGTCCAGTTTTCGATTTTACTCAACGCAGACTACAAGACCGTTCGTTCCTCCTGCGTCTCTCAACCATATTGACTTCCGCCAACGTCAACGTGAAAAACCGCGCCCGGCCAGCCCATCATTCTATACCGCCCGCCCCGAATTCTACGACCAGCTTTCTTCATTGGAAACTGCTCTCCGGCATGCTAAAAACGCGCTCACAACATGCCACCTCCTTCCGCTTCCCCAGTTCGCCCGGGAAGCACTCCCTCCGCGCATCAACGCTTGGGTCGACAAGCGTGACCTCGGCCTGAAGCTGAGAAGCAACCTCACTACGAGCCGCTACAGAAGAGTGGTGCTCGTGCTCAACGAACTCGAGACCTATAGGTCTATCGCGGAGAAAGCTGGAATCGTTGAGTTGCAGGAAGGTATCAGAGGCATTACCGAGCTGTTCGAGCGTGCAGACGCAGCGACAATGCTCGCACGGGGCAAAGCCAAACCCGTCAAGTTCGACGAGTACGGACGCAGCTACACGCTAGGAAAGCGGAAGACAAGTTCTGCACGCGTGTGGATCGTACCTGTGCAACAACCACCACCTGCGGACCAGTCCATCACCTCCCAGCCTACCCCAGCAGCAATGAACACCGAATCTGCGCTTGCAGCCATACTCAATCCAAATCTGTCGAGGAAGAACGGAGAGCCAGTCACTGTCTCGCAAATTCTCGTGAACAACACCCCCCTCTCGACTTATTTCCCTATTCCCGCTGATCGCACCCGCGTGATTCACCCACTCAAACTCGCAGGTTTATTGGGCGCATACAATGTCTTTGCGATAGTACGCGGTGGAGGTACCTCTGGACAGAGTGGTGCGGTTGCACACGGTATCGCTAAGGGTCTAGCGGCGCATGAACCAGGTGTAGCGACGATTTTGAGGAAGGGTAAGTGTTATATTTCCATTTCTAACATCTTCCTTGACAATGTCGACTAACATCTTTGCTCCCAGGCAAACTCTTACGTCGTGATCCTCGTATGGTCGAGCGAAAAAAGCCTGGTCTTGCGAAGGCACGCAAGCGGGTATGTGTATTTTTCCTTGTATTCTTTCTCTCAATTACTCACCGTGCCCACAGTATGCTTGGGTCAAGCGGTAGTCTTGTTCCGTTACTTATTTCGTGTCGTATCTCGCGACGTTTCCCCTCATATACATCATCTCCTGCAATACAGCACCCGACATTTGGCACATCTCTAAGTTTTACTAAATATCTAAGGTGGTGCAAGCGGATTTCGAATCCGCTTGTAATAACTGATTACTGCGCGTCTAAGTACTAAGGCCAGCTCAAAGCATGTCATAAATTCGAAAGCAATGGACATATGTACAGCACGAACAATTAAGGTATCACTCCAACTTAACAACAACAACCCAATCCTCCACCAAGCGCACCGCAGGATCTTTAACGACCAATACACCCGCCTCACCCTCCTCCCCATCTGATCCAACACCAGGGGTATACTCCCATTCAAGCTCCCTCCCGCCCTCCAAGACCACACTCGAAGGCTTCTTCCCAAGTCCCATCATAACTACCTTTTCAATCCTCACATCCCCAACGCTCCGCGCGAACTCGTTGCCGGGGGAGTAGGCAGCCACTTCCGATCCTTCACTCGCACCTGGGCCTGCTGCGAGATCCGAAGACGAAATGCGCACCGCCTTCCCACCCTTTTTCTTCCCCTTCTCTTTCACGCTCTCCGCAACGAACTGCCTCCAAACAACATCCCCACCCACGTACCCATACGTCTCACCATCATCAACATATACTTCCCCGCGCGCATTCCCGATATTATCAAGTGCCACGCGGAGAGTAAACGGATCGTTTTTCATTAGCGGGGAAGAACGGCGCGGGCGCTCGCGTGTGGAGATGATGGATCCGCCGCGGATAAGGAGTGGGATTTGGTGCAAGTTGGCGGGGAGGGTTATGTGTCGGCCTTTGGGGGAACCGTGGTGGGCGTTGTGGGTGAAATAGTCGTAGTATACCTATGTGAAAATATTAGTGAGAGTGTAGAAGGGAAGGGAAGGGAGGGGAAGAACGAACCTGGTCCTCAGCAATATACACAGAAACCTCCTTCACCCCTTTCTGCGTCACGGGTTTAACAAGCAACCCAGACGAACCGATATAATACTGATCATCGATCCCAAACCCAGCTTCGTCCCCGGGGAACACCATGTATTGCGGCCTACACAAAAACAAAACAAAACACATCCTGTCAGTACGAGCTCCAACCCCCAAAGCAAAAAGTAAAGAAACGCACCTGAGGATAGGTACCCCACTCTCACTCGTCTCCCTAAACGCAGTATACCACACAGGTAACATCGAGTATCTCAGACGCAAGATATCCCGCACGAGAGACTTGTAAGGCTCCTCGAGGAGATACGGTTCTCGGCGTTTGGTATCGATATGCGCATGCGCGCGGAAGAAGGGTGAGAATGCACCGACTACGTACCATCGTACGAGCATCTCGGGTTCGGGGTTTCCGAAGAATCCCCCAACGTCAGCTGTAAGCAAGCGGGTATTAGACATGAGCATTGAGTTCAAACGATCTTTGATGAGACGTGACTTACATCCGGCAAAAGGCATCCCCCCAACTCCGTTTGCAAGCACCATCTTGATACCAACTGCCATATGTTCCCATGTACCGAGGTTGTCGCCCGTCCACATTGCGCCAAAACGTTGAGAGCCGGCGTAGAAGGCACGAGTGAGGACGAAGGGGCGACGAAGGGGATCAGTACGGGCTTCTGCTGCTTGGAATGTGTGATTCGCCTGTTCGAGGATCAGCATCTAAAGACATACACCTGATAACCACGTACGAAAAGCATTCCATTGATATTATGAACGTCTCTATGCTCCCAACCGCCGTAGTGGACGTTATCTTTTGGCATCGTGATTTCTGGGCCGTTAAACACAGACGGCTTAGACAAACGCGATGAGGACCGATAGACTATTCTGCATATGAGAAAAACGTACCTCGTTCATATCGTTCCAAATACCTACGTTATCCGTACTTTCAGTCCAGCTCCACTGTCCATTGATACTCTTCGTCTTGAAAAGCGAAATCCAAAAGTCCCAGGAACCAGGGTGGAAAAAGTCGATCCAGGAGGACGAGCCAGGCCAACACCATCCTTCGTATTCGCCCTCGCCACTCTTGGGTTTCACGAGAACGCCAAGTTCTGATGCGCGTTTGTACACGGGGTAGTCGTTTGCGCGTTTTAAATGGGGGTCGATGATCACTACCATCTGTGATCGTGCGCATGAGTATCGACCTCCTGGCTAACAACAAGAAAAAAAAATGAAACAAAAGAAGAAACGAACCTTGCGCTCGACAGCCTCAACATCCCGCGTCATCTCCACAGGATCAGGGAAGGTCTTCTTATTCCACATAAAATACCTATGATCTTCCGCATACTCAATGTCAAGCCAGAACACATCCACGGGGAAGTTTTCCTCGTCAAACCTCGTCTGCACGCCGCGCACGTCATCAGAGCTTACATAGTTCCACCTGCATTGGTGATAGCCAAGCGCCCAATGCGCAGGAAGAGGTGCAGTGCCTGTAAGGCGTGCGTATTGCTTGAATACGTCTTCGGGAGTGGGTCCTGGGATTAAGAATACGTCGAGGATGCCGGACTCGGATATCCAGTGCGTTTCGACGCCTTTCTTGGGTGTATGTGCGATATCGATCCAAGTTTCCGAAGCGAGGGCATTGAAGATGGCGACTGTTGATTGAGCAGAGTGTGCATGCATGAGCGGGATGGAGCCGTAGAGGGATACGGGTGAGTCTGAGAGGTATTCAAAGACGTCTGCGTTGTAGAGACGGAAGGGATCTGTGTATTGGGCGTTAGGGCCCGTTGTGCTTGGGAGGGAGAGGTTTGTGGCGTGTTGGGGGATGCCGTAGACGTGGGCGTGATTGGGGAAGGTGATGTCGAGGGAGAGGGATTCGGGGCCTGAGAGTGTGTGTTGGGAGTACTGTTTAATATGTTTGGAATATATGGGACGTACCTTTGGGTTTAGTGTCGGTCCATGAAGAGAAAGTTTCATCCCACCAGGCGTCTTGAGTGTCGCCCTCGAACCATACCGCGGGGTTGACTTGCAGGACGGTTTGACCCTCGCCCTCTTCCAGTGTAGAATCCTCCTTTGATCTGAAATGCTCCATATGCAGCAAACCACGCCCGTTCAACACGACCTGTTCCTTTCCGCCCCGAAAGAGCGTTATCTTGAGAGGGTTGAAATCAACGACGAGTTCCATATCCTTCTTCGGTCCGTAAACAGCTTTAACGTTCTTCTTGCCCACAGTCCATAGTACATCTTCACTGAGCAAAGGCTCTTGAACAAGCGCCCATTGTGCAGCTTCGTCGTAACGTTTACGGAGTCCATCGACTTCGTTCATACGTGTACGAACGACACCATCCTCGTGGATAATAACATCGAGGGTGAATTTAACGGAGGGATATATGGATGACTTGACGTCTGTAGTAAACCCTGGTTGGCGTGGATTCAGTAAAAGGGACGAGGGGGGTTCTATGGAGTAGGGAGAATGCCATGAAGATGGTGATTCTTGTGCGCGTGCAGCGAGGGCGCGCCCTCTACGGCAAAAACCTGATTGGGAGCAAGTTTTAAAATCGGACGCTTTGAATGCGAGGGCTGTTGGTAGGAGTAGCAGGAGAACAAAGGTCCCGGAGAAACCTAGGGACCGCATTTCTTAGCCCAAGATGAAAGTCACTGGCAGTTGGAAACTCAGGTACGGGTACAGTCGATTATGTAACCCACGCGCTAATACCTAGTAAGCTGTTGATACTGTGCAAGTCCATATAGATGAAGATACCCATCGAGCTCGGGTTAAAGCTGTATTAAACACCTCGAGCCCGGTGACGGAATATAGAATCAGCCCACTTCGTCTTCTAAGTGCTTTGATACAACATTGGCCACAAAATTCGGATCTCGAGTCCGTCGATAGGAAGGAAGCACTTGACTTGTGCATGAGCCACGAGTCGGGCCCTGCCCTGGACAGGGAATTCACAGAGGCTTGGAACACCAAATCTTTTCACAGAATTCCGTCATCCCAGGTGTTTACATGCTTTCAGAGATACTTCATAAAAGAGTCTGCAGCCGCCTCCTTGATCACTGTAACTACAAATAACTATCTGAAGTTCATTTACTGACGCAATCTCATGGGATAAGATGGACTGTATGATGTACTTTCAGTTTGGTGTATCATGGTGAAAGAGTCTGGCAGTCAATGACATCACAATAGGTGCGATCCCATCACGACTGGCAGTACTCGTATACATACGAGCACTTTCCCTCGATCAGCTCTAGCATTTCCTCTCGTCTAGCACTACCTTTACTTTCATCCTCGATACACCACTTTCTTCGCCAACTATGCCCACAATTGACAGATGTTCTATAGAACAGAGGGTCAACCACCCGTACACTGCGACCATTCTTGAGCCAGACGTTTCCAGGCAGACGTGAAAAACCGGCAAGGTTGATACGAGGGGGAAATTTTGAGACTCGCCAGGGGATTCTAGTATGTCCTTTCCTCTTGTCGTGATCGACTTCGTCTGGGAGCACATCCACCACTAGAAGCGCTCCTCACCAGAGCGTGAACAATCTTGCTCCAGGTACTCCCTACACGCCTAGAGGGTGTCTTTACAGGACCCCTGAGGATGCCATGGAACCCAAGCTGGCATTTCACCCACGTACACGCCATGTATGGTCACTATTCATGTCTCCCGTTCCCATGCAAACTGTCAGATCATCTGATATTCCTCCAGGAATGTTCGCGCACACAAACCAATAATACCTGATGTTATGGGCAGCCCGCAATCCTGAGACTCTTGCGGCATTCTAACAAGTATAAGAGCCAGATAAATCAGAACCAATGGCCCCTAACCTCTCCCCCTCTGCACATCCACGAAGATCAACCTCAACCTACCCAGTGCACATGGCAGTATGTGTCACCTATTGTACGACAATCATTAAATCATCGTTGACGCTACTGACATGGACAGCAACAGAGTCTACCTCTAAGGTGCGAGCCTCTCAGCAGTTATGAATCATGAGCCGACAATCGTCTGACGTGCTGAAGCGTAGACGACCCTGAGCCCCCAAAAGGCTGGAACTGACAAAATTGTTCCTGAAGACGGAGTCAAAGACATGCTCGCGGAGTCCATTGGCCAGCCAGTTGACAGTATCGGGGACATTCTCTAAGAAGTGCGCGGCGCTCATGTGTTTTCCTCTGAGAAACCCTTTTACTCGTGGGATTATGAGGATAATGAGGGAGCTATAATCATTAAGCCGGCGGCTAAGGAGGAACTTTGGAGGCAGATCGACGAGGATATCACGAAGGTGAAAGCGAAGGTGCTTAAGCTACTGTAGTAGTCTGATTTTCAGGGAGACCACGAACATGGATATCGGTGTTCAAGTCATGACACCTGAATGTGTATTGGTTCGTGTACTGCTACTCGTCGGGCATCATGAAGAACAGGCATAAATTGGTAGTATCGAGCGAATGCAGTGTGGGAGAAGATGACAGGGTATGAAGTGCTAGTGCGTGACGAAATGAATATTTAGTCTCCAGTGTACGTCCGCTTTGAAGGAATTAGAGAGAGATATCCGCCGCACATGCATATATGCTACAAACGAATAAATGATCAGAGGCCCTACATCATTGCATCTGGGAATTTGAGATGGGGTCGGGACACGGGGGTCCCGAGACTAGTTAGTAATGTCCTACATAGAGTCTCACTCTCAATGGACAAAAATTGGATACAAAAAAAAAAAAAAAAAATCAGAGATCCTGGTCTTCGAAGGAAATACATACAACTACAATATTTCTACGGTCCTGACTCCATCCATCATGTAGTGAACAGAAGCCACGTCTTCGACTCGTGCAATGATATTATGATCCGAGGCGATCCTCTTGTATTCTCCGCTGTGCTAGCAAAAATGCACCGAACGATTGTCCAAGACGAATGATCAATCGCAATGCTCGTGAGTGAGAATCTGAATCAACTAGCTCCTGTTCTACAGGAGAACCGCCAGGGAACTCGTCTAACGGAGACCCAGGCGCGGACAATAGTTAGAATCTTCACTCTACGTATCGTCTCCAGAGTCGAGCAGTTCCGCAAAGTCAGGTAGCTCGAGGGCGAGACGATCCCATGGACGGACAAGTAAGAATGTCTGCAGAGGGGGCCTTTCCGGCTTGAACTGAATGAGCGTCTCTTTTGTGGTGATCACCACGTCGAGAAGCCCGTCTGCCTTGACCCCATAGGAACGAGTCTCTTGGACTGGGCTACTATCCGTCGGACTTCCGTGACACGGAATGCAATGCAAGGGAGATGCAACCTGCAGTTTGCGAAATGAGGAGCGCTCATGTTGTCAAGTCGGTCCTAAAGTTTCCAAGTCAACTCCACAGCCACTGTATGTCGCAGTGAAGAGACCGCTGTCTGTATCTCGTCTTTAGACACAGATGGGAGGGTGCATGGTGGAGCTGCATATGAAGTAATGCCGGCTGGAAGACAACTACTGAACTCGGAGGATCTCCGACCCAGTCCAGAGCATTGATTCCGAATTGATTGAATGCATGATACTTACTTGCTTCCAAGGCACGACACGACATGCAAGAGCATCTGCATTTGGGTAAACGATAGCTAGATGTTGAACAAGCTGTGTTGCCTCCTAGTGTTGATCTAGCATCGAACAGTGCGATGACCTGAGATCCTTGATGAAATAGAGACTATGCGAGAAAAATAAAACGTACCTTAACTAAGAGAAGCGAATGAATGTTTCGTTCGCAAATATGAACACAAGGTCAAATTCTGTTCTCGGGTCCCGGACCTGCTTCTGTCCACAGAGGGCCTTGTTAAGGAGAGCTGACCATTGACGGACTAGTCACGATGGCAGTTGGCGTTATCATAAGGAGGGCATGGGGAGTCTATCTCACCCTGGTTGCATCATCAAGCGCGTGATACCAGTCGGGTTTTCATGCCACAGCAAACGAGTGATTGGCCTAAGCGCCGTAGTAGCTGTCATCCGCGTCGATCTCTTGTGTGAGCATCTCGTCAGTGGTCAGTAAATTCCATGCACAGCAATCGTTTTCAACAAGGCTCCGATTCGAAGGAGGATCAACATATTTACGAGCTGGATAGAGGAACAACCTCACAAACTATGAATGAATTAGTAGTTTTTTTTCGGTCAGTAAGACCCAAACACGAACGTGTCGCATCCTGACAATGGATCCGCGGTCTCCAATCAGCAGGGCTCCATTGAGGGAGGGTCAAAACACTCACAAGCTGCCAACGGATCGGCAATGTCTTCGGTCAGCGAGAGTCGTGCTCGAACCAAGACATGTGCGCATGCGGCGAGGGGAACGTAGAGGGGCAGGAGAAGGACTTTCTGTCATCTGGAACCGGGTATGTATTGATATCGTACAGTAATACAACATGTATTAATAATAAAACTACATGGATGGACATGTACTCGGCGGCAGCGTGACTCAATCATCGATATCCCACTTGGGAATTGGTAACCTGGGAGGCAGTTTCCTCCATCCCCTGACTGGTTCAGAAACCTCGGCAACGAAAGGGATATCCTTTATAATCACTGACTGCCCCGGTTCGCAGTCATATACAGCATTCAAGCTGCTGGGGGTGCGCTCTCGTGGCTCTGGGGAGGCAGCCGCTCGAAGTCGGGTATCTGGCTCGACACCGTCTAATTGGGAGCGCTGAGTAGCACGTCGCTTGCCCAATCGCAGGGAATTCTTCAATGCATCAATTGAAAAGAAATGGGATAGAGTTGATGAAGCTGATGAAGACCCCGATGCGTCAAAAGATTTGCCAGCAGGACTCTGGCATATAATAAATACGAGTACAAGCATGCATGTAAAAACGATACGCACCTTTGGACTGGACTGCCCTTCTTGAACTCTCATACGCTTCGTAGGGAACAGCGGGCATTTCACATTCAAGCGCAATCGATTGAGTGGGCGAGGAGCTGAACAAAGAATTTGTTCTTCGGTGAGGAAGACGTCACCAAAGGCAGTGTACTCGCCTTCCGAGTCTGTGATGACATCGGACTCCACGCAAACGTCTGAAAAGGACGAGAGGCCAGGCGGGAGGTGGAGGCTCACGTGCGGTGCGGTAGATTTCGGCTAGATGAGCCGTCAGCGCAGAAAAGAGAGAGAGAGAGAGAGAGAAGAGGAATATGCTCACCATTGTTTTACAGACAGATTAATTAGCAGTACTTAGGGATGCTCATCTGGAAGTTCTGCGCCTTTATATTGCATGCCAAGCATCCACAGGTGAATTATACGCGTACCTGACTGGCCACGGAAACCACTGAACACAATAGTCGTACCCTCTGTAAATCCAGCAACATCGCTCGGAATTGTCAATGGCTTTGTTCAAGCTGTGTTCAGAGCTAGTCCAAGCGAAGCAACACAAAAACGGATTGAAACGCATAAATAAGCATCAACAACACGGCCAAGCCTGCCTTTGAACTAGTGTTGCCACGAAGCGAACTGAACCAAATCGAAGTAGAAATTAGATACACTTCGGTACACTTCGATGTGGAGTTGAAGTAAGTCGAAGTGCGCTTCGTTCCACTTCGCGAAGTCGGCAATAGGCGGGACAGTTGACAGAAATAATAGGTTGACCAAAATATTATCCACCTCTTCAGCAATAAAATCTGACGTGGAATTCAGCCGGTCTTGCTTGTAAGAGAATGCAGTGCCTCGAGCACCAATGATGATGGACTGGCACGCCAAAGTGTGTGCGTCTCTTTGCTGGAAGAGAACTTGGAAGATACGTTCAAAACGGACAGATGAAGCTTGCGCGGGAAGGACATCCATTGCGACACGGAAAAGCAGCGGGAATGCTCTCTTTTTGTAAACAGATATGCCATTTGCAATTTTGCATCCGGAACATTAAAAGATCGATTGATCCGTGCATGGTTGCGACGGAGCAGAAATTGTGCATCATCCTCGCGGGAGGTGAAGTAGTGTGTCCAAGGAAGAGGCTACTGCGACCTGGGGCCTGGTCTTTGCCAATGGCATGATTCATACACAGCCAGAAGTGTAAAGCCTATGAGGTCCTGCATATCATAGAGCGTGGATGTCACTCGATAGCGTGAAGTTGAACAAGACGGGCATTCAGGATCCTAGTGTGTAATGGTTCATCTGTTACTACCTTCTCAAATACTAGGAGGGCAGCTCAGGGTGCGCGGATGTCGCCCGAAACTGGATGGCCCTGGAGTGCGTTCAAACCTCGATATCCGGTTGGTCGAACTCCGGCATAAGGCTGGCAGCCTCGTGTCTTCCTTCAACCACTGGTAGGGTACCGCACGGGTAACACCGAGGGTCGGAAAGTTGACACCGTACCCTCCACGGGTACGGGTACACACTGACCCGTCAATGTCACGGTTTATGGAAAACACTGCGGTGTCTCTGAACACTGCGGGTACATTACCAAGAAGAGTGTATTAACAATAATCAAATAAATAGTATTACTTTTCTTTGTCGTCCTCCTCGGCTTCGACTTCGTTTCGCTTCCGTTTTTGAGTCCTTACAGAGGCTAGAAGGTCCTCCATCGCCAGAAGATCACTTCTGCCCCAGGCTCCAAGGCAGAGAAAGGTATCAATTGTTGATGGTGCGAGTCAGTTGCGAGTAAAGTGAAGGAGCTGCCGGCCCTGCGAGAAGACACGTTCAACCGCAGTTGATGTTGCTGAGCAAGATAATAAGTACTGATTGATTGAAAGAGGATTCGAGGGTGACATACCTGGGACAGAGAGATAGTCTAGTGCCATCCGATGCAATATTGGATAAGTACGGCAGTTTTTTTGCCACCATGCAAGTGGGTCCTTTGTCTTCACAGTTGGTAATCGAAGGAACTCGTCCAGCTCGCTACTAGTAGTACGAGACATGGAACCAAGTGAGTAGTCGCCGAAGTCATCCTCGTTCGACTCAATGGACTTACTGGTCTCGAGTTTTTGCCTTGGCTTTATGGTAGTGACTCGAGCTTCTCCGCAGCGAAGTGTCAGCTCGATAACTTAATTGCTAGAATGATTCACAGGGGCACGAAAGACATGACAGAGATCAGTATAGCATTTGGCAGTTGGGTTTTCAACGTTCAGTGGCCGTCAGCCTCTCACTGCTCAGGTTCTCGATTCGGTAAGTCATACCCGCCCAAACACCGTCAACCCGCGGTGAATGGCCACGGTATGCTCAAGGGTACGACTATCCTACAGTACTGTACCCGTACCCTCCAAACCCGTCAGCATAGAACTGCGGTGTTACCCGTACCCGTGCGTTTCCCTATCAACCAGGCAAGCGCCCACTTGTCTTTCAGCTGCATTCCACTACCATTCAACGAGCTGATCATAGTCCTACAACCGATTCGAACATCCATCCATTCAATCCAAGCGGCCTTGAAACATTGCTATCACTCCACAGCTTGACCGTTTCCGAGCTGCCTAGCCTAATACCGTTGAACACACTGACTGGACAGCCTGACGCCCAAACATAGCTTCATTGAAACAATTCAAATTACAGCTTAGACTTTGATTCTTCAATCAAGCGTACGTCCCTCGCGATAGCCGTCACCTGTAAGATGTCCAACTGACACACTGTCGAACAGAACTAGTATTTTCTCGACGATTGCGTCACGTTTTATCATCAATCTCTGTCGATGAGTGACCAGGATCAGTGTCAGTATCTCCTTCTCTTATCTCCTCTCGCGGTCTGACCTCACTATTAACAGTTCCTCGATCGTCTGAAGGGCCTTGGGAGAAGCTGTCTCGGGTCGCTGTCCCGGGTGCTGAATTTGACTCCCCTGAACGCCAGTCACATCCAAAATGTTTGAAAGGGACCCGGGTGGACCTTCTCGACTACATCTACGGATTGTTAGACAACCGAGAAAAGAGTCAAATCATTTGGCTGCATGGCACAGCAGGCGTCGGAAAGTCTGCTGTTGCGTTCACTGTAGCTGAAAGGATGAGATCTCTGAAAGTGACGGAGGAGACGAAGATCGAAACACGGCTCGCGGGGACATTCTTTTTCTCTCGCAATCACACACAACGCAGCACGACTGGACATTTCTTTGCGACGCTTGCCTACCAGCTTGCGAGCAATTTTCCCAGCGTAAAGACACACGTGAGGGGAGCTATCCTGGAGAATCCTGCGGTTCTATACCCCAGCAAATCTCTTCTCGGTCAGATGAAGGCGTTATTTCGCCGGCCTCTCTCGAACCTTCAATGGAGACTGCGCGAGTGTATGCCTCCGATGTTTGTTATCGATGCCCTTGATGAATGTAAATCCGAAACCGTCGCTGAGCTGATCTCCCTGCTTGGCCAAGCTCTTCGCGATCCTGATCTTCCCGTGATCCACATTCTGCTCACGAGTCGCTTGGAAGAGCGTATCCGTAAAGCCATTCAAAACGACGAGATGCGCTCGCTGGTGTGCGAGATACCGGTGAACACTTCTGGGGAGGGCGTTTTTGGGACCATCTCATTAGACGGCGCAGATGTTGACAACGACATTTGTATTTTCTTGCAGCATTCCTTCACGGAGCTGCAAAGTCGCCATTCTGATTTCCCGCAGCCCACCGCGGATAAGCTTGCACGCCTGGCAAGCCGAGCAGGCAGACGTTTCATCGTGGCGACTACGATGATGATGTTTATTGATGATGGAGATAATGATCCCAGTGACCAACTCGAGCTCATGCTCGAGCTAACGAGCAAACTGCTGCCAGGGACGGAGGTGTACAAGTTATACGATGCTATCCTTTCCACATGTGCTAACCCCAAGCAAGCATATCTGCACTTATCTGTTGTTGCTGCCCTGGTTGACCCTATGCCGATCTCACAAATTTCTAAACTCCTTGGGCCTCGTCAGGGCAGTGATGTCGAGACAACACTAATGCAGCTACGTTCTGTCATGGACATTCCTACCAACGGTGATCTCCCCGTGAATATCTATCACTCGTCCATTCGTGACTATGTTTCCGACCCCTCTAACTGCAGCCTCCCTCGAGTACGCGATATTCCATCTCCCCATTCCCTACTCGTCCATTCCTCTCTCCATTTGATGGTGAAGGAGATTCCAGAAAGTACGGCCCTCCTGGATGCGCTCTTAGAATTGAAGGAGCACAGCCAAATTATGCAAACCCACGACACCCAGAGCTTACAACAATCATTAGTCTTCATCGTCGAGCCACCAGAACCACTGCACGTTCTTACGGGTCTGCTATGGCTTCGGGGAGTTCGCGGTCCGGGTTCGCGGTCCTGGCTAGAAACCCCAGATGGACGTGCATGGCTGCAGACCCAAGGAGGGGATGACTGGTTGCAGACCGAGGAGGGGAGGAACTGGCTGCCCACTCGCAAGGGGGGGAACTGGCTGCAAACGCACGCGGGGAACACATGGCTGCAGACCAAGAGCGGGGGAGAGTGGCTGCAGAGTGGGAGAGGGTGGCTATGGGCTCAGAAATGGCGACAAGTCGCTGGACACTCTGGCGAGCCAAAATGGCTAGACACCCAGAGCGAGCGAGAGTTACTGGAAACGAACGGAAGGCAAAATGGGCTGGAGACGGAGAGAGAGTTGCTGGAGACCAATGGAGGGCAAGAGTTGCTGGAGACCGAGAGAGAGTTGCTGGAGACCAACGGAAGGCAAGAGTCACTGGAGACCCAGAGAGAGTCGATGGTGACCAACAGAGGGCAAAAGGGGCTGGAGACCAAGGGAGGGCAACAGTGGTTACAGACCTTGAATGGGAGGGTGTGGCTGCAGACCCGGAGTGGGGGAGAGTGGCTGCAGATTGGGAGTGGGGGAGAGTGGCTGCAGATTGGGAGTGGGGGAGAGTGGCTGCAGACTGAGATAGGGCAACAGTGGCTGCAGGCTGAGAGAGGGCAACAGTGGCTGCAGACCGAGGGAGGGCAACAGTGGCTGCAGGCTGAGGGAGGGCAACAGTGGTTACAGACCCGGAGTGGGGGAGAGTGGCTGCAGATTGGGAGTGGGGGAGAGTGGCTGCAGACTGAGATAGGGCAACAGTGGCTGCAGGCTGAGAGAGGGCAACAGTGGCTGCAGACCCGGGGTGGGGGAAAGTGGCTGCAGATTGGGAGAGGGCAACAGTGGCTGCAGACCGAGATAGGGCAACAGTGGCTGCAGGCTGAGGGAGGGCGACAGTGGTTACAGACCTGGAGTGGGGGAGAGTGGCTGCAGAACGAGATAGGGCAACAGTGGCTGCAGACCGAGGGAGGGCAACAGTGGCTGCAGACCCAGAGTGGGAGGGAGTGGCTGCAGACCCAGAGTGGGGGAGAGTGGCTGCAGACCCACCACGGGCAAGAGTGGCTGCATAGTACTCCAGGAGGGCAAGAGTGGCTGCGGACCCCGAGAGCCGGCCTGCCAAGCACGAGCGTGCGAGAGTGGCTGAAAAAAAGCAGCGCACAAGAGTGGCTGCAGACCTGGCAAGGGCGAAAGTGGCTGCAGACACAGAGCGCGCGAGAGTGGCTACAGACGCCCCATGGTCAAACATGGCAGATGACTCCAGCAGCATCTGTCTGGGTCACAATGGCAGAATTCTCGGGCACATTGGAAGCCATCAGCAAGTACACAATCGTCCCAGAGATGCCTTTACGGCCAGCTTTTCAAGTCATCGAACAGTTCAAGAACTTGCCAAATTTCTTGGGCTTTCCGGCATTCCTGACATTTCAACCCCAGGATCACTCCACACATGCGTTCCAAGAAGATCGTCGTTTACCAGACATAGAGGTCATCTATGCTATGACGGCGTTTGCAATTTTTGCAAAAGAAGCACGGGAACAAAGCCGATCAGCCTCTGACGCTCTGAAGTACGCATGTCAAAATTGGTCCTTCCATCTCTCGCGAGCTCCTAGTCCATGGGATGATAGGCTCAATACTTTATTCAAGCTCTTCTGGGACCACCACTTACTCGCCTGGCTCGAAAGGCAGTGGTGCTTGAAAGGCTTGCGGTCTTGTCTCCTTGTTTTATCTGAAGGACAGAAACTTGCAAGGGTGTGTGTTCTCGATATTTTTCGTGATTCAGCACCTGACCTGCGCATATAGGAACGCCTCCAAGCTCTGCCGGGGCCATCTCAGTCATGAGTTTGAAGCTGTCGATTTTGTACATCCCGTCACGCTGTCTTGTTATTGCGCATTGATTATTTTCATATCATTCTTTTACGTTACTCCGGTGTCTTTAGCTTTCATTCGAAGTATTTCCAGCAGAACGTCCGTTTCCAAGTCATTGGGCGAGAGAAATAAAAGTGTTGCTTTTTGTCATCTCCTCCGGCTATAAATTGAACAGTATATCAGGACTACTTGTTGGCCAGTGTGGGTGTATACAGCACCTCACGATACACCATTCACACTGCCAGCGTACAACAGGTCAATACTAACGGCACCAATAGATCGTGTAGAGGCAAAATGTGCACTAAGGAGATTGTCACCGCCGTGAGGGCCGAGGCACGGGCACTCCTCGCGCGCTGGTTCTCAAACTGTTGTTTGATGCCCGCATAGCCTGCCCAGTCGACTCGATGTAGATAATACGAGCCACCTCCGCTACCCCATGAAACGCTGCCAGAGCGGTAGGATCGTTCAGAGACGTCAAAGATCGCGCTTATATCATCCACCTGCGAAATTCACATGAGATAAAATGTATGAAGAAGAATGCGGCATCACAGTCAAGTACTACGTAGGTAGGATGTGAGAAGCCGAAAGGCAGCGTGGAGCAGCGGGAAGGGTGAGAGAGGCGCTGCCCCACAAGGTATGCACGGCAGGAAGCAGCTGGCAAGGAGGGAAAACTGAGAAGCAGCGGAAAGAAGCGGGGGCGGGAGGAAGCTGTGAAAGCCAGCGTGAAGGGGATCGTGAACAGGGGTGAAGCATCAATGCAGAGGTGCGAAGCCTTGAAGCGTCAAGCTACACGCGTCAGAGAACTAGGCAGTTTTTGCATCAAGGTTTGTGTCTTATCACACACCTTTAAGCTTCAATATGACATTATCGCCTGACATACTACTTATTGAAGATTTGTATCAAGTTCGGCGTGTTCAAAATAAACAAACCCTATGTACGACATGAAAAACTACACACCAATATGAATGAAGACGATTCTCTGCTCAAGCGGCACCTTCTTTTTCACGGCGTCTTTAGCCGCATTGAGTGCCAAGGCGGCCTTCGTACAGTCCATGACACCATCCTCTAAATCCTCGAACATCTTCTCATAGAAAGCTTCAACGACGTGTTTTGCGACAGCGTCGTCGACCGCCCACAGAGTGCCAATAACGCTCTTGAATCCAGAAAACTGCAGACCAGCTGCGAGGTGGATCACTTCATCGGGAGTCTGCTCGTCCCCAACGGCGGTATGACACGCCGACAAGAACGCGAACTCAGCTTGCGGAGCATCGTTTTCCATGATATCAAGTAACGTGAGCGGTTTATCTCTCATCGCGAAACGCGAATAGTAAGGCTGGTCCCGGTCCTGCTTGCCATGACAAGCGAGGTGAACCCACGTGTTACATCGCAAAGCTTCGAGTGCACCCGCCTGTGTGGCTTCTTCTCCAGAAAGACGAGTGAATTTGATTTGTGCAGGAATGAGCTCACGGACGAGCTCGAGCTCGCTGTCTACAGCGTTGAGCGGCTTGCCTTGCTCTGCCCCCGGCTCTCCTTGTCCGATCGCCACGAAGGAAGGCGTTGCATGCACCTTCATCGTCTGTCGAGATCTGATCAAAGCCGAAAGCGTTGGGGTATAGGAGCAGACGTAGAGATCCTCTAGGCATGATTCTCGCCCAGAGCGGTCGGCCTTCGTTCGGAAGGGGTGAGCTGCATGAAGAGGAATGGAAGTGAAGGCTGCGGTCGGACATAACCAGATTCGAGAGCGGTGCTGTAATTTGAAGTCGCGCTGGAGTACGTTGACGATAGGTAGCATGATCCCGTCCCATACCCTCCGCAAGAGCACTCGCAACTCCGTCCTCCGCTCTGTTGGGCCCTTAAGAGCTGCCTGCCGTATCTCTCTGGCGAAGTCATCCTTGAGCTTCTCAATATCTGCGAGGGCGAAAAGGAAAGGGAACGTGGTAGGACTCCCCTGACGTCGGGACAATAATGGCGTTGCACGAATATTTACTCGCGATGAGGATGATGACTGGGCCATGGCATGCTGCCGCTTGCAAGTCTTCGTATGATGGTGGTAGCAGGAATCGCGAGAAACCGTCAAGATTTTGGATTTCAGCCAGTGTAGCTTCCCATTGCGTCGTAAGTATCCTATACTCTATCGCTACCCGATCAGCAACAGCCGGGTCTGTGCTGACCGTGGAACCCTGAGCATCAGACAGCCGCTTGCTGAGCTCCGAGAATTTCTGAGCTAGTGGTAGACTGGCGGACTCGAGGTCGTCCAGTGGAGTCCTAAGTCGAGAGGCCAGTGACCATTGTTGACCGCGACCCCGTTCCTCAAGTTCAACCGCTCGCTTCAGATCCTTACGACGGATGGCGCATGATGCGGCATTTACTGACAATTGTGCAGCACGAACAGCGGTTGCAGCATTGCGCCGCTCGATAATCGAGGATCGCGTCATAACATGTTTGTCGAAAAGATCCAAACACGTGTGGTATGCTTCGAGGGCAGATTCATGTTGGTGAACTTCTGCTTGGCGAGCCCACTCAATAGCCTCCCAGATGCGCTCTGGAAATCCTTGAGTAGATGCTGTGATGCTAGCCTGAAGTTCTCTACTGCGAGTGACAAATCAGCAGGCTCATGCTGCACGCAGTAACGAGCCATATAGGCCTCTCGTAGCTTGAAGTAGGAGTAGTGTCGGTCGGGGTGGAGTGGTGGCAAAGCCGCCAGCGACTCTTTGCAAAGATAGATAGCTTCCTCAACATCTTCATTCTCCCCGGCATACACTGAAACGAGAGCAGAGTGCAGAGCTCAAATTGTTCAGAAATCTATGATGCTCTGGGTCGCCAGGCTGCTTTGACCGAAGTGATGTGCGGTACAGAGAGATAGCCTCGTTAATATCTTCGCTGACGTGCACTTCATCATATCTCTTATGGAGTATGGTGGCAAGGTTGCTAAGCGTGGCGTCACGTTTCGGAAGCCCGGGCGGGCACAACGTCAGTGCCTCGCGAGCGAGACTGACAGCTGCGTTGATGTCATTAATGTCATCGCGTTGTACGAAACGGGTTTGAAGTGCGAACTCCCAAGTTAATCAATGGTATATAGCGAAATTCATGCCCAAGAGGGCGCAGCCGTAGCGCTTCTTCACATAAAGAGATGGCCTCGTCCAGGTCATGAGATTTGCGTTCGTGAGAAAAGCGGCATTGGAGTGAGGTGGCCAAGTCGTTCAAATAGGTATCACGGCCAGGATATCCCTCGGGGCACAGAGAAAGGACGTCACGACCAAGTCGTATGCTCTCGTCTATATCAACAATGCCACCATATTGCTCAAACCGTCTGGCGAGTGCCAATGAAAGCTTGTGGAGGGAACTGGGATGGCGTTGCTGGCCCAGAGGACAGAGCTCCAGCACGAGTCGTCGAAGGCGAATGCCTTCGTCAGATGGGTCTATTGGAAGATTGTTGCATGTGCCAATCACATAATTGATAGCACTGTCCTACACCATCGCTACGAAGGTGGGTGCCCTCTGGACAGAGAGACAGTAGCTTGCAGCACAGTTGCGCAGTTTCGTGGATATTGATAGTACCCTCCTTACTGTAGCACCAGGTCAATGCTGTAATAAGATGATACAGAGACAATGGATGGTCGGGGTGGCCCTGCGGACGCAATGCAAGGGCATCACGGAACTGAGGGATCATAGTGTCGATGTATTGAATATAATTGCAAATGTAACCTTGAAGGTGGGCGCAAGCGAGGTTGGTAATAGCGGCAGCGTGGTCAGGATGGCCGACCGGACACTGGGTCACGACCCACTTAAAATGATTCACAGCGTCATCCAAGTGAGAGACGCCACTCTCGCTCTTCATGAACGCGAAAAGTTGTGTATGTCCTGCATCTGTGCGCCGAGAAATCTTGCATTCAACGATTGGCTGTAGCTTGCGTCCTTTCAGATGAGCCAAAAGCACGGGTTTTGGCGTCACTCACGTCAAGCAACACGGTTCCACAAGCATACACGAGAGCAACTTTCAGTGTGAGAGAAGGGCAGATGTCATCAATGGGTGGGAAGGACAGGTCTACGAAAAGTTAGTGACGTATTAATACTAGCAAGCAGATCACTTACCAAAAGGTTCATCGCCATGATCGAGCAGCTCGTCCCATGATGGTTCAAATTTTCCAATGAGTTTCCCATGGCCTAACGTTCGACCGAGTTCAAAAGATGCCCTGATTTCTAGTGATAACTTAGGTGTCGCATCTGGTGATCTGCAAGTTAAACAGGTGATAAGTCCTGGGATCACATCCGCAAGTCTCCGTAGAAGTCTTTACATGTTCAGAGTATCGCCCCACGCTACAGTGCTGTCGGATGACAGGACTCGGAGGGCTGATTTCCAGCGTCTTCTGGAGTCGAGTTTGATGGATACGTAAATGCCTGCGGGTATGCGGAAGGAGGGGACTTGAATATTTTTTCCGCTGACCACTTAGTAGAGCGTGAGGATCACAAAACGAATACCAAGGTGATATGGAGTGGCCCACCTTCAAGTCTGATAAATTGGCATTCCAAGCTACCGGTCATGGTACAAGGATGGGCGTAGGGATATGGGGACTGTGAATGAAGTTCGGAGGGAGAGAATAAATGGGTTAGGATGCAACGCGACGCATGTTCTACACGTTGTCAATGGCTGATCGCCATGGTCCTGATTCCACTAGGAGCCAAACACGCCAATTATGTCCCGAAGCGGGCACGAACTAGTCGAGAACATCGATTATGTATTTGTGCCCTCAACACGATATTAACGCACCGGTAAGTACCTGCGACGACGTGCGTGTATCGTAGTCTCCCCTAGCCAGACCAATCCAAGGACTCCGAAGATAGGATGAATTTTCTTCGAGGAAATTTGCAAACCTGGCCTTGTTCAATGGGAATTGCCGCCTACATAATTCGAGTGCCGCGCTTGGGCCGCGTAGCATCAGTCTGCACACCACGAAGGTTCATCGATGTTCATCCATCATCGCTTTGCCTTCATGTGACATGTCCGAGTCCGCCTCGGACGACAACGAAAAATCCGAGCCAATAGCATCAATGTGTCCTCCGCTCACAGTTGGTTTCATCCGACGAAGACGAGAAGAAGAAAAAGTCAACTTAGCGCTTGTAATTTAAAGATCACGGGCCGGCTCCGTCTTTTGACCATGAGCCTGGACGTGTTATCGGGACATTCTCGAGCCGTCCCATCAAGGTGATTAGTAAGCTAGATAAGAAACGGAATGCAAAAAATCTTAAGGAGAGATTCGCAGTGGTCCATGATGACTTTCGACCGCCTTCCTGGCGGGGGCCCTCCTGTATGCATAAACCATGGCTCAACAATCTCTCTCTTCGTAATAAAACAGTGAAATAGGTGAGTCATCGTCTGCGATCTCAGACGATCTCAACGAAATACCTCTGCATTATTGGTTTAGGTTCCTCTTGCATGGGTTCTGACGGAGCGTCTCTGATGAGGACCGATACCCGTGCACGATACTGCACACCATCATTCATTATAGAAACTGCCAGTTGAGGTTAGTTCGTGTACTTACACGTCTGTTGTCTTGGCTGACGCTCTCATCTTAGATCCGTTTGTGATGTACCTCGTCGATGTCAACAAACCAACTGGCAGAATTCCCTTACCTCCTTCACAGCTTGACCATCCTTTATCTCCGCCAAATGATACTCCACGGTAGTTAGATACCAATCTACTACAACCAGGTGGTTCAAGAACAAGTTGAAACTGGTGGCTCGAGAACAGGTTGAGATGCACGCTCCTACCCAGCGTTCTTCTCGAGGTGGAGGCATTGTCCGACCGCAGATATGTATGTATGTATGATTGAAAACTTATGCAAAACAGTCTCACCAATTCCACACCACCATCCGCTCTTCTGTCCCAGTAGCGGTAGTGAGGAGTGGGTAAAGGCGTGGAGTTTTGAACTGGGCTATCGACTACATATTTCAGCTATTAATGCCATGTCGCCCCCCTCCCACCCTCGAACGGCTGCTGGGTAAGGGCGTGGTTACGACGCTGTCTGTGGCACAATTGACAATGTCAAATTAGAAGCTATCGTTTCGACGATTCCCATCAGCGACTTTGACAATCTCTGCGAGATTTGATCAGCAATTCGTGTGAGCTTTACTTCTCCTGCTCATAGTACATGCACTCGTGTCCAGCATATAAAAGAGGTGCGCTCAGACAACCATGACAAACGCTAAAATTCACTGACATAGAATCACGAAGATAAAAGATATCATTACATTACCTGGCACGAATGCTCCATAAAAAAAAGCATAAAAAATATGCTACAGTACATCGCTGCATGACTGAAGATTTGGTCCAAATATAAAAGCGTCAAGCGGCGAAGATTACCAGATGTCTATATTCGAGTAGGGATGAATGGAATGGGAGAGACAGTCATTGGAAGAGAACATTCACTACTTCACTCTGTGCAAAGCCTGAATTACAGTGTGGGCACCGTCGCTGACGAGTCGAGATCCTTGCCTCGACGCACTGTTTGCAGAACGCTGGAAAGGAGAGTATTAGATCGCTCGTGCGTAAGATTTCCATTAATGATACGTACTATGCGAGCACTTGGTGAGAGCGACTCCGCGCATATTTTCTTTACATGTCGAGCATTTAATGAGTCTCTGTTAGCTGTGTTAATAATCGTTTCCAAAAACCGAGGATACGGCATACCCAGACAGACGCCGCCTCTTCCATCAGTTCTGCTTCCTTTTCGCTGGCTGAAGTAGACTTGAGTTTCTTGGCCTCAGCACGAAGTTTATCAACATCGGCTTGCATACGAGCAAGTTCGTCGTCCCTTTTGAATAGAACACCCTTGAGATAGTGGATGTTGGCGTATTTGTCGTCAGCGAGTTTTCGAACCTAGGCAAAGAAGTTATGGATATGGACCGACATCGCGGATGTAAAATCGCACATTCTTCATCATCTCTTCGGCACTCTCGACCTGCTTCTTGTACATCAGGGCATCGGCGTCAAGAGCGTTGATTCTTATTTCTGCGTCATCTACCATTCGGTGCAGACGCTGGTTGACCGCTTCGAGATGACCCTGAGTCGAGACGGCGACGGTTAGAGACTTAGGAGAGGCAGAATGTAAAAAAAAAAAAAACGCACTACTTGTTGTTGCAGGTTTTTCTCGCTGTCAGCCAGCCGTTCAACAACCTTGGCTTGCTTCTCGAGGTTCCGAATAACATTCTTCCGCTCAACGTCAACGGACTCCCTGTCGCGCATTGCCGCAAAGTACTTATTATCCGCCTTGGCTTTCTGGAGACAACGCGTACACTTGACCCTGCCAGACAAATCAGCAAGGACGACGTACCTCGTGTGCGCTCTTGGCGACCTTTTCTTCCGCCGCGGCCAAGCCCATTATCTTGTTTTTTAACTGCCCATCCAAAGCCCCCCATGCTCCCGTAAGTGTTTCCACCTCTGCATAAATTGCGTCCTGCACCTGCTGATGTTCCTCTGCAAGAAGGCGCAATTTCTGGAGTTCATCTTCTTTCACTTGTAATTGCCTAGCGAGGTCTGAAGAAGAGGCATCTCCAAGGATGGATCGATACCGTGATAATTCTGCCGTAACCACTGCAAGTTCTTCTCTGGCAGATGCCTCCGAGGCGATATGACGTGAAATATCAGGTTGCTGTTCTTGTAGCGTGGACATCGATTGTTGGAGCGCGGTAAGTTTAGCCTCGGTTTCGCTGTGCAAAGTCAATGGTATACGTCTCTGCACATAGCATCAGAAGCTCACATCAGTTTCCTCTGAAGACCATCCACGTATTCAACATCATCCACTTTCCCCTCCCAAAAATGCTTCACGAGATCTGCATTGCCGGCATGCGCAGCTAATTTCGCCTTATGTCTCCTAACCTCCGACTCAAGTTGCGTTATCCTTTCCTATTCGCAATGTATTAACAACTTGATGTGAATCTGTGGATGACTGGCGCACCGCTCGTGATTCAGCGAGGGCCTTGAGTTCCCGTGATGACTGATATTTTATATTTTCACGACTTCTAAGTTCATTTAATTCGGCGTGCAGCAGCTCACGTTGGTCGCGGAGGCGAGTGAGATCTGCATCCCGCTTAGCAAGTAGCACTTTGAGTTCTTGATTCATTTGTTGCGCAGAAGCCTGGCGAAGCATGAAATGAACAAATAAGAGAGCAGATCTTGAGGAACGTACCCGAGTCTCCTCCTCAAATTGCATCCGGTTTGATTGCAGGTCTCGCACCATGGTGTCCAACCGTCCTATCCTGGCATCGTTCTCAGTAACCATCTTCTCCAGCTGTTCCCTACGCTCAGATAAAAGCTTATAATGCGCGGTTCCAGAGACCATCTCGACTGTTGGAGCGGCGCGCTATAAGGTTACACCATAAGCATTGTCTTGGGTAAGATAACGACTGTCAAACCTCGACCTCGAGCTTCGCTATGGTCTCAGCCTGGGCCCTAATTTCTACCTCCAGCTTGTTTGCCCGGTCAGAGGAAATTTTGAGGTCAAGTTGAAGAGCTTCGATATCTGATAGGGATGAATGATTCTGACCATTTACTGGGGGCGGCTAAGAAAATGTGAGCTGCATCCAACAATGAGAATACCGTGTTGCTGACTGGCGGAGTTGATGACCCATGATTTGGGGTGCTTCCTTCCGGTGGTGGTTGGTCTAGATTTGCGTCCTCCTTTGCCCCACCCTTTGTCTGCATGGCTGCAACGGTACCGCTTCGCATACGGTCTAACTTGATCTCTGCAGCAATGAGGTCGTCATGCAATTGCTCCTTCTCTGACTGGACATCATCGAGCCTCCGCTGCATAAGTGCTATTTCGGAGCGAAGAGCAACGCACTAGGTCGAGTCAATACTGTACGGTGCGGCAAGGAGAAATGCTGACCTCGGTCTGTGATGTCTGACAGCGCTGATATGCCTGGTCATTGAGGGTAGCGGGATTCAGCTTCATGAAACTTGTGATTAGTTTTTCGGTTGCAAGCATGTTCTTCTCTAGTGCAGTTTTGAGGCTCGAGTCAGTGGAAACGTGCTGTGACAAGTTGAAAATATCTGAAGTACACGATTAACGAGAGCCCAAGGTGTGGAGAGTGCTTGGCCTACCCTTTGTGTCGATTTCGACAGCTGGTAGCTCCTCCGGTGGCGTCAGGGTTTGAATGGTGTCTACTAACTATCCCACCGCAACGTTGATGCCCACTGCTGGGATAGCGTTAACATATAACTTACCTGCTTCCAGCATGCCGCAATTGCTACCAACCCAGCCTCGCATGAGCTTCTTCTCTGCTCCAGTTGAACTATGCGCGCCTGATTTCGCTCGTTCTCTCTGGAGTAGTGCTTCATGCGCCTAAAGATAGCCTCCTTTCGAAATAGCTAATAAAGAGTCAGGTTCCTGGACTGTGTACAACTACAAGAAATGCCAAAATCACCTCCAACTGGTGGTTGTCTGCAGGTTCTTCTGCGTCGTGATTAGTACTCAAGCCGTTGACCTCCGGGCTTCCACTCGCGCTCGTCAACACCCGCTTTTTAGCTTGTGCAACCTCTCCATCATCTGGCAAGGGCCTCTTCCTTGACTCTGACATGACGAAGGGAAAAAGAGGTTGTTGGTAGGACGCGACGAACGGAATAATAAACACTTTCAAATGGACCTTAGCAAAGGACAGGATCTGTGTTTGAAACTCCGACGGCTGTAGCGGGTTGTCGGGTTACTTATCGCCACCCGCTAATTATTTTTGCATGTCCTTCTGTCATGCAAACCTTTGTCCGGAGGTTACCCAGTTCATGGCAATGGTCCCTGTACAGTTCTAGACCATCTAGAGCTTCTCCCCAGTGCTTGCTCGTATCATGCTCCGGAAGACGGGCTGCTTCAGCAGCAGCCGCGCTCAAGGCTTCACCAGTGGAATATGAGCCGCCAACTTATCCCACATATCAGTTAACGGACAAGGACGTGCAAAGGCTCAATTTTCAAAGGAACATTGGTGTTTCCGCGCACATTGATTCCGGAAAGACGACTCTCACAGAACGTGTATTATTCTACACCGGTCGGATTCGGGAGATTCACGAGGTGAGTCTGGTCAATCCTTTTGATTTCCGAACATTTCGCGCGTAAAATTCAATCATATGAGACATGTCTGATTTTTTTCATTCTGCAAAGGTTCGAGGCCGGGATGCTGTTGGTGCCAAGATGGATAGCATGGAACTCGAACGCGAGAAGGGTATTACTATTCAAAGTGCCGCTACTTTTTGTGATTGGGAAGCAACTTCACCTGTGACAAACGAGAAACAAAAGTATGCCATTAATATTATCGATACCCCAGGTGAATTGGTTATTTGATTGTCTCCCTGCTGAAATTGACGCGTCTTTGCAGGTCACGTCGACTTCACCATAGAAGTCGAGCGCGCGCTCCGTGTCTTGGATGGTGCTATTCTAGTCCTCTGTGCTGTGTCTGGTGTACAGGTATGGAAAATATAATCAAGCCTGGTCGAGAGAGTTTATCATCTGCACAGAGTCAAACAACCACGGTCGATCGGCAAATGAGACGATATAATGTTCCTCGGATTTCATTCATCAACAAGATGGATAGGTAGGCAGTGAACGATTAAATTTAAGTTCAAACTTGACATTTTCCCGCAGGCCTGGCGCCAACCCTTGGCGAGTTATCAATCAGATCCGGTCAAAACTCAAGATATCAGCTGCAGCAGTTCAGGTGCCTATCGGTGCTGAAGACGAGCTGAAAGGTGTGGTTGACCTCGTACGATGGAAGGCTATTTACAACGAAGGAGAAAAGGGGTATGTTTTCAATAAAATGACTTCTCCAGCGACGTTGACCTTATGATACAGCATCAACGTCGTAGAGTCCGACGAGATTCCTGAATCCGTCCTCGAGCTTGCCAAGGCTAAGCGCACCGAACTACTCGAACAACTTGCTGAAGTGGATGACGAAATGGGTGAACTTCTGATCATGGACGAGACTCCCACAACTGCCCAGCTTGTCGCAGCCATTCGTCGCGCTACCGTCGGTCTCAAGTTCTCGCCAGTCTTCCTTGGCTCTGCTATCAAGAACACTGCTGTCCAGCCTATGCTTGATGGTGTATGCGCCTACCTAGCGAGCCCGGCTGAGGGAACCGTTACAGCACATGATACAACCCAACCTGTATCCTGCCCCACCTGTGCCGCTTGTTCCTGCCGCAGATGCACCTCTGGTCGGCTTGGCTTTCAAGCTTGAAGAGGGACGGTTCGGTCAACTGACGTACATGCGGGTTTACCAAGGCACCCTCAAGAAGAGCGGTATCATTTATAACGCTCGCACTGGTAAGAAGGTTAAGGTCCCTCGACTGGTTCGCATGCACAGTAACGAGATGGAGGTACGTGTCTTCACAGTTTACTCCCTTTTAGACCTCATGTCCTTGATAAACATAGGACATTGAGTCCATCGGTCCCGGTGAAATTTGTGCTATCTTCGGTGTTGAATGCTCCTCTGGCGACACCTTCACCGATGGCTCGACCAGCTTCTCCATGGTAAGCATGTTAAACTCCTTCTGGTGCTGGTCTCACCTATATTGTTCCTAAGACGTCGATGTTCGTTCCTGAACCTGTGATTTCCCTCGCAATCAAACCTGATGGCAAAGAGACTCCCAACTTTTCTCGTGCTCTGAACAGATTCCAGAAGGAAGATCCAACGTTCAGGGTTCACCTTGACGCGGAGAGCAAAGAGGTATGCTCGCGTGCAACAATCATCCCTCATTTATTCACTTTTCACTGCAGACAATCATTTCCGGCATGGGTGAACTTCACTTGGAGATCTATGTCGAACGCATGCGCCGTGAATACAACGTCGCTTGTACCACTGGTAAACCTCGTGTTGCCTTCCGCGAGACCATCACCCGGCGCGCGGAGTTCAGCTATACGCACAAGAAACAGACTGGTGGCGCAGGGCAATTCGCACGTGTCATCGGATACATCGAGCCTATGGAATTCAGCGAGGAACTTGGTCGTGATGTTGACTTTGTGAACGTTGTCATGGGAGGAAATGTGCCCACTAATTTTATTCCTGCCGTCGAAAAGGTACGTTGACGTGGTTACTGGAAGATTAACCGTGTCTTCATGTTATTGCCCAGGGCTTTTACGAGGCGCTTGAGAAGGGTTCACTGTCGGGTAACCCCATTACTGGCTGCTGCTTCGTGCTCAAGGATGGTGCCTTCCATGCTGTCGACTCCTCTGAACTTGCTTTCCGAAACGCTACGATTGGTGCATTCCGCGAAGCTTATAAAAACACAAAGCCGGTCATTCTTGAACCTATCATGACTGTCGAGGTTGTCGCCCCATCCGAATTCCAGAGTGCGTCGCGACCCCTTGGTTGTGTGGATGAACTCTAACCTTTTTGCTTTAGGTGCTGTCATCGGTGGACTGAATCAGCGACGAGGTACTATCATTGACAGTGAGGTCCGCGATGAAGAGTTCGTTTGCACTGCAGAAGTCGCTTTGAACGACATGTTTGGCTACTCGAGTCAGCTCCGTGGTGCGACGCAGGGCAAGGGCGAGTTTAGCATGGAGTACAAGGTATATTTGTGTCCGTCACTTGCTTGAAGTGTTTTGCCTGACATTATTCTTGTAGAACCATATGCCTGTGCTTCCCAACGTTCAGAAGGACCTGGAAGAGGCCTACCGCAAGACGTTGCCACAGTCGAAGAAGTAGAGTTATTACACTAATAGACATATCACTGACCTACATAGAGCTAGTACAAGCCTACATCGTGGCTTGTCGATGCCGAACAACAGCTAGAGCCCTAATAATACACATCACTCCAATCTGATATCATGCTCTTTCGATCATCTATTTGAAGCGCATTGCGTGCGTTCGAAGAGATATGTGACCTAGTCACGCGGGAGCGCCAACGTCATCACTTCGCTGGCTTCCAACTCCAAGATTTCGCAATCTGCCTTATCGCCGTTCCCAATCTGCGTCTCCACGCAAGTGAAGTCCATTGGCTTCAGAAAAGCTAGTGAGCGCGCGCATTCCGGAACAAAACAAACAGGCTTGTTACCTTGTACAAAACCGTCATCGGTTGATCTGAAGAAATGTTATAAACATGGAAAGGGAAATAATATCGGTGGGTCACTTACGCCAAATTGCGGTGTTGTACATGATTCCTTGTCCCGCACTCGCTAAGAATGCACGAAGAGTACTGAAGTCGGGTTTGTCGTCTGCTCCATTGTGGGCGACTACCACGAGGTATGCACTGCCTGGCTCCTTCAACGCCTCGTCACCCTGTATGCCTCCCCCGCCCATAGGAATGAAGGCCTGGTTTGTATACGGATGGCGCTCGACGACCTGGAGCTCCACAGTGCCGTTAATGACTTTTGTCGGACTGCAACGATAAACAGACAACCCAGTGCTCTCCCCCGAGCCAGCAGGATACGACGATTCTAACAGTGAAAGCTTATGGAATTTGCTTGCAGATCCCTGGTTCGCTGGCGTGATCTTAGTTCCTGGAGGAGCTGCGGCATGGTCGCCGTATGCCTGAATGACTTGTCCAAAGGGTGAGAAAGCTTCTGATGTAAGAGGGAGCACAGGTATGGTTTTGCCCGGTTTCTTTGCTGTAGGCGCCGACTCAAGTGGTGTAACAGCATCATTTTCTGCTGCGTCACTGAGTTTGACCCCAAGGTCTGCGGTAGTGGAACAAGGTCCCTTCGTGCCGTAGACTCGAACTCGCTTGATGCCACCATCGGGATATATGGTAAGCTTTACGTGTGTGTAGGAAATAGAAGCATCTGCTTCCAGTGCAAAGAAGTGCCTTCGATGCGGTCCGAGCTTGACCGGGGACAAAATCCGCGTCCAATCAGCAGCATCGCTATCTGGTACCTCGTCTTCGCTGTACAGAGCGTGGAGTTCGCATGTCTCTGGAAAGTTACCCTTGAAATGTGCCGTGTCGATTTCGACTGTTCCTAGATGACCTGGCGCGCCCCTAGATAGTCACCTATAAGCTCAATTCATGGGAGATGTTTCGGTGACTTACAATTTAATGATCACCCAGTCCTTGTGGCCTTTTTGCCGGCTCCGCTTAGTCTCCCAACCATCACCCATATCCTTACCTGCGCAGATATAGTATCGAAATCGACCTCCCGAGAAGCACGAGAAACCCACCTCGTCCTGGGAGAATCAGATTCGCGCCAACACCAAAATGCTGATCAGACATAAATGTCACGCGACCTCCAGCGAACACATGGGCGAGGTCGAATATTTCTTCAGGGCTTTCAGGTTGCACAGGTGCTACGTTTCCGTAGACTCGGAAACGCGCCTATGATTAAACACGTGAGTTTTACATTCAAGCAGTATGTGATTGGACACGATTCTTACGATACCACCGTCCGGATACATGTTTAATTTTACAAACTTCACTCGTTCAGTCTCTGGTATCTTGAAAAGATGCCGTTGAGACGGTCCGAGGGGGACACGAGGTAAGATTTCCGTCCACTGTAGCGTCTGATATCAATCTAGGAAAGCGGCTGCAAGATCCAGACACGAACCTTTGCATTGTCCACGTCATGTTCATCCGATGATGAGTCAATGATAGCATGTACGGACGCTTCAGGAGCTTCATTACCTACTCATGACTCATCGGTAACATTTATTGTGTAAAGATAAGACTGTTCCTAACCGTTGAAGTGGGTTGTGTCGATGTCGAACCCCACGATCGTGCCCACCGTACCGAGTTTAATGATACACCTGCACAGAGAATACTTATATCGAGGGACATTATGCAGACCATACCTCGTCAACATACCAGTCGTAGGAAGGGTTATGTCTCCGTGTCTCCCAGCCGTTGTACAGCGCGCCGTTAGGACCAAACTGCCCTTTAAGACTGGGAGCTGGCTATAGAGGGACTCAGAAAGCATTTTGCAAGGTCTGTTGTGGAATTTACCTCGACTTCTAGCAGGTGAAATGCCTCAGCAAAAAACTCGTCTGAGACCTTTACGACTTGTCCTCCCAGTGCGACACTGGAGAGCTCTGAACGGATTGCGTGAGAATGGAAGAAATAGCAAGCTCAATACACACCAATATTGAATTTGAATCTCTCTTGGAAAGCTTCGAGTGGGATATGGTCCATAGCTCTGCGTATAATGTGGTGGATGTAGGAAAGGGTTCCCTCCGGCTCCCCCCGCGGTAAACTACTATCTTATCTTGCTAGAAAATCCTCCCCGGATGTATTTGGCGACTCATGAGTCCAAAAATGTGACTGTGCGCAGAAGTTTTCGAACACTGTATGTGCTGTCTACGGCATCAGGCACAGCCCCAATGATCAAAAAATCTTGCTGCTTTCCATATGAGCTGTAAGAGGCAGCTAGTAGTGCCGCAGGCAGTCGTCCGTTCCAGATAGCAGAATTAATGTCCAGCTGGTACTAGCCCGTACGAATACTGGCAAGGGTAATCGAAGTACAGACCGGGATCCGAGGTAACCTAGTGGGGCTTAGGGGATGCGTTTACGTCGGGAGAACCGAAGAACCTGTTTAGAGAACCTGCGATATTGTTAGTAATTATAAGCAGTCGACAGATATGATATGCGGGGTGGGTCGGCGAGGGACTTCGAATTCTGCGATTCATGCAATGATTTCGTTCACTTGCAATATTTATGCATGTCAGGCCATCAGTGAACTGATGAGCCGCAGATAAAGTCTTATATGACGATGTATCGTCATATATAGAACTTCTTTCCTTTATATTGGAATATCAAGTCATGTAAAACGCCCTAATCGACGTAAAGCACCCTGGGTAGACTCACGAGTTCTCTGATGAGTCTGCGAGCTCGAAGTTCAGTAGTACTAGGTTTATGTAAATCTGGGCGTTTATGGGAAGTGTGCGGAAAATAGAACTTGATTGGCAAGTTTCAACGCGCTCGATCGAGACGAGCCTAGAACGCTTACGAGTCACGGTATGCATAGGTATTAAAATTTTGGTGTGATCCATCATGCGATCAGTAAGCACCAACACTGAATATATATATCAAGGTAAACACCCTTGGAAGCCAAGCAACCTGGAATCAGCCGCACCCGTGACGCACCCGATGCCTGACGCGGGAGCTTGTAAGAGTGCCCGTGCACCAGCTGGCCCTGTTCGAGAAGCACCTCGCAAGTGTCCCGCACGCAAAAAGACCTGAGGTGGGAGTATCAGAACTGGGGTGTGGGACGGTCTCCGCCATCTCTGGCAACAACACTTTCACATTACTCGGGAGATCACGCAGACCATCCTTCAGACGAAAATGCGCTGCCTGTTGGAGGCTTCGAAATACAGTGAAATTTGAAGTTGGCGGAGATCTGGTATGCCGCATGAGAGGTTCGCTTCTGGTTGATTAAAGGGTATATTGCTGTCAGCACAGTGGGGAGTTCTCACCATAGAATATAGACATACTGGGCGATCGCAAGCGACCATTATTCGTCACCAAACAAGTTATGTCGCCTTGACACGGCAGTGCAATTGTCCATCCCAGGGCTTCTCCTCACTTCGCACCGGGTGATAGGCGTGGTAGGGGTTTGCATTCGCCAAGTGTGGAAATATGCCAGGTGTGCACTGTATATTGATGCAATATGCAGAGGTCGGTCTTGTCAATGAAAAATATCATCCATCGTTCGTCGCTCAACGTGCACCCCGTCGTCGAGGAAATTTGTGTCTCGACCGTCGCGAATGAATTGGAGTAAGATTGTATTATCATGCAGTCTTGCGATGACAAGTGTGTCCGTCACTCCCGAACATGATGTGGATGTATGTATCCCCAGGCGCGTGCAAGAACGGCATGGTTGACATTGCAAGGGTGACTGTACACGAGATGGATCCAGGGGGTTCATAAACCAGCGTCACCTATATAGTCCACGAAGCTTTTCCCGTAAAAAAAGTCATGGTGATGCGCCCGAATAGCACTTGGTCATCTTGATGTTGAATGATTCCACAAAGTTAAGCGTTGCTAGCCAGGCGCGACGGGAGTCTGGTAAGCAACGGCTGCCCTTCCAGACTACTACATCAGAGTTGGCGCGGAGCGATGCAAGTTGGGCGCATGTAAACCAAACGAGACATGAGTGCGTCGTTACAGTGTAAACTGTGAAGCAGGACGAAAATGGCGGGTACAGGCACCTTGGCAGCTTCATCAATAAAACCTCGAGTCTCATTAAGAAGAATCTCACCGAGAACCTCTCACACGACATTTGCTAAATGTTGGTCAACAGCTTGTTGCCGAACTGGCTCTTTACTGATGCACCTATTTGCAATGTACCTCATTGAGCGGTCATGGTTGACATCGAATTTACAGGCAGTGATCGCAAAGATTTTGATGCATTGGACCTATGATGGCTACATCCGCTGGCTCAGGGGTATGTAACTTCGTTCACTCATTGGAATCATCAATGATGCGATTCCCGTCAGGTCTACGAACAGAATATCAGCAACGCCGTGATTTCTTCACCGATTGTCTCGCAGAGGAATTCCACTTGCAGGCGGTTCCTGCTATCGCAGGCGTCTGGCAGGGCTGCATCGTGTATCGGGCTTCGAAGAAGTATGGTGGATCTTTGGTGACGGTTCGATTTGCCGTCATGCTGCGTACCTTTTTCATAGTCCGCTGTATCATAATCAACGAAAGAGCCCGAAGCATGCAAGGCCTTGTGAAGCTTACATGAGCATGCGTGCTGTGATTTAGCTTTTACAGCTATTTCCATATCGATAGGCCAAAATCGATTTTACACGACTCACCGACTTTGTTTATCTTTGGAGTAATTAGTCAGAGATATCAACAAAGGCGCAGCACAGCTTCGGGATCGAAACGTCATATCCACCGTCATGGTAAGGAATCGTCGACACATACCAGAGTCGGTCAAACAACAATGGGTCACAATGTCTGCCCGCATGAAATCGAGGGATATTGCCCGTGTCACTCACTCCGGTCATTGTACCGTCAATCGTGCGCTTCGCCTCTCACAGCTCATGAGGTCTGTCACTCAAAAGCCCTTGCAAGCTGGTCGTCCTCGTCTGCTCACGTCTCCTGATGCTACAGTAAGTAGTATCATGTGGCGTGCAAAACTCGATTATTTCTTACACGATGGTCACCAGTACCTTGAAGCTTGTATCGAGCACCCCGGACATTTTTCCACATGAGCTACAGTCTGCACTACGGGATGCGAGGGGCATCAATGTTTCACTACAGACCATCGAGAAGACTTTGCGAAGGCGTGGTTTCACGCGTTAAGACCACCCCATGCTTTTGAAAGTCTCTAAAATTTTCTTTGGACTAAGTCGCAAGGCCAGCCGCCGAATGCAATGAGGAGATTCGAAGCCTTTATCAAATCGAAATCACAGAAAACTTTCGCCCTGATCAGCTCGTCGTACTATGTCATTGTTTGCCAGTGCCGGAGATGAACAAGAACTTCACCGGGGCTGACCCTTATAACATAGAGTAGCCTGATGACATCATGCTCGAATTAGATGTTGGATTCAGGAACGAATGAGCAAGAGATAGTGAAGTGAAACAGTACGAGCGCAACCCGAGAATGCGAAGTACGACGCATTGACGTCAGCCGAGAATACTAATGTTGAACTGTCTATTCCTAAGCTACGGTATATTTATTTATCGCTAAGCTACTTACTATAAACCTATGACTCTTTCGTTAGAACATCTCAGTCCTATACTTGAGACTGAGATGTGAGTACCTACTTTTCCCATCTACATAAAATGAGCTAACATACCCATAGATTATATTCTTATCAGCTCCTCCCATTCGCGTTTGCTCTAGTGCTGCTGTGGTCCGGTCCCGAACCACGGTTCGAACCTGACCGATGGTCCGGTTCGTCCATGGTTCGGTCCATGGTTCCAAGTTTTGGCCAGACCGAACCGCAATTCGCGGTCCGCTGTCTCCCGAACCGTTCCGAACCCCGAACCGAAGTGTCCTTGCAATATTGGCGAGGCACACACATGCTCACTTCGACTTCGGCTTTGACTTCTCCCCCCATGGTCACGTCGACTTCTGGGATCCTCAAGATTTGCATTGACGTTGAATTCTGTTCAGACGCTCGCATCCCGCACCCCCAACTGTCTGGAAAAGCTCAAGGTATGTCAACTGTCAAATCAAGCTGCAATAAACTCAATAGACTGATTGATGTATTACATTGATATATTTTTTAGGGTCCTCCGATGCATATGACTTTGGAGATTTACCGTTTGCATTTTTCGCACATAAAGGGAGCAAGCCCCACCAGGTGAGTGATATTTCCACTCAACATAATGTCTGAATCTGACGCTTGCACTCTCAATGCTGATGGCTCCCTTAAGGATGCCAAAGATATTGTCTTTTACCATGACCCTGAAGATACTGTCCCACTTTGCGCTCCATCCTCTGCCCAGCCAACATCATCTACCACTCCCACAGGCTCAGATGCCTTCTCTGTGTTACTGAAGGCTGGGTGCAAACCAGCACCACTTACTGCAGGCGCCTGCCGCTCCATTTGCACCTCTAAGCCTTCTGCTCACCTCTGTGATGCCGACAACACTTGTTCTCACCCAGTGTCCTCAACCAGCTCAACAGCCCGCAAACGTGCATTATCTAGTGCGACTGAGCAACTAGTTATGAAAAAGGTCGCATTGCAGCTCTCAGCTAGACTCGTAACCATTCTGCCTACGTGCGTTTTTGAGATGTGTGTGAATTTTGCCGTAGGCAGACTGGTCGATCTTGGAAAGATTTGGCAGGGGAAGCACGGAGTTCGAAAATTTGCAGTTGCCGATTGTGCCGCTTGATGTTATCGTCGTTATCATCCAGCGTCAACAACGCTGCATCATTTGTTTGCAGTATAATGATACCATTTCCTGTGCTTTTACCTCAGATGTTGCACCTATCATCAACCATCCGAACTTCTGGCATGGACAGTTGACCACCGTGGCCTCAGTGAAGACATCAAAGTTCTAGCTATCCTGGAAATACTTCGTGGCTTGCGGATGACTGTCGCAGTACATTCTGAAGGTGAATGGCTCCTTGCTCATCGGACTCCAGCACGTTAAGAAATCGTGCGAGTGCAGAGCTTTGGAAGAAGCCCTTCCTCCAATTGATCATGGCAGGTTTTTGCGAGACAGAGCACAGAAGTAAGTCTATTACCTCGTGCTATAGAACTCAGTCACCCGTGAGATCGATGTGGAGATGGAGGACACTAAGCCGATTTTTCATATGTCTACAAAGGACATCACCCTGGAGTACTTGCTCTCTTTCGACATCGAGCATGGATTGACTGTCCCGTTGAAAGAGACAACTCCCTGGCTCCATCAGATCCTTATGTCTGCTATGCAGACAACACGTGCTGTGAAAGAGAATAAGCATCGGGAATGCCATACTGGACAAACTCGTTGACCTACAGACAGATCCAGAAAGGTTAAACTCATGATTTGAATTTTCCGAGTCAAGCGTACGTGATCTTTTTGCAAAAGCTTCAATGGTGTGACAGTGATTGCAATCTTGTCGGGAGAGAGCAGCAAGGGAAGGATCATTGCCAATGTCTTGCCAGCACCTGTTGCAGCCCAGACAACAACATGTCTTGATGCGAGCAATGACATGAGGCACTCGAGTTGAAACAGCTTTGGTTGCTTCATTCCTTCTGTAAGAAAATTGAGTCGGGCAAAAGAGTCTACAATGTTCTGGCGCTGGGATATATGCAAAGGTTCAATAAACTTCTGTCGGAAGGTTCTCAAGTGCATCTAGCGCGGCAAGGGACATTGGGGAAACAGAAATGGCCTCACAATCCATGGTTGCAAGGCCACAATCATAGCATATGCATGAACGCACAAAGACTACGGTATAGTGATTCGAGATTGAGTACCACCGGCACAATCGGCAACTGCAAATTTTCAAACTCTGTGCTTCCCCTGCCAAATCTTTCCGAGATCGACCAGCCTGGCTATGCCACTCGAGCATCTGTGGTAGTATACGCCAGGCTGGTCATGAGCCTAGCTCTCAGCCCCGTTATCTGATGATGACGATGATGACTCTCACACAGCTGGTGCTGATACAGATAATGATACTGATCCTGATGCTGGCCCAGTTGAGGATGAAGATGCACCCGAAGATGACAATGCCCTGACAGCTGAAGATGAACCTGATGACAAACCTGAAGACTCAAACATCCGAGCCACTTTGTCAAAGAGTGAGCGTATTGCTGATGTTTGCACCGTCTTTGCTCGCAACGACAAACATTGGATATGCAAACCTTGCAAGTACGTATTTAGCACTACATGTGTGGTTACTTGCTAATGTTTGGTAGGGATGCTGGTGAACTCGAAAGCAAGTACACCTTTCAGGGAGGAATATTGACACTCTGCACACATATCTGTTGGTATGTTCACGTCTTCGTCTCTCACGTCTTTGTTATTGATTAATATTAGCAATAAAAACCATTTTCAACTGTACAAAACACGCTGCGATGCTGTGGGCATCACCATGCACCCTCGAGCGGTTCCAACTGGCAAGGATCAATCCCTGTGAGTATTGTGTATCGCGTGTATCATGATTCGTGTTGTGCTGATTTGTGGATAGTTCAAGACAATCCACCCTTGACAACATCCTTGTCCCCAAAGCACCTATGTTTACCAAGGCGGGGCTTCTTGAGTACCTTGTAGAGTTTATTGTGACCGAAGACGAGGCATTGCAACTTGTTGACAAACCAGCCTTCCGCGACTTGCTCTGTTATGTCCGTCCTGCCCTCACTGAAAGTGACATCCCTCACTGCACAAAGCTGACGGAGACCATCAAAGCCCGTGCAGTAGCTGTAGTTGATGTTATTCGCAAATGTCTCACACAGGTGGACAGTTAAGTCTCCATGAATTTTGACTCCTGGACTTCGATCATTGGTGACCCTTTCTTCTGCGTCACAGGTCATTATATCTGGAGCCTGGTTGACAAACCTCAGCAATGGGAGTTATGCCACGAGCAACTCAGTTTTGAACACATTGAGGGCAATCATAGTGGACAGAATGCTGCTTGCTTGATTATTGATACCATTGACACATACAATCTACGAGATAAGGTAAAGTTTAGTCTACTACTATCCTGCACTGAATCTAATCAGTGTTTTGTAGGTTGGATGGATGACCTCTGATAATGCCACCAACAATGATACTGCCATGAAAGCAGTTGGACATGAAATTAGGATGTGTCAAACAACAGACCATCTTACTCACAATCCTCGGCAAGAGCTCAACATATACTTGTCTTCGCCGCTAGAGGAGACTGATGACATTGTTGCCTGGTGGGGGGTAAGTTATCTTTTTGACTTTTGTTTTCGCTACTAAATCTATTTATTAGCTTCACTTGCTGCAATACCCTACACTTGCACGCATTGTGCGAGACTATCTACCCATTCAAGGCAGCTCCGTTCCCTCCGAGCAGGCATTCTCAAGTGGAGGAATCACTTCTACTGTGCGACACAATGCACTCATGACCTCCACATTCACTGCGTTACAGTTGTTGAAGGGAGCATATAGGAATGGGCACCTTTCTGCAGCAGTAGAGGCTGAGGGACACACAGCTTCATTGGACATGTAGCTATGAGTACAAATACTGCGTTTATGTTTTTTTTTGCTAGCTGTAAAAAAAATTGGGTTCGGTTCGCGTTCGAACCAAAAAAAAAACTGAACCTGACCATTCTGAACTGTTCGCAAAGGTCCAGTTCTCGGTTCGGCAAGTCTAGTAGAACCGGACCTAGGTTTGGTTCTCGGTTCTTGCTAAACCCTCTATGAACCGGACCAAACCGGACTGCAGCAGCACTAGTTTGCTTGGCTTGAATAACTACAGGTTATGAGCCCTGACTCGACCATGGATACCACGCTCCCCAGTAACACCTCTGCCCTCTTCAATGTCCCCAAGTTAGCTGAAGACAGTTCAAATTGGATAACCTACAAGGAAAGAACATTGACGTCAATAGGTGCTTGAGGTTTGATGTGTTATACCAATGGTCGAGCAACAAAACTGATCCCGTTTAAAGTCGACCTGACGACAAAGAGCGTTACGAAGCCTGATGGCTTGATGCCTACGCCTACGGAGATTGAGGTGTTAGAGAAAAGAATTGACGAATTCTTCCAAAAGGACTCGTTAAGCAACACATATTCAGCACTATTACTGATTGCATGCTCCTCCGTGTTCAAAAGCTTGAGGACGCCTCGAAGATCTGGGCTGAAATATGTGATATTCACAAGGGTAAAACCGAACTCATTCAAATTGACCTGCATCATCAATTGCAAGAAATGAGGTGTGAAGAGAGCGGTGACATAAAAGCTCACTTCAGCGAGATGCTTCGGCTCCGCGAATTGTTGGCAGGCATGGATGCCGCCATCGAAGACAGAGACTTTATGCAATCCTACTAGGATCCCTCCCAGAATCCTATCGACCCCTACTTTTCTCCATAAACGCAGCCGCAAAGGTTACCCAAACACCTCTCAGCCCATCTGAACTCATTAACATTGTATCTGAAGAGTACGAGTATAGGCTCCTCATGGATTGATGTGGTTCAAAGAAGGGCAACAGCTCAGCACTAATAGCCAAAGGAGGTCCAGGAAAGGGCCGCAAGGCTGGCGGATCGCCCCAAGGCAATCCAGACATGACCTGTTTCAACTGTGATAGAAAGGGGCACTATAAGAGTGACTGTTGGAGGCCAGGAGGAGGAAAGGAAGGCCAAGGGCCGAATCAGCATCAGAAGAAGGGTCCGCGCTCACCAAAGGAAGGCGCGAATGCCGCAGCATCCACCCCAGAGTCCGAAATGAACTATGCCTTCACATCGTCAGACCTCGCTGGTATAGCTGGGCAGATGAACATACCGGTAGAACGATGTGGTGCCATTATAGATTCAGGTGCTACCTCCCATTTCTGTCCCAACTGTTTGAAGTTTCTTAACTTTGTCCCTATAGAGCCTCAAGATGTGCATACAGCTGACGGATTGGCTGTTAGTGCGATCGGAAAAGGTGACGTCCAGCTGGACTTACCGAATGGAAAAGGCCGGACGTCTGTTACTCTTCGTAACGCACTATACATGCCCAAGATGGCCTTCACATTAATATCCACCTGTCGTAGAACAGCGGGCAGTCTCGCCGTTCACTTTGAAGACAAGGTCTGTAAGATCATGTCCTGAGGACCTGACCGCACTGTGATAGCCACCATTCCCCAAGTTGAAGGGCTATACAGCGTCGCTGCACATTCTAAGCACTATGCCAATCTCGCTACGGTCAAACTCACCATTCACGCCCTGCACAAGACCCTTGGTCATATATCACAGGTGGCTGTAAAGCATGCAATTGACAAGGGACTAGTCCACAGCCTCGACCTTGATGCCTCCTCGAAGGACAAATTCTGTGATGCCTGTGTGAAGGCGAAGTCAGTGCATTGCTCATTTCCAAAGGAATCCAAGAGACGAGCAGAGACTTATGGTGAAGTTATCCATAGCGACCTCTGGGGACCAGCGCAGATGGTCAGTCTGGCCAGATCAAGCTACTATATGAGCTTTACCAATGACTACTTGAGGGAGACAGCCGTAATATTCTTGAAGCAGAAGAGCAAAGCCCTAGACGTGTTTCGCCAGTATGAAACCAAGCTCACAATGCAGCATGATGGTTGCCAAATCAAGATGCTTCAGTCTGATAGGGGTGGCGAGTACTTGAGTGCAGAATTCAATGCGCACCTCAAGGATCGCGGCATGGCTCGCGAGCTGACCGTGCACAATTCTCCCCAACAGAATGGAGTGGCGGAGAGGCTCAATCACACTCTGGTCGAACATACCTGCGCGATGTTGATAGTGTAGGACTTACCCAAGTTTCTGTGGGTGGAGGCGATTAACTATGCAGTATGGCTGAAAAATCACTTACCATTGTGTGAACAACTAGTGCAGCAGTGGGAAATCAATCTACTACACAGTTGGGTCTTTGCTGCCTGCTGCCTCACTTGGAAACAAGCGCGTTCGACCCTTAAGGGGATTGCTACTGGGGAAACACTAGTCTCTGTCTAAAGCGACCCTATAGGATGAAGGATCCACAAAAGTGGATAAACGGATAGGATGCGAAATGTATGGATTCGTCAGATGGAGCAGATGATACTTGCAGATTGGACGGGATGCGAATCAAAGTCGAAGGAAGTTCATTAAAGGTTGGATGGATAGTGGGTATAAGTCAAAGCAATCTTCTGGTAAGGTGCAGGAAAAGTGGGAGGAAGTTACATGAAGTAAGTATTTTCTGAAAACTTCTGTGCTTATAGGGTACAGTATTTTCAAGGAACACTTGGTATAGGTAGCGAGTCTAGACTGTGCCATAAGCTATCCGGAAAATAGTGGAGTGTGAGAGGATATGTCTGTGTTCAGTCAGTAACAAGGAAATGCGTGTGAGTATGTACCAATGAGGTAGAATGGACGTGGACAGGACAGATGTGCAAGCTATAGGGGGAGATCCGAAGGTATCCTGCTTGTCATCCAAAAAGCAGATGGGTATTGGATGGAATGGATTGGTGTCGGATGGACGTTGGATGGATGCCTGATGCATCAGAAAAGTGGTGGATACAAGCCTAGTGTAGGGATACTCCCCACACCGTCTAGCGCCATCCCAGGTCATACTCCGTTCAAACTAGTGAATGACCGCATCCCAGACCTATCGCAGGCCTGAGAATTCGGTTGTCCTGTCTTTGTACACCTGGAGCATATGGGCAAGCTTGAGGCGCACACAGAAGAAGCACTCTTTGTGGGTATAGACACTGAAAGCAAGGGTTTTCGAGTGTATTGGCCGTTGAAGCAAAAGGTGTCGGTCAAGAGGAACGTGACATTTGCACCGTCTGGGGTTATAGTAGGCGAAGTTGCCCAGAATGAGGGGGAGTCATTATCTGTTAGCGCTAACCAACCCTGCTCAGAATAGTACCAGTGCACCTAGCGTTCCGGTGTAGGACGCGGATCGGCACCAACATGGTACTCCCTTGATCTACCGATCCACTGCAATATTCACCCGACCCCGCGTGCTCTATCCGACTCCTTGCCGATCGAACTCCCACCCATGCGCGTTCAAGCTGCTCAGCACAAGCGGATCGGCCAACGACGAATCAACGTGCATCATCGGTCGGTCGCACGCGTGTTTTGCCTTTCTAGCTCACAGATACTCAGTCGAACCCCATATCCATAAAATCCTTGTCCACTGGTGTGTAGTATATTCTTCTTTGGTTTATTTGACAGATACAGTACTTTTACCTCTGAAACTCCCTATTACGTCGCCTTAAGCGGCTCGGACCGATTTACTCTCACATATCCCTGTACATATCACGGACAATCGACCGCATGTCCCGCATACATTTCTAGCAAACCACGAGGTAGCCCGGACATCCCAAGCAATGATTATCTCCATTATTTACCTAGTAGCCGGTTTTGTACTTAAGGAGCGCTTGCCCGTCATTGCAATTGAGTTAATTCTCACTCAGAAGCCGTGTCTTTTGTGTTTTGTTCTCTTCTGATCCTATTCTCGTGTCCGTCCGCATGTTCGTCTTGAAACTTCCGTTCCCCATCATCTATCTAAATCGGCCGCACTCGCTCGCGCACCGCATAGCGGTCGGTAGAAATTATAGTCGGTCGGCTTTACGGGTAACCATTTACGCTGAACACATATTGGATCGGCCGCCCTTTGACTCATTGTCGCGCCCCTCGTATTTTATACTGAGGCAGCAATTCAGTTTGCTTTGTTCTGCTTCCCTCGGGTCGAACTGAACATTTTAGGCTCACTACTCGAATCAGCCGTTATCGCGCTGAGGTCATAGTGGAATCTGCTCCTTACACCGGTCACTTCACCACCCCAACCTCCTGCTACCCCAATCCGACCGTCTCACCAACTCCAAATGCCACCTGCACCGAGAACTACACGAGTCTGACCCCCACCGGGGTACTATGCAATGCTGAACAAAGGCGAAAGAGCAAGTCTAGCGGCCGAATCGGTATTTGACCCGTCAGAGTCAGATCTTGCAGATGAAGAGGTGATCACTCACTGGCAGCAGTATGCTCTAGCGGCCGCTGAAGCAGAACCGACTCTAGCTCAAGCATTAAACAGACCAGACACGGTAGAATGGCAAGAAGCGATTGACTATGAAATTAGTCAACTTGAGAAACTTGGAACCTGGGAAGTAGCTGACAAACCATTGGGCACTAATATCATTCCCTGCCACTATGTCCTAGCAACTAAGTGCAGGCCAGACGGCCAGAAGTTAAAGCTGTGAGCTAGACTGGTTGCAAATGGCCAGTGTCAGCAGTATGGACAGGATTACTTCGAGACCTTTGCGCTGACCTCCAACATGTCTACAATCAGAGCTGTTCTCACCATGGCCGCCCAGCAGGACTGGGAGATACATCAAGTGGACATCAAGAGCACTTACCTCTATGCAGAGATTAAGGAGACCATTTATATGAGGGTGCCTCCTGGATACTTGAAGAAGGGAGATGAAGGGAAGGTATTGAGGCTGTTGAGAAGTCTGCCCGGTTTGAAGCAAGCCAGATTCGAGTGGTCGGAGGAATTAGCTGGAGCATTTAGGAAGATGGGGTTCTCCCGGTCGCAAGTAGATAAGACAGTTTACTTCAAGCGATCACAGGAAGAGCATACAGTTATCACCGTGTCTGTGGATGATATGGCCGTTACATTGAGGGACATGGACCATATCAAGCGCTTTAAGGCCCAGATATGCGAGCATTTTGAAATCACTGACCTAGGTGAACTTCATTGGTTGCTTGGCCTCAAAGTAACGAGGGACTGCGTTGCTCGAACCATTACCCTGTCCCAAAACGCCTACATTGACACAATAGTCGAACACTTCTATCTCACTGATGCCAAGAACGCCCAAACTCCAATGGATACTGGAACCATCCTATCTGACTCTCAATCCCCCGTGACTCACGCACAGCTCGAAGACATGTGTGACATACTGTATCAATGGGCGATAGGATCACTGATGTATGCAGCCACCAGCACCTGACCCGATATCGCGTTCTCTGTCACGACTCTCTCGCAATTCATGTGAAACCCCAGTAGGGTCCATTGGGAGGCTGCCAAGCACGTCATTTGCTACCTCAAAGGTACTTCTGACCTTGGACTTACCTTAGGAGCTACAGATGCAGGGATAGAAGCATATGTTGACACTGACTGGGCATCTCAGCCCCATCGCCACTCTATGTCAGGCTATATTGTGTTGTTAAACGGCGGTCTGGTAGCATGGAGTGCTCGCAAGCAACCTCTGATCGCACTATCAATGGCTGAAGCCGAGTACATTGCTCTAACGACCGTCACAAGAGAGATCCTATACCTCCAGCTATTGATCAAAGAGCTGTATGAGTCACCCCCTCTTCCTACCCCAGTGTACTGTGACAACCAGGCCGCCATAGCGCTTGCATCGAACAACAAATTTCAATCCTGTACCAAGCATATTGATCTATGATACCACTTTGTCTGCACTCACGTCAAGAACGGCACGTTTGCACTGACCTACTGCCCCACCAATGACAATATCACAGACGCGTTTACCAAAGCTCTACTGCGCCCACGACTTCAGAAGTTATGCAGGCTAATGAGCTTGGTTGTGCTTGAGGGGGAGTGTTGGATTCAGGAATGAATGAGCAAGAGATAGTGAAGTGAAACAGTACGAGTGCAACCCGAGAATGCGAAGTACGACACATTGACGTCGGCCGAGAATACTAATATTGAACTGTCTATTCCTAAGCTACGGTATATTTATTTATTGCTAAGCTACTTACTATAAACCTATGACTCTTTCATTAGAACATCTCAGTCCTATACTTGAGACTGAGATGTGAGTACCTACTTTTCCCATCTACATAAAACAAGCTAACATACCCATAGATTATATTCTTATCAGGTACTATACTAGTTGCATCCGAGTCTTATACTCGAGACTAAGATATTATATTCTTATCAGCTCCTCCCAGTTCACGTTTGCTCGGCTCAAATAACTACATTAGAAATATGTGACATAACAGTCAGGGAAGGCGGGGAGGCGGTTGTTTGTTTCGCTCCAAAACTAAACAAAGGCGATAAGTTTGTAAAATGGAATTTGTCCTATTGATATGGAAATAGCTGTAAGACATATGCAACTTGTACACAAGGTCTTACATTGGGACATATATATGAATATATGCTTTGGGCAGCATATATTCACATATATGGTTCAGGCTCTTTTGTTGATGATTTATTTGTGGTTTAACTTGTCTAACCAAGTTGAATCGATTTGTGATGCCGGTCAAATCCTACTTCCTGAAGTTATATACACTAAAATGGTCGAGGTGTAGACTAGCCCTGAGAAATATTTATAATATGGTTTTCGCACTATCTCTGTGAAAGGTTTTGTTCAGAGCTGTGTGAGAGCACCTGTGTGACACTGCTTATGTTACTATTTAGTAAAGTAAGTACATATGTAATAGCATTACTAATTAGAGGGGAAAGGCTTGTATGCAAGACTTCAGTACTACCACCGGCACTTAGGACTGACTTCATAGGTATATGTTTATATCTTATCTATCATTATTGACTATCTTTGCCGGCAATAGCCTTGGCTTGTTTCAACTCCCAATAATGTCAGCAACAGCCACACACCTCTGCCATCATCTCCCATGGTCACCACACACCTTTGCTCATTGTCTCCAATGATAAGCACATATATAACCCCTCACTGGCTCAAATTTGGAGCTGTTTTTTTTTCTTTCATTCCTACTATTTACCTATCCCACTATCATTTCTAATATATTTTGAAGGTATTTATTTGCAGGAATGACTACACAGGAGTACAGCAGGTAAGTTATTAGCTTAGTCATTTAGTGCGCTGTTGTCTCCTACCCTTCTCCAGCACCATGAAGCAGCAGCCGCTACGCTCCACCTCCAAATGTGTTACTATGACGGTCCTTCATAGCAGTGGCCTATGAACAATGTCTACTGGGATCTTGAGTATCTGATGAGATTGCATCAATGCTGAGCGCCAGCTCATTGAAGAAGCTGACAGTGAGTAATCAGTCCTTTTCTATCTCTTCATTCTTAACAACTGAACAGATCAATGTACACAGCAGGCAGCACTATTCGCTGAGGCAGCCCTGGAGATGGGGTCTAGCATGGACACCACTGGGGATACCTTCTATGACCATGACAACTCATGCAATAATGCAACTCAAGACCCCGACAATGATGATGACAACAGCAGCGGGGATGATGATGAACCCAGATGTGTACATTTGGTGGAGGACAACCTCTTCTCAGCATATGTGCTGCTCCATTTGAACAGCAGGTGTGTTTCTTCATGCCTTCCTCTGTACTTCTCTTCTGACTCATTTTTTAGTTTCAAGAAACACTGTCATGATCAGCAGACACGTGCAATACACCATGCAAATATGTACCATGTGTGGAACTTGCAGCTACCAATACTTGCTGATGCTTATCTCCACTGGAAGCACATTGGTTGACACTGAGCCTGACTTGCCAGCTCATCAATTTCATATCAGCGCCATGGATGTGTTTCATATGTTCTTTTTTTCAATGCAGAAGATTAATAGTTTTTATTTTTTATTCTGCTAGAGTTCCAGCCAGTTCACGCCATCACACAACACAATGAAGAAGCTGCAAACACTGCACTGGTTCATGTGGGCTTGCTTGGCTGTTCTCCTACTGTGCCATCTGTTGCCATCACCCTGCAGTGCCTAGAGTTCTATCACCAGCTTCGATGGCACCAATCATATTTCAGCATTCAAGCATTCACCAAAGTCTTGTGCGCCTTACATGATGTATATTTCAGTAGTCTTGCAGCTAAAACTTCACACTAATCAATCAACAGGTCACTTATGTCCCAACATTCCAAGAACAATTTTCTGACACATTTGACATCTATCTCACCATTCTTCATGAGATCCGATCATGTACGGACACTGCCCTTGGCCAGACCGAACTGAATTGGCATCTCTGTCACAGTTGTCCAGCATGCACATTCAAGGTAAGAATTTTTCTATTATGATTTCAATATATTTAACACTGTCTTACTAGCAACCTGATGAACCAACATTGTATCTGGAATCATTGAAGGCCATGGATGGCAACAACTCAGCCAAGCGAATGACAACCGCAGGCCACACAGACCATTGCAAGTTTATGAGTCACTACATGATCACGTCAGAAGACATTGATGCTTTCAAGGATGACGTTCACTTACATCCAGGCGAATGGGGCACTGACAGTGACGCGAACAACCCTCTTGCATGTACTGACAACTGGAAAGCAGCTAATTCAACCAACAAGAACACTGTCAGTGTCTTTGAGCAGACAGGAATCTTCCTATCAGCGTGTCGACATGGGATGATCCAAACAATCACAGAGATGCGACATAGTGGTGAGCTGTGTGTTGTTAGCACACCATTGCAATATATCACGTACTGATGTATGTAAACAGTGTGAAGTATCCCCTTGCTACTATCAACAAATTACTCGACATTTTTGGACACAATCAGGCCATTGGTACCGACATTGGTTGCAGTTTAGCAAAGACAGTCGCTGCAAGCTCAATCCATGACAAGGCTGCAGACCACCAATTACTTCTTGCTGTCAATGCTTTCCATGGATACGCACACAACCGCAAATGTCAACTCCGACATCATCCCCTTTATCTTGGTGGATTTGGGCTCAAAGACTTAGAGACCTGCGAACAAATCTTTGCAGGCTCTAATGCTGCAGCATCACTCATACAGCACGTATCACACTTCCATTATGTTCAATATCTCGACCTTCATTTTGATCAATGGGACACTGACAAATATCTTGAACTCAGTAAGCACTTCGGCCATGTGCACGGTATTTCATAATTTGAATGAAAACTAGGTCACTTCATTTTCAATAACTACCGACAAGTGCTTACAATAATCGCCGACGATACAAAGGAGCTTGAAGTATATTGTATAATGTACCCTGACGAGGTACTAGACTTTGACTCTTGGATTGACGAGGAACTTGCATATCTGCTTGCTGTGGGGTCAGAGCCTCAACATGATGCACTGACAGCTGAATATGTAGATGCACTTGAGAAGCTGGCCAAGTATGAGTAAGTTTATTTTTGTTTCAGTAACTACATACATGATTTAGCTTAATATTTCAGGAATGCTTTTAATTCCTCCCACCAAGATCAATTTGTCTCGTACAATCAGTTGTCATTTACGCCAAACTCTGGCCTCAGCATTTCTGCAGCACAGGCTACAAAACAGGGACATGCAGCTTGCCGTGCTACTGAGCACCAACTGCAAGTCCAGATCAATGTTATTGAAGATCTTGAAGTTCGCCTTGGGGTATCTGAACGTTGGACGCCGGATCATGAAGAATATGTCAAGGCTCTAGAGTATAGCCATCGCTGGCACTTTATATTTGTACTGTTGAAGAACTTGAAAGTCTGGTTGTACAGCGCTTGTTTGAACTATTGAAAGCTAATCTAGCATTGACAGGTATATTCAATATTTTGTTCTTTTACAATACTAATTTGCTAATTTAGGGTATAAACTCCAGAAACAAATTTCTAAAGCTATTGTGAAGCGTTCTAGTGCAATCCACACCGCACTGGACAAGTATAACAAACTTGCTGTCTTGCAAAATCCCTGACAACCTACACTGCAATATAGCGAGGTTGTATCATACGCAGTGCTTGGCGAGTTTGATCTTCTCAAATACTCACGACATGAAATACTCACCAAACCATGGATGAACCCCACTCACCATGAGATGGCAGTGAAACATTTCAAGGTTCTCCATGCTCGGGAGGAGATTATCAGGCTTAATGTTGAAATTTGCCGGTTGCAAGCATGGGTTGTTACAGAGGATGCTGATATGGAATGAGTGGCTGCAGATCTTGAGTTAACAAATGGCCTGCTTGCAGCTGAATTGCAGATGTTGGCTTGTTGCTGGTGCAGAATTAACACTGTCCACCATGATCACCTCATGCGCATCTATCGCCTGGAAGGATACACTGGTTGTGCCCCCATCACCAGCTTGGATGACGGCAATTCCTCAGAAATTGAAGAAGCAGACATAGAGGAATCAGATGATGACAGAGATGGTGAGGAGGCTGCACATTTTGAAGCTTGTATTGAACAGATGTCGTAGTTATGCTCATAGTTTATATACCTTGTCATTTAGATGTGAATGTCAAACAAATGCCAGTCAAGATAACCTAGCTCAACTCTATGAAGACAAACACATCACACACTTTCTCATTGATGAAGCGCATGTAAGGTGTGGTAGCTTACCAATACTTAGACCATGCACCTGAGTCCTGACTATCAATTATTGTAACTCATCATACAGCTCATGCCTGCAACATGTTTTTCTTTCTGTTCTTCTGTTCTCTCTCGAAATGTCTAAAAAAGCCAGCACATTTGTCGTCGAATCTGAAGGACTGGATGGCCATCTGCTTTGGTCCCTTCATCACTTAGCATACTTAGATCTTGCATTTGCAGATGACGATACTGATCTGGCGGTTGGTCTTTTCTCCATTGTGCAATCATGTGTACTGATCAATCCTTGTAGCACGACTATCTCACCATTCAATTTCACACCATGTTCAATTTTCATCAAGGTGCTGCTCATACTCTCCACTCACATCGAGGAAAATCCAGGAAGCACAGCTGTAGATTTGTTGCTGTCAGATCACCAGACATCATGCTGAAAGCTACAATGTCTCACCCACCATCGCTGAAGCTTGCCAATGCTCTCAGTGACATCACAACAACTCTTCTGAATGGTGTCCTTCCTCAGGTCCATGATGAGTGGTTCAAAGGGTGTTGGAAGACAGTTGAACTGCCATCCCATCTACTGTGTGATAGTAAGTCTTCCAAGTCTTGATTCTAACTGCTAATTATTTTAATCTATTGTCTACAGATCATTGCACCTCACTCTCAGCCTCAAAAATCAAAACTATTGGGCCTGTAGTTACCGCCACCTTACCTTTACCATCATCCTCCCAATCAGACATTGATTTGACGGGTTCAACACTTGTGCTATCTGCTCTCAAGAATGATGGTAAGTATTGTCTAATCTACCAGATCTTCACTGACATTATTGTGCAATATCTTATGAAGACACCAGCAGACATGCCAAAGTTTATCCCCCTGCTATCAGGTCTGAAATTGACACTGCTACTGAAAACTCAAATGGTACTGTTGATACTCCCACTAACACTTATGAGATCGATGTCAATCTATGCACCTGTGAACACCGACAAGATGTTGTGACCTTTGCGGATGCAAAGACTCTCTTTACAGCATATTGGCTTCCACATGGTGTGATATATGAGCTCTATGCCTGTATCAATGAAGACACTGGGTTTGAGAGGGAAAATTGGGGTAATGTTCTCATGGAGAATCTAATTTATGAGACCATGCAGTCCTCCATTTTAAGGGTCATTCACAATGTTCACACCAGAGTTTAAGGTGAGCCTGGTTTTCATTAAGTATTCTAGACTAGTCTGACAGGCTAATAAATCAGTGTTTGTCATTTTCCACCCTGACCCCCATTGTACCTAGTTCATCCCAAATATCTAATGTGACTGATGGTGAAAATTTTAAGCAATCCACAGCTGACTGAAAATAAAGGGATGATAAATCTATGTGCACTTGAATTCACTCCTGTCTCTTCTAAATAATGGCTTGTTCTACCACAAAGAAAGCTCAGAGGATCCGTCCGAAACTCACAAAATCTCAAAAGGCAGCCTGTTGAGAGAAGTTTGTGTCACTCACAGCAGATGTTAATGACACAAGAGATGCTTATCTTCAAGAGGTTCAAAATCTGGCAAAGAAACATGGGTGGTAAGTTGATGCTATACATTGCCTGTCTTTGAGCTCACTCGTTTTCAGGTCCGAGTGCTGGACATGACACCAATTATATCTTGGTGGAAATGTTCTTCGTTGCCGGTGCAGCCCAAACACATGGAATGGATTCATTCACCAGCGACTGAATAACATCAACAAAGGTATGTACATTATTGTGCCACTCACACTTTTCTAACTGTTTCTAGATATTTTGAAAGGAGACCGCTGGAAGCTCACCGAGTTCATTTCTGCTCACAAAGAAACACTTCAATATGACTACTCGAAGCTCACTGCCACTCAAAAGAATAGTTATGCGGTGAAGCTCATCAAGATGTGTGCTGAAAAGCAATGTGTTGTCCACGACATCAGGAAAATGTGGTAAGGCTATATAGCCACCCATAGCACTATAGACTGCTATACAGACTCCATAGCCCTATAGCTCATATAGCCAAGTGCCCAATTGTGCAGGCTTACTACACCAGTGTATAGTGCTATATAGCTCTATTAAAGTTGCTATAGCTGGGTGGAACATACCACAACTATTGTAGCTATTATAGCTCAAAACACAAAGCAAAAATTTCTCTTAATAGCTGTTTGTTGCCATGATAGTGTTCTCAAAATTAAAAAAAAGCGAAAATTCCAAATTATATTTCAACTACTACAATACATGTAAACTAATAACTACAAAACAGGCAAAAATGCGAAAATTACAGGAGGAAGAGGCAAGAGAACTAGAAGGAAGAATCAGAGAGGAAAGATGAATACAAAAAAAAGAAAGACTTACCAAATAGTGAAAATTGCGAAAATTCTTGAGGGAAGAGGAGGGAAGGGAGCTAGAAGGAGAGGATCAGACAGGAGGAAGTGAGAGTCAGAGAAAAGACTTGCCAAATGGTCAAAAATGCGAAAATAGTTGGGGGGAGGAGGAGCAGGAGGGAAGAGAGCTAGAAGGAGAGGGTTAGAAAAAAGATTAGTCAAATAGTCAAAAATGCGAAAATTATGGAGGGAGACTTACCAGAGTTCAAAGCACCAGCACCAGTACCAGCACCAACAACATCAACACCAAGAGAAGGATAGAGAAGCAAGAAGAAGAGAAGAGAGGCAAAAACTCGAAAATTGTAAGAGAAATATGGAAGATAATCTAATGAGGGGGCAGTGGGGGGGAAGGAAAGAATGGGAAAAGACTTGTTGGTTGACCGCATTTTTGCTTACATAAGCAGTGCCAAACAAAGCCACAACACAAGACTTGGTGAATTTTCGAGTTTTTGCTTATTAGGACTAGGATTATGACAGTAAGAAAAAGACAATGAAATTGACTGTTAGCATTAGGATTTTGAATACACATAAGGTGAATTTTCGCATTTTTGCTTACATAAATAAGGTGTACCTTAACACTTTTGAACCCTTCAATTCCAAGTATTTTCCTTATAACTCACTAAGATCTTGACCTATTGAAGTCATTAGACTATGGATAGACTTCCCTTGACAAGGACTACAACTTTGATTTAATCGAAAAAGGTTCCCACGGTCAAGTTGCTTTCTTGAACCCTTCAATTTCGAGTATTTTCCTTGTAACTCACTAGGATCTTAACCTATTGAAGTCATTAGACTATGGATAGACTTCCCTTGACAAGGACTACAACTTTGGTTTTCATCGAAAAAAGTTCCCACAGTCTACTGGGGTCTATAGTTGTTGAAATGTTTTACTTCTAAATACACTTACCAAACTTTATGGTAATATAGACTTTCATGATGTCTATACTGGTCTATAGCGCTGTGATAGCTTGCGATAGACTGTATAGAGCTGTGGTGTGCTATCGGGGCTATATAGAGGATGGTCCTCTATATAGAGATACAGTTTTTCCTGATGGACAACCCTAAGGCAGTCCATCGGGACACTACTATGTCTTTTGCAGCCATGGATCAAGAGGTATGGGGGGGGGGAATTCTGATTGCTCGCTAATATGTTCATGTATCCAATTTGTAGTGGGCGGTGTTGTGTTCTCGGCTTGATACCAAAGGCTTTTATGTTTGTTACAGTAACATGAGCATTACGCGTCATTTCATTCTTCGAACTCGTCTAGACCTGGACCATGGTTACGACTATTCTATTTTCATCTCTTCTTTTGATCCCATTGTTCTGAAATGCGAGAAGCTCTCGCTTCTTCCCCTAGATCACAGAAGCCACGGCTTCTCCCGAACCCTATACCTCATCCATTGTTTCGGTTCTCTCATTGATGGGGATTCCCCATGCCCTTTGCCCTTACCGTTCAACTGGTACTATTCACCCTTACATATATATATCTCAATTGTACAGTAGATAGATTCTCTAACTTGAATCTACTCGGTTCTCATCTGAATTTTGTCGTTGGGTCTGAACTTCTCTTGCCTAAGAGAACTCCCTCTGTACAAAGAACCATCTGCTCTTGAGATGATACTCTTGAGTTGAATTCCGTCTCTTGGATCGCATCCTCGAGAAACTCCAAATGACTCTACATAAGTAAGGGCTTCAACCCTTACTAGACTTAGCGCAGGCAAGCCTCTTGCTGGGCTAGCGCCAAAGGCCACACTTCGAATGCCCCTTGCGGGTTTAGTGCCGCCGGATCTCATCCGAGAGGTTTCGCGTAACAATGTTGCTGTCAGAGGAGGCATTGAGGACCTGAGCGGACCAAAGCTTTTTTTCTTGGAGAAGGCTGAGAAATTCGTCCATGCAGTTCTTGACTTGGAACCTCAATGTTTGGCATTGAAACTCAAAACTTTTGTAATATCAGGTTTTGGTATGTTATTCATGAAATTTATCAACTCAAAGGCTGCATTAATTCTTGTCATTGGCTTGCAGATTCTAATATTCCATCGACACAGCGCCAGACTCGCACCCTCAACAAATTGATTAGTGATTGCCAAACCATCATACAAGATGAACTCGGTATGTTGTGAATATTGCTACAAGTATTTTACCTTATTGACTCACATGCTAGATGATATTTTGTGTGATAAGAAGCTTGCCAATCACATCAAAATGAACTACAATAATTATGAATGTTCCATTGTTGAACATTATGGCATTACACTGGTAGGATGGCCCTTGGATCTTTTGCCCATTCATAATCCCTCCGCCATTGGTGGATGTGAGCAAGTCCAATGTCCCCTCAATGCTCTCAAAACTCATATGTGTCATTGGGAGCAGCTCTCAGAAGAACAATTAGTGGCTAGAATTGCTAGTAACCAGGCTTGTCAGGCTAAGGGGGAGTGTGTCTACAAGCCAAGGAAGAAACACGCTGCAAAGAGAGTTGAGAAGAGCACGGAGCATGTTGAAAGTAGTGATGATGAGATCATCGAGAAGAGTGCAGAGTTTGTTGACAGTGATGACGAAAACTAGCCTAGTTTATTTCAAAGTAGAATACTGACGGAACACTCAGAAACAAGTAGAATAGCGATAGAACACAAAATTCCAGGCATATTGCATCAACAAGGGCATCGAGAATGTGAACCTACATCACATGTTGATTAGCATTGCCGACAGCAGGTGCAGTGGATGAGGAGGAGACAGCACTAGCCTATAGTTGCAAAGATTGGTGCTGGAGAAGGGTAGGAGACAACAGCTGTTGATTAGCATTGCTGACAGCAGGTGTGGTGGATGAGGAGGAGACAGCACTAGCCTATAATTGCAAAGATGGCTGGGCCTGAGTTGCATCACTGGGCTTGGGAGGCCGAGCATAGCAGCCGCTGCTTCATGGTGCTGGAGAAGGGTAGGAGACAACAGTGCACTAGATGACTAAGCTAAGAACTTACCTGCTGTGCTCCTGTGTAGTCATTCCTGCAAATAAATACCTTCAAAATATATTAGAAATGATAGTGGGATAGGCAAATAGTAGGAATGAAAAAAAAAATGGCTCCAAATTTGAGCCAGTGAGAGGTTATATATGTGCTCATCATTGGAGACGATGAGCAAAGGTGTGTGGTGACCATGGGAGACAATGGCAGAGGTGTGCAGCTGTTGCTGACATTATCAGGGAGTTGAAACAAGCCAAGGCTATTGCCGGCAAAGATAATCAATAACAATAGATAAGATATAAAACATATACCTACAAAGTCAGTCCTAAGTGCTGGTGGTAGTACTGAAGTCTTGCGTACAAGCCTTTCCCCTCTCATTAGTAATGCTATTGCATACGTACTTACTTTACTACATAGTAACATAAGCAGTGTCACACAGGTGTGTGAGAGCTGGGAAACAGACCTATAGGCGGTATTGTGGCTGAAGAAAGAAATTACACTAAAATTTAAAATGTAACCTTGCTGGTTTGAACTCAAGGGCTTGTTGTCAACCAATATGCACTGTTCATGCGCGCAAACTGTTAGGCCAGAGATACATGTATTTGCTTGGTGTTAATTTATATATGACAACCAGTGGGTCATCTCATTGCAAATTTTGCTAAGTCTTTGCACCAAGTCCTCTACTGTCTAGCAATTATTGTAGTGTAACATGTACTTTGCACAAAGCAGTTCTTGTGAAATTCAAGTTCTATATGATGTATTTGCCTCCACTGTGCTTAGGTAAACAGAACTGAGTGTATTTTGTGTAGAATACAAATGCTAAAAGCTAGCAAGTCTCAAGTCCATTATAGAATTCTGGGACAGAATGTCCACATGAGCTTTTTCACAGGTATACCATAGGTTTGATACTTAGACCTATGGACAAGCCTGTCATATACCTGATCCGACCACTCCGACAATATTAATATCTGCTCTGCCCGGCCTCACACTTTCCCTGCTTTCCAGCCACCTCCACTCCGTCCGCCCTCCGCCCAACCCATTCGGCTCCCACATCGGCTCCTATGGTTCTGCTTGACCAACTTGTCGGTTACCCTCTGCATCATTTCCACTCCACTGGAACCCTTTCCCCTTTTAGGTATATACTTTCTCCATTGACACATATATAGTACTTACTTCCCAGATCACCTGGTACTTCCCATAACCACTCATCTAACTGATCCAACATGTACATATTAATATCTGCTCTGACTTATGTTTTTCACCTGTGTCTACTTACAAATTATGCTTGGTACATAGCCTCATACCAAGGACTAACTATTCACTGCCTCCTACATAGAAGTATATAAAAACATATCCTGTACTTAGCTACTCCCCAGTCTTAATATTACTTGTCTTCCCGCAGTCTCTACTAGTGGGAATTCTCCGTAGGACTTTGCTCTCTCTCTGGACACAAGTTTACCTTGTCGTCACCTCTGACCCTCCGCTCTGACTTAGAGTCCACTGCTCTAAGTATTCACTCTTACTTCTCCAACCCCACCAAACCCAAACCCAAACCCAAACCCCTTACTCCCCTCCGTCCCAACACACTTCCTCCGCCTCCCCCGCTCTACTTCTAGTCAGATTACCACTAGTAGCACTTACCTCCCAACCCACCAAGCGGACCAAAGTGGTCTGCCCGTCCTATTGTCGGACATCATAGGACCCGCTCCAAATTCAGGACACATACTTGGCTAAGGGTGTAGCGCAAGAGCTGAAGCCAAGCCCCAACCCCTCGGCTTCTCCGTCTGAGCATAGTCTCTAACAGAGCCCTGGATCAGACCGTATCTGAGCTATAACCAATCTGTTGCCCAGGTGGGAAAAAACCTTTGATAAGTATTAATCTATGAGCTTTACAGCATAATTTATTTATTTATGTACTAACTCTCTATTCCAGCTTGTATCCGCCTGGTTGCCATGTATTACAAATGGTTTTCGCACTATCTCTCTATGGCCCAAAGTGGCAGTTGGTGGTGTAGCTCAACCGCCCCCCGACATGTCACATGATATCACATGACTTACAACAAATGAATGCAAACATCCTCGTCACTCCACAATTTTGTCAAAATGTTCATGCTCACTGTGGATCAGTGAGCTTGAATATTACACTATTATTATTTTCATCACACTGCCTATTATAATGTGAAATATATATTTTTGAGAAATACTAAATACACAAAGGGTATATAGAGGCTACACCAGCATCCACAGACCCAGAACAATGCTCCCTGGTCAAAAGTATTCTATTTAAGCATGACAACATGTCTATATAGTAAAAAATGCAAGGGAAAGGTTCATCACAACCAGGGAGAGGGCTCTGAGGGAGGAATGGGGGCAGGAGAGGGAAAACATGGCCCTGAGCATGAATATATCAAAAGAAGTGAAAACATGAAAAATGAAGGAGAAACTTACCAGGGTACCCAGAGTGCAGCACCTGTGCACTGTATTGTGTATAATATACATAGGAGTCATTGAGAGTAGTCAGAAGTATGTGAGTGTACTGTAAGGATGAAAGCAAGGTAAAAACAAAATTGGCTAAAAAAGCGAAGCATGAGACTCACCAGGTTGAGTGAGGTGCAGGGAAGACCAGAAGAGGGTGGGGGGCATGTATGTTAATTATGAGGTGGCATTAATATTGGAGGCTGCAAGATAGGTAGGGGCTATAAGAGGGCATTGCCTACATAGTTACTGCAAGGTGATAGCAGTATAGTGCTACATCTAAACAACTGAAAATAGGAGATCATGTGTGCATCACGTACTATGTCAGGGGGCGGTTGAGCTGGGACAGCTTACTTCCTGACTCAGCCTCAGTGGCTTAAAACACATATGAGGCCCCTCTATTGATGGTTTAAGTAGCTGACAACTGATGAGTCTGGATTCTTCCATCGTTGCTCACTTGCCCTCGCAAAGCACCGTCCGCTCATGCACATCTGCATTTTTCAAGCTACAACTTTAATTTTCAATTGATCATTCTTCATATTATACATGTCCGCTGAAGCAAACAATGCCTCCTCATCATCCCAAATGCAGCCTTCAGGATCACTTACAGGACCAGGAATGGTGAGGAATTCATCCCAGACCAACTCTAATGGATTGGATTTATCCCAACAACTGACTACAAACACTTGCATCTCACCAAACTTGAGGCAATTTTCTCACTTGTGGAAGCCATTTCAGCAGAATTGTTTGATACACTAGGATAGGTTTCGACTGTCGCTGGACCCTACCTTGCCATGCTTGACGAAGTTGAGTCAGAACTTGCATGAGCCACTGATAGTTCAACAAGGGGACAAACAACACACTTGGATGAACCAGTGCATGTTGACGAAGAAGCCCCTTTTCCAGAGGATAGGAGTAGAGCAGGATCTGTTAAGCCAGGAGAACCTGCTTGCAAATGATCCAAGCTTGATTGTTCATCTATCAATGCTGCGGTTAAGTGCAGGAATTACCAACCACTCTCACCTAACCTTGAATGAACCAACAAGATCCTCAGAAATTGGTCACAAGACCCAAAGGAGGTACAGCAATACCTCATGTATCACAAGTTCGGACCTGAATTCTATAAGAGCAGATAGACAGAAATTGTCATGGGCAAGTGTATCAACCTCGATGTCATCCACACCATCATTACCTCTTCTCGCATGGTTGACAAGCAAACCGAAATCCTCAGAGGAATGGAAATCAAGTATGGAGTTTCAGAGGCAGCATCCAAGAAGATTGCCACTGACTCTGACTGGTATGCAGCGTGGAACAAAGCAGCTGATGCCATCAAGTTTGCCTTCCCTCACTGAGAGGCTGAGCTCAATGGATACTTTGCCTTTATCTCCAAGTACTTCTCACAAGCTAATGCATCAGCCCATGGAAGAATTATTTGCTTCAATAAAGCCATTAGAAACAGAGTCGGATCTTCATGCAGACTTGAGCTCACCGATTTCTGCAAGTTTGAAGACCTTATTTTCTTGCATTTCAATACAGATGGCAGACAGCAAAATGATCCCACAGATCCAAAGTCCAGGTCTGGAAGCTTGTCCAATGGCAATGCTTCTAACAAATGTGACCCATGTTGCAAGTGGAACTCTGGTGAGTGTACCTGCAGTGCAGCCTCCTGCTGATATGCACATATCTGCTCATTCGAGCATGACAGTCATGTCTGTGGATGCCACCACATTAAAATGAAGCATCTTGAGGACTCAAAGTCCAAATAAACTGGAGGGACCTTTGAAGCATCCTCGACATCGCTGCGGTCTGATTTGGTCACCATTGGATGCTAGCTTCAGTCCTACTGCTTGCTCCTGGGAATATTCAGATCCCATCCCTGATGTGCCAGAAGCTTTCATGGACAGTGATGCTGCTCATACCATCACCAGCAGACCAGACTTATTCAAAATCATTTGCCCTATCAATGTTGACTGTTTCCAAGCATTGCTGGCTGAGCATCCCAATCAGCCATTCATTATCTCAGTGTGTTAGGCTTTATGTGACAGGTGAGTGGTCCATGTGGTCCGCCATCAATTGAAGTTCATGAATGATGGCATTATTAACATGAAGTCACGCAAGTGGTTGTGTCTTCCTGTGGATTTTCTCATATACTGCCGACAGCCCAGGCTTGAGCAAGGGGAACACATTAAAACTCCACTCACACCAGCCAGCAAGCTGCTGGAATTCACGGAGGGACCATTGATAGCCCTTCCCAGTAAAATTCTGTAAATGTGTCACAAGTTCCTTCCTTTTGTGGTCAGGGAGGGTTGCTGACATAGTGTTAGGGTCAACATGAAAACCTATGATGGTGAGTGGTGAGCCAAACAGCTGCTTCAGTCGCTCGTGTGGCAAACCAATTTCATCCCACAATTGAAGCAAACAAATTTGCTTCAAAGGGAAGGAGCATTCATATGGTGGGTAGTAGAGCTGCTGCAAAGCAAGCTCAAAATGAATCGTCCATGTATGTCTTTAGTGCCTCAATAAGGATCCGATGTATTGCAATCCAGGCCACCAGTGACATAAATGAGATCCAGACCTTTGAAGAACTGCGCCCCCCAAAATTATTATTACAATCAATGTGTTGCTGCCTGTTGACAGTCAAAACTTGCTTAGCCTGCCAGAGAGGGTGCATTTCGCCCAGCGCTCTGCCTTCATCTCCGTACTCACCCCTATCTCCTTTTAGAATAGTTATTGCTCCAGCTACTGGTTATGTCCTTTCTGCTATGCTTACTGATCCATCTGTTCTTACTTCATTTCCAACCTCACTGCTTTGATCCGTTATGCACTTACTAATAGACTTTCCACATGCTTCGTACATAGCCCTTACTTTGCTGACTGATTTACTTACATGATACCTACAGTATATAAACTCCTGTAATACTCCAGAACTCCTCAGTTTGAATATCATCTTAGTTCTGCTCATTCCTGCTTCTCTGGACTTGAGTCTCATCTCTTGTCCACCTCCGAGTCTTAGGGGTAAACCTTAGGACTAAATCTCCAGCTCTACCTTAGGGTAGTCTAACTCTGTTTTGCTTCTACTCCAGACTTGTCCACAGTAGCCTTACTCTGTTCATTCCTAGCCTTCCGGAGTTCTGCCGAACTCCCCCCTACGTCTGACCTGCGGACTTCCTGGACTTCTATCGGACTTCCCTTCTGCCCCTTGGAAATTAAGGGCACATACTCAGGTAAGGGGCGCAGCGCACGAGCTGAAGCCGAAGCCCTTTGAGTTACCTCCCCCTTGAGCATGACCTTAACAGCAACTGGAAAAGACTGCAACCAGTCCTGCTTAAGACCGGTTGTGGTCCGGTCCAGTTGCCAGTCTTTTTGCAGTCCTGCAACTGGACTTTAAAACACTAATCATGTAAGGACTGGCCTGCTCCCATATATTCTTGAGGGCCCAGATCTGCTGCCAGATACAACTGATTCAACATCTCTTGTGCAGTGCCACCAGATGCCAATTGGGAGAGAGTTGCTGGATATGTTACAGGGAAGGATGAAGAATCTTAGAAGCTCAAGTGATAGGTTGGCTGGATTGGTTGGGCCGATTGATGAAATCACAAGGGCTGTCGCATCCTCACAGGCACTCATTGACTGGTTGAACACAGATGTCAGTGCATAGTGCATCCTGGGTGCAGTCAAGGACAACCTGACATTTGCCAGCATCCGGTCAATATGTTATACTGTCATATGTTACTGTCAGATCCACTGCAATGTAAATGAGAAGCACCAGTTTTTGTCTTTGCAATCAGGCTGTGTGAACGTGAAGCTATTTTCTCTAACTGCTATCTCTCTGGGTATCATTCAACAGTGGTGTTTTGCTATCACTCATTTGTTTTTCCAGACATGGTTGCAATCCCACTAGACTGGGCTTTGTATCAGACCTACCTTTCCAGTAAATTGGTTCACGAGATTTTCATGTCCACAATTCATCAATGACCAGTAAAAAACATGAACCTTGGACTCTTGGATATCGACACTTGCATTGCATTAGAGCATCTCGCCAATGTGATGGCCACTGCATACTCCAATGCCAGTAGGTATACTGGTTCATCGCCCAATTCTGGTCAACTAACCACCATACAGTTCATCTCAAAATAGACATGGTTAGATACAATGATGCCCTGGACAAAGATGAATCTGGTCGAAGTGCAAAACAAGAGCAGACCCTCTTCGACAGATTCCCCCCTGAAGAGGAGCATTTCTTGACAACACCAGCCATCATCATCGATTCTGAAGGTAGAATGATTGTCTGGTATTTGCCTGGAGCAATGACTGCTATGATGATGGTCGGTCTTCCTTTGATCTTCATTTCTCATTTTAGCTCAGCCAGACATACATAACAGCAAGATATGCATGGTGCAATGCATTCCATGAGTGATTTATTAAAGCACAGCATAACAACTGGTAGGACTGTTGAATGAAGGACCCATCAGTCCAACTTTCATCCAAGTCTGGATGGGAAGATTACGCCTGGTTGCATCAATATATCCCCTGCATGGTTTCAGCAAGGAAGAGAGGTATGTCCAGTCCATATGCATCAAAGTCGCCAGTTTGAAGTATTCTAGAAACATGGTTTCCCAAATCTTGACCCAGAATATGGGTTTTTGCCTGAGGTATCCACTGCACTGAAAGGTGATGTCAGTCGGAACATTATAACCTCCCTTCAAAGGTCTGGTACACTAGTTTCGGCTGCACTTTGTCATATCCCATACCTCTGGATCCGGAATCCCGGATCTCCCCCACTAAAGTCTGGTTCTCCGTCCTGTTATCCGCTCGGCACTCCGCCTTCATCTCCGTACTCGCAACTATCTCCTTTTAGAATAACTGTTCTCCAGCTACTGGTTATGTTCTTTCCGCTATGCTTACTGATCCATCTGTTTGTACTTCATCTCCGACTTCACTGCTTTGATCTGTTATACACTTACTAATAGACTTTCCACATGCTTCGTACATAGCCCTTACTTTGCTGACTGATTTACTTACATGATACCTACAGTATATAAACTCCTGTAATACTCCAGAACTCCTCAGTTTGAATATCATCTTAGTTCTGCTCATTCCTGCTTCTCTGGACTTGAGTCTCATCTCTTGTCCAACTCTGAGTCTTAGGGGTAAACCTTAGGACTAAATCTCCAGCTCTACCTTAGGGTAGTCTAACTCTGTTTTGCTTCTACTCCAGACTTGTCCACAGTAGCCTTACTCTGTTCATTCCTAGCCTTCCGGAGTTCTGCCGAACTCCCCCCTACGTCTGACCTGTGGACTTCCTGGACTTCTGTCGGACTTCCCCTCTGCCTTTCAGAAATTAAAGGGCATGTACTTGGGTAAGGGGCACAGCACACAAGCTGAAGCCAAAGCCCTTTAAGTAATCTTTCCCTTGAGCACAGCCTTAACACACTTCGAGTCATGCACCCTGATCTTTATTGGGCTGGAATAGAAACCCAAGTCAGGCTGGGTGAATGGGCGACCTGATATCATTTGCATGAGATGTATCATCTTCTACAATGCTGGACATCCATATTCAATGTTGTGTCGGTCATATGCAATCACTGGACACCGCCTCATAGAGACCCAAAGTGCCAACTGGCGGCATTTGATATCATGACGACCAGCGGTGTTTATCAGCTGGTGATCATGGATTTTATGAACCTTGGAATCAAGTTTCTATACAACTCTGGCTCAATGTTGGCTTCATCATGTCACCTGGTGAGACATTACATGAATGTCAAAGAAGGCAACCAGATTGTCCCTGCATGGTACATGCGAGACAACATTCATAACTTTGTTGGGACTCCGAGTACAGATTATGCAAAATATAGCAATGTGAAATTCAGCGACCCAGTTGATATAGAATAGATTTGAGGACTCTGGGTCAACAGACTGTAGATATTTAGACAAGTGATGTCATTCAAAGATATATTTCCAGTAGATCTTGTTTTGCTATACAATGGATCCCCCGGTTGTTCTATCATGGATATGCCAGTTACTGTATGGATGCATCAAATATGGTTTTTGCACACACACACCGGTCTCCATTGCACCCAATAGTACCAGCCCACCCACCTCCATTGCACCTGGTTTACTGGCCCATTCGTCTCCATTGCACCCTATTCCCCAGCACCCTCATCTACATTGCATCTCATCTTCCAGCCCACTTGTCTCCATTGCACCCCATAACACCAGCCCACCCATCTGCATTGCACCCCATAGCCCCGGCCCACCTGTCTTGATTTCATGTGGTTTACTGGCCCACCCATCTCCACTGCACCCCATAACCCTGGCCCACCCAGCTCAATTTCACCTTGTTTACCAGCCCACTCGTCTCCATTGCACCCCACAATGCCAGCCCACCCATCTCAATTTCATTTCATTTACCAGCCCATACATCTCCATTGCACCCCATACCGCCAGCCCACTCATCTACATTGCATCTCATCTTCCAGCCCACCCATCTCAATTTCATTTCATTTACCAGCCCATACATCTCCATTGCACCCCATACCGCCAGCCCACTCATCTCCATTGCATCTCATCTACCAGCCCACTCGTCTCCATTGCACCTTATTTACCGGCCCACTCATCTCCATTGCACCTCATCTACCAGCCCACTTGTCTCCATTGCACCCTATTCCCCGGCCCCCTTGTCTCCATTGCACCTTATTTACCTGCCCACTCACTATCACACACTGGATTCACCACCATTCATAATTACCTATATAGTACATTGCTATACTACTATGTATACTATATACCCCTGGCCCATCTGTTTGCCTTGGATACACCACACCCTCAGCCCACTTGTCTATCATGGTACAATTATTGCCCCTGGCCCACACCAGATGGTTTGTCTCTGTTGGTACATTGTCACACCTGGCTGCCCATCTGAGATGGGTGAATTCACTGAAGGGGCTCGTACACTCACCAGAGTTCCACTTGCAACATGGGTCACATTTGTTAGAAGCATTGCCATTGGACAAGCTTCCAGACCTGGACTTTGGATCTGTGGGATCATTTTGCTGTCTGCCATCTGTATTGAAATGCAAGAAAATAAGGTCTTCAAACTTGCAGAAGTCGGTGAGCTCAAGTCTGCATGAAGATCCGACTCTGTTTCTAATGGCTTTATTGAAGCAAATAATTCTTCCATGGGCTGATGCATTAGCTTGTGAGAAGTACTTGGAGATAAAGGCAAAGTATCCATTGAGCTCAGCCTCTCAGTGAGGGAAGGCAAACTTGATGGCATCAGCTGCTTTGTTCCACGCTGCATACCAGTCAGAGTCAGTGGCAATCTTCTTGGATGCTGCCTCTGAAACTCCATACTTGATTTCCATTCCTCTGAGGATTTCGGTTTGCTTGTCAACCATGCGAGAAGAGGTAATGATGGTGTGGATGACATCGAGGTTGATACACTTGCCCATGACAATTTCTGTCTATCTGCTCTTATAGAATTCAGGTCCGAACTTGTGATACATGAGGTATTGCTGTACCTCCTTTGGGTCTTGTGACCAATTTCTGAGGATCTTGTTGGTTCATTCAAGGTTAGGTGAGAGTGGTTGGTAATTCCTGCACTTAACCGCAGCATTGATAGATGAATAATCAAGCTTGGATCATTTGCAAGCAGGTTCTCCTGGCTTAACAGATCCTGCTCTACTCCTATCCTCTGGAAAAGGGGCTTCTTTCGTCAACATGCACTGGTTCATCCAAGTGTGTTTTTTGTCCCCTTGCTACTTAAACCATCAATAGAGGGGCCTCGTATGTGTTTTAAGCCGCTGAGGCTGAGTCAGGAAGTAGGATTTGACCGGTGTCGCGAATCGATTCAACTCGGTTAAACAAGTTAAACCACGATGAATCAATCTACGCTTAGGTAGGTGGTCTCATGTTTAGGGCAAGTGGAGTCCCCCAGCTTCATGCATCAGCAAAATCACATATTTCTTTTTTGGCTTTGTGCCTCTTAATCACAGTTAATCGCAGTTGTAATTTGAATGAAGTTTGCAATGTGACTGAAAGACACCACAAGTCATAAAAATCAAATTGTCCTTGAGTTGCGCAAAGTGTCAAAACGCAAAAAAGACAGAAAAGCCAAAAAATCAGATTCAAGTCATACAAATGGTAATTAACATGCAGTAGGTGGTATAACTCGAACAGATTATGAAGCAATTTCAAATGCATGATGGTCAACAAATTTGTTGACATAGTAAGCCCAAAAAGAGTCATAAGAAACATGTAGATTGACGTTTGGAGGAAGAAAACACCTGCCGTAGATGGGGATGAGGTGAGCAGCACGGTAGATTGTGTCCACGTGTATGATACTATGTAAAGGTGCGCGGTTAGCACTGTACGCTGGACGAACCATCCACATCCCAGTATCTTCATCAGGCGAGTCTCCAATGACGTCAAACCAGCACACAATGGCACATGGAAAAATTTCACCGCTATATTTGAATGAAAAGAAGGCACGGACCCTTGCGACTTCAAGTCCTCGGATGCCTTCTGTACTGGATCCCGTGTTGACGAAAATGCAGTCGTTGCGTGGAGCTTCGTTCCGCCACAAAGGGCACGCATGGATATGTGTGACTCGCATGCCTCCAATTCCACTAATGTCACTTGGTGTGTAGAACCTTGAAGATGCAGAGTTAAAGATGGAGATTTTCCCTGCGAACCTAGGACAGCCAGCGAGGGGAATTTCCGCTGGATCTTGGTCATTGTCTGGCCTGCGCATCTGCTCAAAAAGAAACCGGCAAATCAAATCAGGAAAATGGGGAAGTTCCAATTCTTTGGCTAGCGCCAATACATCACGAGCACGTTTTCTTTCTGCATCACACAAAGCTTTAGTACTAGAACACACTCAGGAAGATAGATGTGTGTAAATGCTACTCACGAACTGTCTGCGCTAGCTGTGTGTGCACTTGTAAAATGGTTAGTCCATGGTCTACTGCTACCGGCGCCTCATCGGCAACACTACCGGGCAAGGGATGGACTTGGACATTGGGGTTGTTGTTGCTATCTGTGTCTGCAAGGCCTGTCATTGTCAATTAGCGGCACGGACAATAATAGTAATTGATTTTAAAACTTACTGAGAGCTTTGAGTTCTGCTGCAAGACAAGTATTGTCCAACATCCCACGATTGGCGAAGTCAACACGCGCAGCAGCCAGCTTATCAAGACGCTGATTAGTAACTAACATTTGACCAAGCGCTTTGTATTTGCTTGAACGCCTCCATGGCTCTTTGATGGCCTTAATATGTTTGCTCTCGGTGATAGACGAGCAGAGTCCGTTGGGAGCACCGAATTGCCGAATAAGATAGGCATAGTGGACAAGGGAATGTTAGCGTGGTAATGAGAAGGTGGGAATTGTGCCAGACTCTGTAAAAATTGTGTGGTAGTGATGATAATGGGAGAGGGCATCTTCAATCTCCTCCAGAGTGCTCTTGGTGATGGTATTTTGGTGTATGAGGTAGCAAAATTCTAGAAATGCGCGGAACACATGAACAATATCCTGCAGTACATGGCCCTCGATTGCGGCCAAGTAAACCTGAGTAAAAACAATGTCTCAGTGAAATGAATTCAAAAAAAGTATTTTTTTACCTTCATGAGGGCTTTCGAGTTGTCCCCTGTCCACTGCTTGAAGCCCCGCCCTGGCAGGAAGTGGCGCAGGCCTGCAAATGAGGCAACAGCCGCTATTCTTAAGTGAGAGGGAAGTTAGTCAAGGAGTCTGATTTGAGTGCAGCGGCACAGCACCAGAAGCGAAATGTAAATGACCCACCTGTGGTCAATGTCATCTAAGATGCGGAGGCCGTTACGTTTTCCATGCGTCTTCATGATATATAACTCTACCCAGGCCACGAGATGGTCCTTGAAGGTGCCCTTAATAACTTGATGCAAAAGGTCGGGGGCAATCAGGTGGTAAATGTCAGGCTCGTGGGAAGTCGTTCGTGAATGGCTAAAGTATGTGAAAGTTAGTGAAGCCCGCCCAACAGGTGGAAACGAAAGACTTACAACGAGATTGCTGATTATTCCAAACTCAAACCAGAGCTGTGTATACGTGCCAGTGTCTGACGAGGGCTTCAGTGTGGTCACAGCATCGAAGGAGTGCATCTGCAGTCAAGGTCTTTACGATGTGCACAGCATCTAGAATCAACTTAGTCCCGGTGCCTGAAAATGACAGCAAAATGAAACTTACCTCGGACACCAGTGACTCACTATACACACAAGGAGCACTTGCTCCTCGTAATCCGCTATGTAAGGCCCCAAGCCATAAATCACCCGCCGAAAATGCCCATCTCCGAACTTCGCAACTTCTGGCTTTGTCATCCCTGGCCTAAGGGTTTCGAGTATGTGGGAGAGCGATGAATGAAACAACTGGCGTCTGAATGCACAAAACTTCGGATCTTCAGCATACTCCTTCGTTGCTAGATAGTTGAACTGTGTGTTAGCACATCGCGATAGATCAGATATAAAACCCTTACTTTTGGGCATTGCAAGGAACCCAATGATAGCTACTGCATCTCGATGCGCACGTCGAACATTGTTGTGTACATTTCCTATGGATAAATAGAGTGGATAATATTCATTATTTCCGGTGGCAACTGAAACCGTCGTTTTATTGCTGCCAAGGATGATGGGCACAAACATTGAGCCAAGTGTCCCTGGGTCTCTGGTAATGATGTCCTGTAATAGGCGAAGTTAGATAGTCTTGAATAAATGTTCAATGCGGAAGATGAAGGGGTAAAAATGGAGAATTCTGGTAGTCTAGCACAGTGAAAAGAAGGGGGAGGGAAGAACAGAGAGTTTTGGTAGTCTGTGCATGAGAAACCCTGCCACTTTCACCCCCCCCAAAGGAATTGAATCGATGGTAGCGTAAAGGTCATGATGATCTGCAAATGGTGGTGAATTGCCGTGTTTGAGGAGTGTAGTTGCCCAAAGGTTTAACAGATGGTGTGGGTACAACAAGTGCAGCGGAGAGAAATCGATCTACTACAAAGTTGGGTCTTTGCTGCCTGCTGCCTCACTTGAGAACAAGCATGTTCGACCCTAAAGGGGATTGCTACTGGGGAGTGCTAATCTCTGTCTAAGCTACCCTATTCAACCCTACCACAAGTAGGATGAGGATCCGCAAAAATGCGGAACAAGCGGAACTAGTGGAACTCAAGTGGAACAAGCGGAACCCAAGTGGAACTCAAACGGAATGGAATGGAATGAAATGGAACTCGAACGGATAAAGCGCGGAACGTACTGATTCGTCGGAACTCACAGGTCAAGTTGAGGGAAGTATATCACAAGGTTAGATTGATAGTGGGCATAAGTCAAAGTGGTCCTCTAGTAAGGTGAAGAAAAAAGTGGGAAGGTAAAAGATGGGATTCGATAAAAAACACCCTAGCCCTGAGTACCACTACTTAAAGGGAAGATTATTTTCAAGGAACACTGAGGTACAGGTAGTAAGTTCTCAGGAAGCGGAAGTGAAGGCAGGCAGTGCACAAGGGCGCAATACTCCGGAATAGGGGTCCATGCCATAAGGGCATGTGTCAATTTGATCCAGATAACGTTAGGAACAACGGGAAGAGAGATACAGCGTACCAATGGACCTGGAAGGATGGGGACAGGACATGCGAAGGTTGTCCAATGATGCGCGGGAATATTGGATAGTGTGGGCGGGTTTCGAAGGATGCTTGGGAATGCGGAACCCATCGGACGATGCGTGGGAAACGCGGAACGTGCGGAATACACGGAACTGATGTGAGACGATGCAGAAAGGACAGGGTTTTACACCTACAGTGGGGGAATTCCCCACAACAGTCAGCCTGATTAGCTGACATCTGGTTTTGAATGTAGAGAAACTCGGCTGTTTTGAATTCGACACGGTTTCTGAATGGGGTCCAGTCATTGCATGACCTGGGCTCAGCAGGCGGAGGGGGTGTGCCGTCAGGAAGAAAATTTCCATGCTCGTCACATGGGCGACCTTCTTGCTGGTCAGACTACTACTGGAATGATGAATAACAAGTCAAACAAACTCACCGTCCAAAAGGGTATGGTGATTTCAATAGAGTGAATCTCTGGGCCCAAAAAACTCCGCATGTACGTCAGGTAGAGGGGAGGATCTTGGTTCCTCAGCAGCAGGACCCAAATAGCCCGCGAAATTGGCATCATCAGGAGCGTCCTGGAATATACCAGGCTCTACGTCTGCCAGACCATTATCGTGGTCCTCTGGAGGTGGGGAAGACACGATGGGATGGGCAGAAAGGATGTGCTTGGTACGTCCAGCGGTAGTCTTGAAGTACCGCTTGCATCCCACATTTCTACAAGGGACTTGGAAAGCATTGAACTGTCGCCGAGGAATTTGCGTGTGATCATTTTCTGACATGTAGATAACCAGCAGAAAAATGAAGAGAACAAGGGCTAATGACCAGTGTGATGCCCTCCGCCACATTGTGGTCTGCGATCAACTGGTACACCTTGAACCTTAGTAATTACATTCAATTCTTTATTTGGCACAGCGTTGAACCGACTTACACATTCATTTCCACTGGTGTGGTAAACTTCACTCTTCAACCAAAAAACATCTCTGCTGCTCGGAATCACTGTTTCCTTTCATGCCTCAGTCTACGAAGCGTGTTACTCGCGCTAAAAATGCCAGCACTCACCCTGGTCAGATAGTGCTTGATGCACAGCCAAAACACCGGATGAAGGCAGCAAAGGCAGCAGATGATAGGCACTTACAGGAAGCTCAGGAAGCCAAGGAAGCCGAAGCAGTGGCAGGGCTTACCTGGCTTGCAGCATTGGAGATGGATATGGAAGTAGCCCAGACCCAGGCGCAGATGAACAAGCCAAAGGCTGTCAAGCCCCATCCTCGACCTGCTGGTAAGAAAAAGGGTCAAGGTGTTGCGAGCAAGGAAGGCGGACCTGATATAGACAGTGGTAACACTGGTGCTGCTGGAATTAGCAGCAAAGCGGCAGTCCTCAGAGAGGATATTGATGAAGACTTCCTGCCTAGCGACGACAATGACTCAGAAGACACTTTAGATATTCAGAAAAGGAGGAAAGGACAGAAAACCACACCATACCGATCACTGAAGGCTGCCATTGACAATGCTCGCAAGAAAACGATGTTGGAATCAGGGGTCATTGATGATGATCAAGCATGTGCACAGACGAACAAGAAAGGCAACTCTTTAGTACCGTGAGTTGCACTTTAATCTCAAACCACAATGTTGATGCTCACTGAATCTACACTATTCTTTGTCAATTCATGGAAAACAAGAGCAAAGTCAAGTCTGGGTGGCCGTATCCAGAACTGGAGGACAACCATTCCACAGAAGCTGGCCAGCTCAACTGCTTCTCAGTCTGATTCATTCGCAAGTGCCCAGCCTCCACCTTCCACCATTTTATCAAGGTCTCAAAAATCTGCGTCAAGTGCCACCACTTCTTTAATTCTCACCTGAATCAGCCATCTACTAAGCTTCCAGCTGTTTGTGAGGATGACTCGGCCCTAGTTGGAGCATTCGGAGATGAGGACCTTGATGACTCAAGTGAGCATGAGGTTGTGCTAGCTACAAAAGGGAAAGTACCCATGAAGGTGTGTCAGTGGTTGAACACACTCCTTGTACTGACGTCTTCCAAGTCTGTTGTTGCACTTACAGAGGAAATGGATCCTGACCTGGTGCTGCCGCCTCTAGCTCAAAGGCAAGATAGAGCCGCCTCTGGGACCAAGAGGAAGACTCTCCATGATGATGTCCTTGAATTCTCTGATTGTAGTGATGACTTGATGTCGCCAGTGGACGTTATTGAAGCACTTGACAGTGACGAGGACTCAGAGATTATGGATGTTGATGAATTGAGGCAGTGGTCACAAAGCAGCCAGTCAAAGCCAAAGTGAAGGTAGAAAAAGCTCCATGCACCACAACTTCGGTATTTCCCCCCTGTCTCATGTTTTCACCGCTAATTTTGAGGTAGACATCGGTCGCTACCACATCTAGCAAGGCCCCCCCTTCGAAGAAAGTAAAAGCCAAGAAGGAGCAGACAGCAACCATGGTGCTAAAGAGCGACAGCAGCTGGGTGGAATCTGTGTTGAAGGCACGCTCAACATATTTGAACACTGACCTTCCTCCTGCTTGCCACAAAGACACCAAGTGGGGTCGCGTTTTTGTACCGACTATTTTTCTCTGGCTGGGTGCGCAAGAAGAGCCTTGGACGATCCCTGACAAGAACCTTCTTCATGCATGCCGTGAAATATTCAAGGTTGTCTATCCAAGCATCAAGTACCAGGTTGTGATGTCTGGTTCAGTTTTCAGTGTTGTAAGTCTGTGTTTTGTTTTATTGAATAATATAATTCATTTCATGTTTTTAGGTCACCCAACGTGTCAGTGAATGGCGCAGCAATTTCGGATCTACTATGTTTGCCATCGTCGTTGCTTTTGCACCTCAAACAGAGATACCTCAGCAAAGGAGCTCTCAACCCTCTTCCTTCGACAATATGTGTTCCTGTACCTGAATCCTGATGAAATTGATAAAGATGAAACCTTCCGTTCAGCCTTCGTTCTGGAA